TGCTTCGGTTTTTACGAATACTACATTTTCATATTTGCTTCGGTTCAACATCTTCTAGATATTTGACTTTTTCGAATCGAATCGAAACGAATATCGAAACGAAGCGAATCTAGCGAATATTTTGCCCAGGGCTACATGTTGTTATGATGTTGTTCAACTTAAATATATGTAATAAAACCTGATTTTTAATTGTATATGTCATTTAAATTCTAAAAATCATAATTTGTTGACCATTGTAACTAATATATATATATGTATACCACCACCTTTATTCAAAAAAAAAAAACTAGAGTAAAAAAACTTCTCTGATAAAACAAAACTTTTGATATATTTTAAAAACTTTGCAGACAGACATTGACAAACGTGAATGCCCCGCCCCAACTGAGCTGGCTTCTTAGGTGTAGGCTCATATTTTTGTCATTTCTTGGTCTCACACTAAAGTTCCATGCAAACTCCAAAACCATTTAAGTTAATTATTTATTTTCTTTGTAATTTCTTTCAAAAATAAACGTATACATACACACGTAAATAATAAATATTTGTTCTGCCCACATAGTTCCACCAGAAATGGACAATAAACACATCGACCATCCAACTTTTTTAATTAGCACCGTTCATGCATTACAAAAAAAAAATACAATTATGTACCTTCATAATCACGTATTAATTCATGTCAATATTCCAAGTAAACATTAAAAAAACACAGACACTTGTCTATATGAATCTAGCTAGAATGTGAGAATTGTCTTTTGTCTAGTTACCAAAAAGAAATCTAACCTCTATAAGACTAGATATCATAACATATTAAATTGATTTTTTTTTTTTTTTTGTCATCAACATATTAAATTGACTACACATTTCAAACTATCTTAAACTGCATACACGTTTCTTTGTATAAAAACATAAACTAAAGCATATTATGTTAGGTTTTGAATTACAAAAAAAAATGTTAGGTTTTGAATGTACTTATTTGGTTTGGCAATGAAAATGAACATACATGTCAGGTACGGTTGCTTGATGATGGTCACAGAGCCGTCTTGCTACAGAAGCTGCATATCATTGTACTCTCTTTTTTTTTTTTTTTCAATTCTCTTTTGAATATATACAACTAATCTGCTTTTTTTTCTTTTCAATTCTTTTTTTTTTTGGGTAAAATTTTTCTTTCCAATTCTCTTTTGTATATGTACACCTAATCAGCTTTTTGTTTTTGCTTATTTACAACAAAAGAAGAAAAAAAATTGAAGTCACGCGATTTCAGTACGTATAAGCTCACAGCCTCACACACTGCTCAAGTAATGTTTGGTCCAAAAGAAACTTACGATTTACGAGTAAAGAGGCTTCATCAAAATGATCGATTAATATATAAGTGAAATCAAATATATATATATATATATATATTATATAATGCGGTAATTTAAATTACAAAATTTACCATAACGGTAAACCAGAATATAAAAAGCATAATTAAGGGTGAACATTAGAAAAAAATTAATCAAAAATTGTAGTCAAATTATATTTTGCTTCTGGTAGGCTAATAGGGTTGAGCCGCAATATGGTCTTCGTGCATGGGAAAACGCAGACTAAATTCAATTGGTCTAACGAAAAAGGATTGCACCTTTCCACATGCATTATTTTGCACTGTCGTTTTTCACATCCTCACTTATTCAACGGTCGAAAAAAAAATATACATTTTCCCACAAGAATTCAACTCCCAACGATCTAATAGGTTATAACGAACTATAAGAGCCTATAATGACTATATATAAATAGTACTATATATGAAGAACTATGAACATATACAGTGTACTGTGTTTGTTTCTTTTTTGCAGATATTGCTAAAAAAACGAGCTTTAATGAAGAAATCACATAATAATATGATAAGGTTTTTATTTTTCTTTTTCCGCAAGTGGGTAAATTTTCTTAGCCGCAATTTCGTTTTTTATTTTATTTATATTGTATATATGAAGCTGTATTTGGTCCCCTATCTATATATATATCTCCTTTTATCATAACATGCATATCTGAAATTTTCTGTTTCTCAAGATCTTCTTTTCTGAAATTTGATGTAACTTATTGAGAGATTTGTATGGTAATATCTTTGTAGAGTCATGCTATATCTTTTACTTTGTCGGTAAATTTTGCATAACGTCGTAAATGCTATAAATAGTAGTATAGATTACTAACACTACACAATATACACAAATAGGAAGAGAACGATGAATCAACTCAGCTAATGTGAATGAATGTTATGTGTGTACTTTGTGGCATGCTAATTATGCTATGAGTTGTGAGATTTTCTTACCATTGAACCAAATTATCAGATTGGTTAAAAGTGTGGTCACACGATATTGTCTCGTGTTTAAAAATTGGGTTAGGGGTGTGGTTGTTGTCGACATCATAGTGGGGGACAACATTCTTAAATAGAAAGTTTTTATACGTTATATGAAGTTACGCTAGATTTTTTTGTTGTCAATGGGACCGAAACAACACATTGACTTTATTATCTTCTACAAACTTATAAATTTGGCAAACATTAATACAAAAAAAAAAACTTAAATTGTGATCTTAGGCTAGAAAGTAAACAAGTATAAAACTAAAGCTATATACCAGGGATTACCAAAATGTAACCTAAAATCCATTGAAGAATGTCTACACAAAGTAAAGTGTTTACAATTTTAGCTAATATCAACTTTCTATAGTTCAAAATTGTCGTAAAAACCAAAATTTTATATTGTAAAAGCGAAAACACTGCTTTAACAACCCATTTATGTTAGGGTACATACTGTAAACGAAATATGGTAAAAATTATGCAATGATGAATCTGATTTACAATTAATCTCCGCTAAAAATTTTATAGGCTGAACCATATAGATTTTTCACAAATTTTATTTTGAAAGAACTCGATATAAAATGTAAGCTCTATATATATATATATAATTCCCACAAAATTCCCTATATATATATTTATAATTAGTATCGTTAAAAAAAAAAAAAAAAAAAGAAGAATGTTAGAGAGACAAAGAGAGTACAAGCTCACGTGGTGTGGTTATGGGCCCTGCACAATCACATGATTCTTTAGTAGTAATTTAAGAAAAGCCCATCTGAGCTTACCCACGTGTCCTATTTTAACCATCCACGTCAGTACATAGGTTCGTTATTATACCGAAACGTGGCGTCAAGCTTTTTTTTTTTCTTCTTTTCTTTTCTTTTTCCTTTTGTAAATATGGTTTAAATTTGTTGGTCGGAGACTCGGAGCATGGGATGGGATCATATGAGATTTTTTTCTACTTTAAAAAGTTTTATGCAAAAAGATTACACACATTTTGAAACCACTACATACATATGCATGCCTCATGGATCTTTATCTCTATACTACACGTAATTTCTATGAAAGAAGCTTAGCTAGTGAGGTGAGGTCTGCGTAAAGATATTACGTACTGTTGTTATTCTTACCCAAAATCTTGTAAAGGGGAAGAAAAAGATATGAAGAGAATAATAATTATAAGTGTTTATGTATGTGTGACCCATTTGTTAATAATTATTTAGGAGGTGGCAAAAACACTTTCTACCCGTTAACATCAGCTTTTTGTCGTATCATTATGGAGCACCTTAGCTATTTTTATGATTATTATTAAATTAGTTGGTCCAAATTAAACCCTTCTTTATTTGTAATCTATATAACCAACATTTGATAATGAATATCTAGTTATATTATTTTCGATTTATCTCTGTTTTATAAAACAGAAAAATTAAAATATGATAAAAAAATTCAACTATGATTATGTTGTGGGTTTTATGTGACTTTTGTTATCATTACTATGTTACATGACTAGAAATAGTTTTCACTCGTGATTAATTAGGAAAATAGCTTTTCACTTTCCTATCGTAAAACAAGAAGAGAAAGGAAAACACAAAGAAACATATATGAGATTTTGTCATTTCACAAACATAACCCAATGATTTTAGATTTATATGGTCGGTCTACTATTTTCTAAAATTATGTATAAACGTTATCAATCACGATCTAAGTGCGAAAAAGTATTTAATTTGTTTGCGGTCTAAACAAGAAGAAAACATTTGGGTTGACCTATTTACGCAGGGAAACCGGGGTCGACGCCTTAGAAGGGCTGACATTTCCCAAAATGCGATCCTGGACCTACAAAATTCGCAAACAACTACGTAAGTTATTATTTATTATGTCTAATCACATTGAAAAACATATTTGTTTATCAAATAAAAAGACAACAACGACAGCACACAAATATAGAAAAGAAAAAGCAACAAGTCACTTATAACGTTAAGAGTGTTGTAAGAGAAAAAGCTATGTGTACAAAAAGGAAAAGGAAAAAAGAGAGACAAAACAGATCCTAAGGAAAAAGATTTGTGTTTATATTCACATTCATGTTTCCTTCATTCTACCAATTTGGACTCATTTATATATTTTGGGATCTCTTTTTATCAATCTTGATACCTTATGCTCCCCCTATTGTTTTTGCTTTGTTCACACCACAATTCGCATGAACATATAACCAAACAAACAAACAAAAGTGTTGTTAAATATACGATATTTGTCTTGGATATTTCAGAAAAAGTAAATGTTATATATTTTCTGGACCACAAGTTATGACTTAAATACAATTTCCACTTGAATAGCGAAATTACCATATTCATTATTTTTTTGTGGAGATATTATATATTGGACACGCTAAAATAGAAATCATCAATAATTAGTCCAATAACCTAAGTATTTAGGGTTTGTTTTCTCATAATTAGAAAACGACCACATTTTGCAGTCTTTAATTATGTGCTACCAAAAATTACATTACCAACGTTTTTGTCCAATCAACACAATAGATTGTTTCGAATATCTCTATTTAACATGCTAGTTAGAAGAATTCTTGGTTTCTCCCATCATTTTAGTCCTTTCAGGCTATTGATGTGCCTATTGTCACTTATGGGCCTAAGATGGAACATAGATGGACTAATATTGGCCCGATACATCCGTCAATTCTTCGCTATGCCTCGAGAATTTGCCAATACAAAAGAGCCTAAAGATCTTGTGGATTACAAAAAAAAGCCTAACCACACTTGAAATCAACAAAACAAACAAAACTTTAACCACAGTGATTGAAAATCAAAACAAGAAGAAAAGAAAGATATATGCAACAGATGAGCTCAGAAAATTCCAACATATTGCCTCCAAGATTCTTATCTTTATACTGAGATAATATCGAAACCGAGAAGATCATATGAGAGCAACAAATTATCTCTTCTCTTCTTGGTTTTCCCTTTTTGTCTTTATATCAAATGCATCTGAGTACCATCACGTGTAGAGTCAAGTTCGATCTTTGGTCTTAACCACGAGCCATCATCACGTCCAAGTGGTCCAAAGTTCTGTCACCTGAAGACATCTCTCCTCTTCCATAGGTTTTCCTTTGTTGGCTTCTGTAGTATCTGTCTTCTTTCTTCTGTACATGATGTTCACTAGTAGCCACTTGGTGAAGATGTAGCATAGCCACCATGCTAATGGCGAATATAGCAGCGTTTCCAAGTACGCCTCTCACATGGTTGAATCCAAGTGCTCTTTTGGCAAACCCGAAAGTCGAGGCAAAGGCGTTGATTACAAAGTTCGACTTTTGGCCATCGGAAGGTGTAGAGTTTGCTCCGGTTGGGTTTATAGAGGAATCATATAGGTGATCAGGCGAAACAAAATGACTGGCGGTTTTGATACTCCCAACAAATGCAAGAGCTTCTTCGAGGACTCCGTAGTTCTTGCCGTGGTGCTCAGCCAATCTCATTGCTAGTAATATTCTGCTCTGTTCAAGCCGGGCAACTGCAACATCTCTCTCTGTTCGTTGCTGTGTATGAATTGTCTGCAGAACAAAGAGGAAGAAGTTTTACATATTGTTTTTTCAGATATCGAGATCAGGTGGTAGAAGTGGACATGGTAAAAACTGACAACCATAAACTATATGAGTGGCAAAGAGAAAGAACATATCCATCCGATTCTCATACTCTATATGCAAAATAGCTCCAGTACTCTTCTTCTTTGGTCAAGATAGGTCTATAATGTGCTGTGAAATAGATTACGTGTATCTCTACTTCTTTATGCATACACAACCCCAGATTCAAGATAAATCTCCCAAATATAGAATGCTCAGAACTGCATTGTATAATGATGCAACTTCATATAGAAAAAGCAAACTAGACACTGTTATAAAAGCGGAAGATGTTTAAATCAGTTGTCCTTCCTCAGTTGTTTCATAACAAATCTGATAATCACTACCTTATCAGAACCTAAGCTCTTATTCGCAAAACCTAGCTAATGGACTTACCACCAGACCTAAAACCTAGCTAAACTACAAATCAATTGTAACCCTAAATTGGCTTAACCACGAGAATGAAACAGATAAAATCGATTTCAGAGACTTTGAATAGTCTTCCAGCAGAAGGAATTGCTTAATCTTCTTCAGAAATCAGCAACAAACCCTAAGTGATAATAACAAGCTATTCTCCCAAATTCACAACACAATTCGTATCTCCATTTCGCTTCATATCAAGGAATCTAACAATGAACTAAGTATGCAATCGTAAAAAACGTCGAACATAGAATCAATCGGAGGAAAAAAGAAAAAAAAAACGTTGAGACTCACATGGAAAAACTCAAGCTGGTCTTCAAGGTTCTCAAGAGCGGTTCGAATAGCGTTAAGACTCTTGGCCTCTCGCATCGTAGAGTCGTTATCATCGACGGCGAATCCTTTGATGAAAACATAACCCGGTCGCTTATCATCTCCGCCGTGCTGAGCCGTCGTCGTCTTCCTCTTCTCCGATCGATTCGAAGGTTTAACGGATTTGAGGAAGTGAGAACGCGAAATCAAGTGAATCTCATCGCTAAGCTTGTCATGTAGATCCCAGATTTTCTCAAGAACAGCTTCGATTTCTTCGATCTCCATTTCTCCCATTTCATTGGCACCAACAAACAAAAAAGAGGGAAAATAAAAAAAAAAAGAAAAAGCAAAAGACAAAAAGGAAAAGTTCTTCTTCTTCTTTCTTCTTCAGACTTTAATTGTGGACTCAAATTAAGCGCTCCGGTGAATTTGATTTCCGTATACGGGTCAAAGCTCCGTTTACCAAAACCCGACTCGGAGCTACGTTATACATCTGGCACGGACTATGCACGTGTCTTTGTTAAACTATATGGGCTCTATAATTGAGTCGCTGAAGCCCAAACTTTTGGTTAGTCTCACAATGCATCGAAGAGTCGTTCCTCGCAGAAGCATTGACACGTGGACTGTTACAAAAGCCAACGTGTCAGATGTTTGTTGTAATTTCTTAATATTAAACGAAAAGAAAAAGGTAACACAATGCAAAGAGAGGAACTGAAGAAGAAGAATGTGAAGAAAGTGTATGGGTTCAAGCTCAACAACAAACGATGGTGATAGTTTCACAAACATATCTGTAGAAGAGCACTTTAGCGTCTCCCAATCTACTTCTTCTGACCAGGTAACATAGGTTTTAGAAAAGACTAAGGGCATGAGCATCAATGGGTAATTCCCCAGTTCTTCACGTCAAACGAGAAGAAAAAGAAAAAAAAAAAAAAAAAACATTAAACATTAATGGGACGTACGCCCATTTTGGACGTCCCTTGCCATCGTAAACTACTATTCGCGGGCCCCACTAACACGTGGCGGCTCGTAAATGGTTATTTTTTTATTTTTATTTTTTAAAAAAAAATCTGAGAAAAGAAAAAAAAAAAAGAAAAAAAAAAGAAAAAAATGTTGGAAGGACGTCCAATGGCTGCGTTTGCTCTAAGGTGACATTAAGATAAACAGTAAAAGATTACAGAATAGTTTTAAATAAGGTAAAAATGTGGAGAAAACATAATTTAATAAGTAGATATTTTGTACATAAACTGATAGTAATGTTTTATAAATGAAAATGTAAGTTCTTCTCATGTAACCGTAATACATAATATGTATTTGAATTCCATCGTGACCATATTAATATCGAATAATTGTCAACTTTATGAGACAGTACTATGCAGGCCCGACAGAACAAAACTCAACGGCGGCTGAAGCACTTGTAGGGAGGTCGACGACATTAACAGAAGCTCTCAAAGCAGCGGCCATGAACGTCGGCCGTAAACCGGTAGAAACCACCGACGTGGCTGCCATAAAAGAGGTGGAAGCTAGGGCTATCGGAGGCCGGGACATAGAAAGCCATGGACCATGGTGGTGGTGTAACCGCAGTAGCAAGTAGAGCGGTTTCTCGTAACAAAAAGATTGTAAAAGAAGATGAGAAGACAAATCTCCGCGACGTTATGTCAGAGATTGATGTGAGAGTAACTAGAGACAGAGAAGTGACGAGTGAAGATGCAGAAGCAGTGGTTCAGGCTGAGCTTACTCATTCTCCTTTCAATGATATTATCCCTGGAGGTGTTGCTGAATCAGTCACCGCAGCTTATAAACTCAATTGCACTCCATGCAACCTATCTCTTTGATATTTAACTGAAATTTATTTCAAAATCATATCACTTATAAGTATATACAAGTCTTCGTTATGAATTGCAATTTAGATTATGTACGTGTACCTTCAAGATTTGGAACTTTGCAAAAGGATATAATGGAAGTTATTTTCCCCCTAAGATTTCCTAAAGATAATCACGGTACTCTAAAACTTTTTGATACATATGAACTCTATTTGTAGGTATAAAAAACAAAACCACTTAGAGACAAAAAGGCTTATACGTTTTTTGTTTTGTTTTCATGTAACAATTTTATACGTTTTTGAGAAAAATACAACTTGTTCTAACCATTTACATCGAAAGGCACCCAAAAAACCCCATCAGCGATTGTGGTCTCACGAATATATCGAAAGGTCACTCTCGCTTAAGGGACACGTGAACTGTTAAAAATTACTACGTGTCGAATGAAGTTGTACGGACCTGTTATTATTGCCACACACACAAATCCCGTTTTCTTATTTAAACAAAATAAAGAAGTCAGAAGAACTCTAAAGCTAATAAGCTATAGCGATGGGCTCATCTAAGGATCGTGGAAGTTTCACCAATATCTCGGTCGAGGAGCACTTTAGCGTCTCTCAATCTAGTCCCGGTGGACAGGTAGCTAGTTAGGTAGATAAATACGTATTTCAGACAGTAAACGGTTAGGGTAATAACGAAGATGATTACTAATTTTGTTTGTATTAGGCTAGCTATATATTACGCGTTTTCGTTTACATTTCCGTGTGCTTTTGCCTTTTGGTAACGTTTTCTTTTTTTTCTTTTTTTTTCGCATGTTGTGTAAATTGTCAAATTGTAAAGAAAAGCCAAACGAGAACTTTTCCAGCTTCAAAGCTTAATTGATTGTATCATGTAAATATGTAATAATAGTAACGTAACACACTTACACATATAAACTGATGTGCAACTAACTATTTGAAAATAGTTTGCAGGTCCAACGGAACAAATATCTACGGCGGCTGAAGCACTTATAGGGAGGTCGACGACATTAACGGAGGCTCTAAAAGCAGCGGCCATGAATGTTGGCCACAAACCAGTGGAAACCACCGACGTAGCTGCCATAAAAGAGGTTGAATCTAGAGCCATCGGAGACAACATAGAAGGTGATCGCGGTGGTGTAACAGCCGTGGCAAGTGAGGCGGTTGCTCGTAACGAGAAAATAGATAAAAAGGGTGAGAAGACAAATCTACAAGACGTTATCGCGGAGACTGATGTGAAGGTAACGAGGGACAAATCAGTCTCAAGTGAAGACGCTGAAGCAGTGGTTCAAGCTGAGCTTAATCATTCTCATCGTATTATTCCTGGAGGCGTCGCTGAATCCGTAGCTGCAGCTTATAAACTCAACCACGATCCATCTCTCTGATATATGAAGTCTTATACCATATAATATAAAAAGGCCTTGGTTTGTGTTGCATAAATAATAAACTTAAACCAGTGGATCAATTATATATGTTTTCTATTCATTTAGATATCAGCGGATATTTTAATTTTTTTTAATTAGAATTACATTTTTTTTTTGTAAATGTAAGTTCATTGATAAACGTAAAAAAATTAAAGTATACAACCGAAAAAATCTTTAAAGTGCAATGTAAATGTTATTGAAAATGAGTTGACAAAAAAAAAAAAAAAATGTTATTGAAAATGAGTTGACGCATGGTGCCTCGTGGAGCCTAACAAATAAGTGAAGTTGCCTCCTCCTAAACTACATGGTGGATTTGTTAAGCTGAAATTGTTTAGGACATTTTTAGCTAATGGTGTAAATCCTTCATTCCGGCTAAAATGGATGAGAAACAAACGTTCTTAAATACAAAGAACAAGTCTACATGTAAACTACTATGATCAAGTCTAACAACTAAAGATAAACCAGTATAAACCTGAATCTAGTAGATATTGGTAGGTGGAAGACAAGAGGAGATCATTTGATGGTTTCTCCAAGACTGGTTGAATCGTGAACCCCTCGTTCAAAACCTAGTTTGAGAGAGAGGTGTCGATCTCTATAAGACCTATATAGCTTAAAGACTGGCCTCGACAAAGAGGAGATTGTCAGTGAACCATGGCAATTGTGATTTTGGAATCAGCTCCGGATTAATTTTATGTAAGATGGCAAATCTTTTTCAAATAAAATGTGGCATGAATCATGATATGATTAGGTGTCAGTAACAAGCATCCAGAGAATGCCATCCAAATGAGAATAAATAAAAGTTTTGTTTTCTTCTTCTTTGAACGTTAGTTATTATAATTACGCTTAGCATTGAACAAGAACAAATAAAATTACACGGCATAAAACCAACAAACAAAAAACAGAACAACGCATGAGGAGGACCATTAACCTAATTTCATTTTTTCTACAAATCTCACGTCACAAAACCAAAAAAAGAACAAAACCATTGTGGAGTTGTGGATGATAACAACACACAAAGTAGATCGGATCAATCACATTTTAATGAATGAAATAAGTCAACGCCAAAGCCACCATCATTAGAACATACGCTATCCCCTGATCTATCGATGTTCCTATCACAAAAAAAAAAACAAATATCAATATCAAACTCTCTTGTCCTCAAAGGTATTAATAAACAAAAGATTGATCGTAATTATAATATCAGTACCGTCGCTGGTTGGTGCTGGAGCTGGCGAAGACGATTGAGCATGAGCAATCGGCAAAAGAATCACGGAGATGACGACCAAGACGGCGAGAATCTCCAAAGGAAACTTCAGGGACGCCATTCTTTTTCTTTATCTCCGGTGATTTATTCCGGCGAAGGAATCTTTTTTTCTTGGTTTCGTAATATCTCACCAGAAATAAAGAAAAAAAAATGACCGATTGATAAAGAAGAAGAAAGGAACCTTAAAGATTTGGTTAAATAGGCAAAAACATGCCACAGAGAACGTGGGGTGTAGACAGCTTAAAGTCTCTTTAATCACTCGTTGGTTTGGTGCGTTGTCATTTTTATTATTAAATCTTTTTGGAGGATTAACCGAAACAAACGGTTGATTATGTTCTGTTTCTAAGCTGTGTATGACAAGGATTATGAAAAAAGATGTGTATCTTCCAGCCTGGTTTTTGATATACTTTCCCGGTTTTGTAATTTTTCCTTTTTATGGAAGATCATATTTGTTTATTTCAATTTATGAGTTGTGATATTCTGGTTCATAGCTGAACATTCCTTCATTAACAAAAGATGCCACGGCAGCTTTGGATACACTATAATTTTGCAACTCTGTTATTAAAATTTTTTGGGAAAAAAGCCTATCAACCAGAGGAGATAGTGTATGAATGAAGAGAATGCCATATTTATACCTTGGCTCTCTTTGGAAGGCTATACATTACGGTGGAACGTGCGTAGGCTAACTTTGACGTGTGAAGCAAACTTGGTCTATAATTCCACTAGATTGATTTTCTAATTTTCATCCCAAACCGGACTGAGCTTTACCCCTAAAACATAAACTAGCTGTTGACTTAAAAGTTAAAACCATAATAAACATGTTCACTGTAAGGCCTATTCCCCAAATTGTTGTTATGGAGATGGAGGAGCAGCGAAGAATGGATCATCTCTGTTGTTATAGACCTGGAATAGTTGTTTCGAGTATCGGCATGCTAATTTTTCGCAAACCTCAACGCCTTCACGGTCGAAAGTTTTCAATTCCTCGACCGATTTCTTCAAATCACTAGCAGGATCTCCATCCGTCAGAAAATTTGCTATCCAAGTGCCCCTAAAGCAATCATTCAAGAACTCAAATCAAGAAAACATTTTAACAACAGATCAAGAAAAAGGGTTTTGCTAGTTACTACTACTACTACTACATTGCGGCATCAAACTTGTTGAAACCGCGACCATTGCAGATATGACTTGATCTACTCAACTGTTCATCTTCTGTTTGAAACCTGTTCAGAACACAAACCGCTTTCATACAAAGCTCGGGATCTTTCCCAAAATCCGCCAGCATATCTGCCTCGTACTCCCATTTTCGCTTTTCGGGTTTCTTGTCCCTCCTCAACCTTGACATGACTTCAGCATAACCGGCTCCTCCATCAGATTCTTCTTCCTTGGTTTCATCTGAGTGTTCACTGACAGTCTCTTGAGTATCATCATCATCACCATCATCATCACCATCATCATCATCACCATCATCATCACCATCATCATCACCATCATCATCATCATCATCATCATCATCATCATCATCAACAATAAACCCATCCAAACTCTCGCTTTCTGGCTCTTCTTCGGTCTCATCATCCTCAGCATTATCAGTTGTTGGGATCCCCACAACTCTCCCTGCTGGATTTTTCTCACTTGAAGCAGATATCTTTTCAGAAACTCTCTGTTTCCTAAGTCTTGAGGATATTCGACACTGTCCACTCAATCTCCCGTAAACTCTCTCTCCTTCTACCGGTGTTTCTAGCAAAACTGCCATCTCTTGCTTAGTTGGTTTCAAATTCTTGAGTATTGAAATCGGTACATTGTCATCATCATCATCATCATCATCATCATCATCATCTTCATCACTATCATCATCACCATCATCAGTTTCTGAATCACTAGCAATAACACGTTTCCTCTTACGACTACAAGGAGTGCTTTTGTTAACTTCACAAGATTCAACATCTTCATCTTCATAGTTCTCACCACTACTTGTCTCCTCTAAATCATCCTCAGCCTTCTCGCTTCTCTCCTCTGTTCCACCATTACATAAATCAACTACACCAGTAGATTTGTGACCATCATCTTCAAAAGACAACATCTTGTTCACTCGTCCCCGAGAAGACATGTTGTCTCTGTCTCTCTCCAAGATATAGTCTTTAGCCGGTGTGGTCATATAAGGTGAGCCTACAATGAAAAATACAAATCCATTACCGAAAAAAGCGATACACAAGCGGGTTTAATACTAATAAACTAATCTATGATTCTAAACACTAGTGTCAACCAAAAGGCTGAAACATGTATTCTCCTCACCTGAACCTTGATGATAACCTAATCCATCCCTACTCAGAGAATCTTTATACTCTTCACAAGATTCAAGATTCTTGATCCTAGCTAACTCCAATCCTATCTTGACATTCTCATCCAATTCCAATTCCCCATATCTAAACCCACCTATTTCATCTAACTTACGAACCGTCTCCACAAGTTTCTCAAACTTTGTCTTCCACTCCTTAGCTTCTTTCTCAGCCACCTGTTTCTCAACCTCTAAAGCTCCGTTCACCATCATCTGTTCAACTAATGAACCTTCCTCAGATTCTCTAAGATTCATCAACTCTTCTTCCATTACTAACTTCTCAGATTCCAATTCCTTAACCCTCAATTCAAGTGACTCAAACTCTTTATTCCGTTTCTGCAACTCTGTTTCTAACTCAAGAGTATTTTTCTTCACCTTTCAAAACTCTTTCTTCTAACTCAAGACAACGACGATTTTGTTCCATAGACTTCACCACCTCTATAGACATTTCCAAGAAAAAAATTAAAAAATCCTCTTCTTTAAATTCCTCTTCTTAAAACCCTAAAATCAACAACTCTTCTAAAACACAATAACCAAACCAAATTCAATTACATACATACTAAACAACTTAAACCGTACCTCAAACTTGTTGCTTCCAGATTCAGATGTAAACATAAGCTAGTGAGCGAATTCACGAACTGATCGCAATATTTAAACCTTAGTAAAAACAAGAAGGTCAGAAGAATAGACTAATCGGAGAAGGAAAAAAAAAAAAGAACTTTCTAATTTCTTGTGTAACAGTAACGTACCTGATCACAAACCCTAGTAAAAACACGAGACGGTGTCACGTGCGGACGCGTGTGTTAGTATTTGCCACGGCGACGATTGTGAATAGAAGCATCTAAATGGGCTCGCTTATGGCCCATAAGGCTAAGTTTTTATTGGCCCATTTATGAGCCATTTGTTTATTTTATTTTTAGGTACGGAGAGTTTTTATAAATGGGAAACAAGACAAAGAAGAAGATCAGGTCCACAATTGAAGTCTGAAAACAGACATTCTTGAAAGCTTATTACAAAACAAAGATTGTGCTCTTTCGATACACACTTAATTATTCTCTCGTATTTGTCTCCTTCAAAGTTAAAAATTGATTGCTCTCTTTTCACCTTCTGGCTATAGTTAATAGTTTCAGCAGAAGTTTTTATAAATCTGACACGATTTTTTCGATCGGTACCCTCTTCTGTTTGCACCGTTTGATAGGAAAATGTAATTAAATTTTTACTTGTTTTGGTAACTGGAACAAGTCAAGTCAACCCTTGTTAAATTCTCGATACCTTGATATTTAAATGGCTATCCATTTTGATTATTATTGCATTGTTGTCTAGCTCACACTAATACTTAATGAAACGTGTATATATATGTAACTATATATATACGAGTCTCATGCGACTTTACAAAAATATGACTACATCGGTTATAAATATATGAAATATTTTCACAAATAGCTAAAGATATGTTAGGCTAGTTGATACATATGCACGAGATTTACAAAAATTTATCAATTTTGTTTGAAGTATTTCAAGTAGAAGAGTAAGAAAACAAAGAAATTGAAGATGCATGCACCACATCACAAAAAGGTGCATAACCATAACCACTCATTACGGTTTTAGTAGAAGGATGGGGACATGGCATTCACTTGTGGGCTCTTCGAATCTAATTTGCAATAATCGTAAGTCTTATTGGGTCCCCACATATTTCCGAGAAGCCATTTCTCTTCTTCAAATTCTAGCCGTCATTATTATTATTTCCCTCCCAAAAAATTATTTCATATATTAGGAGTTATGAACTTATGATCAATACTAGTTTAACAAACCATCCATTTATGAACGAGAGAGTATTAGTTACTTGCTCTTTTATTTGCAGTCACATAAAATAGTACGTAGTCTTTATGAAATTGTTTGATATATGGACTGTCTCCAAGTCATTAATGTGTCTTACAAATTTTAAACACTGGTCCAATTAATATAAAGACAAATCTACTACTTGAAAATCAAATGTACATGTTTCACTCTGAGGAAGATTCTTGCTTGATCTAAAACATGTATGGCATTTGTATCATGTACTAATATGAACGTTGGGATTGTTTTCAAAAAGTACTATAATTGTGGCTTATATTGATTGGCACGATGTTTTTTTTTGGTTTGGTAAACTAAGTCTACAAGATTTCCAATGTTGTGTTTTTTTTTTGTTCCTTAGCTTTCCTCTATATGTTATACGGTTTCCGATTAAAAGCTCTTTAAACCTTTCTTACTACTTTTGTGAAACTCACTTATTTTTTTAAAAAAAATATGTTTTTGATACTAGCTAGTATTTAAAAGATAAACAAATTATTCTAGTATTTAGTACTCATCAGTTACTGTAAATCGGAAAAGAAAACAATTGTGAGCTAAGTTGTTTTTTAGGAAACACATTCGTTACTACAAAACACAATTATTACCTACGATATCTGTCTTACATAGATGATGAAACTCATAACTTGTAATCATGCAATAAAGCACAGTGCGATGAGAGAGAGATGGAGAGAGTGCAATAAAGTGTGGCTCATGTATTTCGTGGTGAGAGTAAATGATATTTCAGATCTTCGTAGTGATTAAAGTTTGAGTCGGACCCATCTCATTCACCTCTTCAGCTACTTCTACAATTTTGTTTCTACTATAATCGATTTTATTTTTTTACCCAAATAATCAACAAAACTGAAATGAAAATGTCATCATTCAAAATCCTTTACATGTTCTGCTTCTAGTACAGACCATTTGCCAATTTATGTATATGTTCACATTTTTTACCGTTGATATGTAACAGAGAGAGAGGGAGAGAGAGATCTATACACATAGTTATATGCAACACCATATAGTCGTGTCCTAGTGCGTAGTGACTGCCGATTTACAGAGACGAGAGACGTGTAGGGATGTTATACGTAGGTAGGGTGCAGGCAGAAATCAAGGAAATTAAATTTTTGTCATGCAAATGTAATAAAAGCACGTATAGAAGGAGACAAATATGTAACATTAATTAATAAACAATTTTAAATCGCACAAAAAAAGGAAAAAAGACGTATGGTTGGCAACAACGATATTTATAGTATATTTGAATTTGAATTTCATTAATTATATATAAAATCCTTATATCACAAAAAGAAAAATCATTAAAAATGAGAGGGTTGTAAAAGTTTCTAATGGGTTCAAATTTTTCAAATGCATATGTTTGTGTTGAGATTTTGTACTCGTATCTTTAATTAGGGTTTAACGCGTTATTATTATTTTGATGGATATAAACAGCATTCTACGTTATTTTTATATCTCTTGTGAATCTTATCAACTCGCGCCAGCCCTTGATGTATCTCAAAGAAGTGAAGAACCATTTAATGCTTTGATCGGGGCTAGGGTTTTAGAGCTGATTTAGTTCAAAGCTACAAACTTAGGGTTCTGTTTTTTTCCTTCTGTGAATCCATCTTAGGATGTAGGTTTAGCATTTAGCCATTTAGGGCATACTGCGTTTTGGTCCCCAATGCGACTAAGAGTGCCAAAATTCACAACTACGTGAGTCGTCCCCCATGGCTACACTACACAGCTACACACATGCATGCAAAAATTTGTATACTCTATGGAGACTTATAACGAAACGTTTATACGCATACGTTCAATATATAGGATGACGAATGTATAGATATATATTTTTTATGAATGTAAATTTCATTAAGAAACTTGAGAGATAAAGATTTACAAAAATAATTTCACCGACTAAAGTAGTTTGGTATATACTGTATATATATATGTGTTATTTGATGCGCTGTTATTCTTGTTCTAAACCAAATAAAAATTGTAGTTTTAGATTATATCTACAATGAAATAAGTTTTTATATACGAAACGGAAGTTTATAAATTTTAACGCGCGAAACGTTAATCTAGTGTCGCAATTTATATCTCAATGTATGTACAATGAAATAAGTTAGTGAACACACAAACAAAAAGTTTCGGCCAAGTTGAAACTACAACCACTTAAGATGTCTTTGATCTTAGAGTTACAGAAACATAAGAAGCTTAAAAATGTTTGACATCATATCCGATGTATGATCCAAGCAATGAGTGCGAGTTATTTGGAATCCAGATTGATATAAACTTAATCATATAAACTTAATTATTTTCATTTATTTGAAAAATGACTATCTAATTCACAACTGAAAAGATCCAACTTTATGTAAATGGAAATTTTGAAACTGTATATATCTTGTTTACTCTGAACTTTTTACAAAACCAAAACCAAAACCTAAAACCGCAACAAGATCATGATCAGTGCATTAAGGAGATGGTTTATATATATATACATGTTACAACTTACATGTATGTGTGTCTGTGTGTATACTATATAGATGTGAATGAATGAAGAAGAAAGAATCTTCGGGCACGGAGATGGCGTGTCCGTTCATTGAAAGCCGCCCACCATCTTTATTATATTTGTTTCCGAAGTACTACTGCTTCCTGCTCAACTTGCAGACGATTTTGATTCCTGCACAACTTGCAACTTTCTCATGCTCAGTTTTATCTGATTAATTGCTTCAAAAAAGTCAATTATTATTATAAAAAGGCAAATATTCTTATATATTCTTTTAGTCCATCGAGTTTTTTTTTTGTTTGTTTGTTTTGTTTTGATTAGTAATTATCGACGACAACTCATGACTTTTTTTAATTGAGACTGCAGGAAGAATATAATATTATCAACGCTTCGTTATGTCGTATATACAATAAAATAAATTTCATTTCAATCATTTTCTTTTGTTTTTGTTATAGTAATGTCACGAACAAGGGTGTTTTAGAAATGTCGATTTTGATTTACGAAATGAATAGAGCAAAAGACAAAACTGTACGAATATTAAAAACATGTCATAGTCTCCATCAAAAGAGTATCCGTATACATAAAGACACTTAATAATACCTTGGATCCGAGTCATATCAAAATTAATATCATGCATGCATGCATAATTAAACTTTAGTTGCATCAATATATGTCCGTTGAATCAAAATCACTAACAAATTAAACTAAGAACATTTGCCACATGTGATCATTTTATTACAAACAAGAAGTAAAATGTATAAACTTATAAGGCATTGTTTCATGGCATATTGCCATATTATATAAGCAATATCGCGTTATATAGAAACAACTATAGTTTGTTCGATTGATGCTGCTTCATTAATTTTGGGCTAGAAACAAAACATAAAGGAGAAGAGACCCGTTACAAAAAAAACTAAAAAGACATGGTCAGGTAAATTATATAATATCTGACAGCCAACACATTAACTTCAAACCTAACGACTACCCTGGTTTGTCTTGGCTCCATCTTCTTAAATTTTCGTTTATTTCTCTAAAACATTGTAATGGATTCATTAATATATATACTAAAACATATATGTGTATATATATATCTATTCATGTACAAAACAATTTTTAAAAAAAAAATTGAAAGGGAAAGTTCAAATGATCAAGGGTGGCTCCTCAAGAAGTAATTTGATTTCGATGAGACAAAATGTGGCATGACTAGTATGACATCAAATATTTATTGCCTTAGATCTATCCCTTGTCTTTTTATTTTCTTGAAAACAAATTTGTTTGCTCAATTTTCTTTTTATTGGTTAAAGGGTTTTATGTGTTCTTGTATGAATTTGACTCACAAAATTTCAAATTATATATTACCTATTAGATTCAGGTTAATTTCTAGGCTGGTTTTTAAGGAAGTTGAACATGTTACGGATTGAACCAACCTAACATTTTGTAAACCATTAGATTTGTTTTTTTAACAGTAAAAACAGTATTATTTTTTTTGTTTGGTTAAATGTAAACTACATTAAAATGTAAAATAAGCAAAGACCAAGTGAACAAACAAATTGTTTGACATCGTCTGACGTAACATGTTTTAAATTGATCTATCAATCATATATAAAAGTGTCTAAACTTGTATAGGCTATTCTTTTTATAACGATCTTTAATTTATAATGTGAATACAATGTACAATATATCATTCAATTGATTGTCTCACGAGTGAGGCGCTAAAATAAATGTGAATTCACTAATTTTCAAAATACTTTTTTGTTTCTTTCTTACATATATACATTTACTCGAAAACCGGGATCGGTCGGACCATTCGCAACCCAAATATATACGTAAAATTAAATACAAAGAAACGTACATGTCCGCGTTTATGTGCATTACATGTTTTTGTGTACAACCAACAATTATACCGAGCTTGTGAATTTTCAAAAAAACTTTTACCCCTAACCAAAAAAACCCATAAAAATATATTTCCTAAGGAATTTATGTATCTTTCCCTAGGGGATATGCAACCTTCATCTCTCATGTAAAGTATACAATAAGACGTACCATATATATAATATAACATATGCATATTTATATCTAAAACGTTAAAGAGAGACACGAAAAAACCTAGATTCTCCCCAAATTTCATCCAACGGCACAAACAGCATAATAAATAGCCCTATCAAAATAATATACAATAAAAATTGAAATTTGACAGCGATAGTTTAGTCCTCGATGAATGCGAGTCCCTCATATTTACTCCTTTTGGCATTCACTCTCTTTTTATCTCTCTTTCTCCACTTGATATGTCTTTTGGCGTCTCTTTCTAATTTCTCTAAATCTTTCTTCTTCTTTTTATTTTTGTAAAGTCCACAACTATTAAACAAAACAACGAACGAGGAAGAGAGAGAGAGAGAGAGAGAGAAATATAGTTCTAGTCACGATGCGGGAGATAATACCGGATTTTCTTGAAGAGTGTGAATTCGTCGACACTACACTAGCCGGAGATGATCTTTTTGCCATCTTAGAGAGTCTTGAAGGCGCTGGAGAGATATCTCCGACAGCTGCATCTACACCTAAAGATGGAACCACAAGTTCCAAGGAGTTAGTTAAGGACCAAGATTATGAAAACTCATTTCCTAAGAGGAAGAAGCAAAGACTAGAAACCGGGAAAGATGAAGACGAAGAAGAAGAAGACGCAGAAGGCGAAGGAGAAGGAGAAGAAGATGGTAAGCAAGATGGGCAACAAAAGATGTCTCATGTAACCGTGGAACGTAACCGGAGAAAGCAAATGAACGAGCACTTGACTGTCTTACGTTCTCTTATGCCTTGTTTCTACGTCAAACGGGTATATTTTCAATACATCCATAATAAAATTTAGCAGTATGTGAATTGTGGCAGCGCCCGACTAATTAATACTATTCGTTCAACTAATCTTTTTGGTATACCTATATCTATCATATCATATCATATCAGAAACATCAAAAATATCATATCTATGTTTTTAAGAATAATGACAATTATAATGACATTTGGTCCCACTAATCATCTATATTTCTTTTCTTCCTTTCATGTCACAATATGATATATGGATTGTTTAATTATATGCTGACTTATATTTTCTTTCTTTCCTCGTAAACCAACCTATAATAATAAAAAGGGGGACCAAGCATCCATCATAGGAGGAGTTGTGGAGTACATAAGCGAGTTACAACAAGTTCTTCAATCTTTAGAAGCCAAGAAACAACGTAAAACATATGCCGAAGTCCTAAGCCCGAGACTTGTCCCCAGCCCTCGTCCTTCACCGCCTGTTCTTAGCCCGCGAAAACCACCTCTTAGTCCGCGCATTAACCACCACCAGATCCCCCACCACCTCCTTCTTCCTCCCATAAGCCCACGAACCCCTCAGCCCACAAGCCCATACCGGGCCATTCCACCTCCACTACCACTCATCCCACAGCCTCCACTTCGTTCTTATAGCTCACTGGCTAGTTGCAGCAGCATAGGAGACCCGCCTCCATACTCTCCAGCTTCATCTTCCTCCTCTCCTTCAGTCAGTAGTAACCATGAGAGTAGTGTTATTAATGAGCTTGTAGCTAACTCAAAGTCGGCTTTGGCTGACGTGGAAGTGAAGTTCTCAGGAGCTAACGTGCTACTTAAAACGGTGTCGCATAAGATCCCGGGACAAGTTACGAAGATAATTGCTACTCTTGAAGATTTGGCTCTAGAGATTCTTCAAGTTAATATTAACACCGTCGACGAAACCATGCTTAATTCTTTCACCATCAAGGTACGTACGAGTATAATCAAATCCTAATTAATTCTCACTGATTCTCTTCTGTCTTCTTTCATGTATGTAATTCAATACATTTTATCTTTTCTTACATAGGATATATGGTGGGGGAAGAAATGGTAGGGTAGTGTAATAAGTAATAATTCACTGAGATTCACATAAATTACACTCTTTTGATTTATAAGAAATTTTAACAATATATAATATATAATTCTTATCTACATTGTTATATATATGCACACAAACGTAGGGTATGTCAGATTGCTCACAAACATACAAAACTAAACTATTCTTTGTTTTGCATATTTTCATTAAAACTCTTAATATATACATTTGACTTTCTTAAAATGGAACAAGGTGTGAAAGAACACGTGTCTTGATATATCATATACATTTCTATGTCAACATTGAAGAGCACCAAAATTTTAAATTTTTTAAATTCGAAATAAATTGTTCTCTATATTTGAATTGTAATCAAATAAATCAAGTTGCCTTAGTTTTCGTGTCAATACTTCATTTGTACGATGAATAATATAATTTATACAATGGTTGTAGATATTAGTAGATTATATTATTGATAATTTGGTTATCGAAAAAAATGTGATCAAAGTAAGCATGCTTCTATATGTCTCCTAGTATAGGCATTTGTAACTCAGTTTCTTAAAATATATATCTCTCTCTTTTTGTTTTGATAGATTGGAATAGAGTGCCAACTAAGTGCAGAAGAACTGGCCCAACAAATTCAGCAAACGTTCTGCCAATAAAAGAAGGATTTAATACATCTTTCGTATAAACCCTAACGAGAGACCAGTACGTACTCACTTTGTCTCCTTATTTATCCTTTTTAGTTATCTTCAAACTTTTCTAAAGTGATACATGGAGTTACTTTTGAATTAAAATGTTATTTAAAATCTTCGATGAATATTACTAATATAGGTATAAGTGATGAGTATTTAAAATTTATCAGCTGATCATATAATAGCTTTGTTACGTGTAATTTTTTTTTAATGTTTTAGAGTAGCTAGTCGTACTCCTACTATGTAACTTCATTTTTGTTATTACATCGAGCATTGTTGCTGTAATTTCATATGAATGAACAAACAGTGTATGAGTTTCTCATGAATAAAAATTAATCTTGCATCTTAAATTTTGGATATCCTTTTTATTGTAAACAGAAAAATGCTCGTATATATAGATTTAAAGAGGGATGTTAAAGATCGACAAAGAGAGAAGCGGTTTATATTTCTTTTGCTAAGGTGAATCGGTTTTATATTACAAGGATGTAACGTTGTTAATTTAATTTCTCAAAAACAAATATTATAAACTCTCCTTGATCATAAGAATCTCTTTTTCTTGTTTTGCGCTATGGATTATATATATCTTCTCTTGAAATTAATTAAAATATTTGTATGTGCACATTTTCATACATACTTGTGTAAGAGCTAATTCAAATGTCTCCTCTCACATTTTTATCGATAAGTATAATCGTATTTAAAAGAATACCTATGCTGTTTATTTATGTAAATATTTACGTCGTAAAATCAAGTTTGCTGAAAACTGAAAGGAAAAAAAAAAGGTCACAAACTCATAGTCGTCGTGCCAAGAGTCATAAGAATTTAAGACAAAATTTGATATCCGTAACGAAAAAGACAATAATAATTTATGATTATGTTACAATTTACAAACACACTAATTTGTCAATATAAGTTCTAAACCATTCTGTTTACTTCTGATCTCGTGCATGGAAATAAAGACATGAAATGCCAACGACGTGTCAAACAAATTAAAATTTTGAAATAGAGTCGACAAATTACATAGAGATGAGTCGATGGTCCAAGTCGGACAGCATAGCGCAGAGTGCCCAATTAATGGTGAACTTAACAACTGGGCCGTGAAAAGTGGACTTGACCATATCTTTTGGACCAATAAATACTTATATTGTCGCTCGTGCCTTGTTATATAATGGGCTCAACTAAGTTGGATACTATTAGGCCTACCAATTGCTCTATTTTAACTGGAGTAGTAACTTTTTGTAGTTTGTGTGAAACGACATACATATATCCGAATTGAATCGTTTGGTTTCGTAATCATGAAAAGCATATAAGCCAAAACCCTTCTATCCGTTTGGTTCGTGTCCATGACAAAGCAGTTTGAGAAGCAAAACGTCCGTTCATATTAGTCGTTACTAATCAATGAGACGGACATAATAAATAGATGATTCGGACAACATTATTGGTGGAATCTTAACAAGTATCTTAACAAATCTTAACCAATAATATTGGTCTTAAAACAAATAGACAATATATGTTGGTACATAGTTTTCAAATTGAAAAAAAACAAAAAAGATTAGTATAGTAAGCTACGTCAATATTTAGCTTTTCTTAATTAGTATGTACTATTTTTTTTTTCTTCGAATTTATATATAAAAGTTGAAGTTCACACATAGCGGATGTAATGCAACACATAGTGTATAAGTGTTGTTTTAAATAAAGTGTTCCAAATTTTTTCTTTTGTATAGATATATGATTACATTAGTTGAATAACATACTTTGACGAAACTTCAACGTTTTTTACAAAAGATAATCGTAAGGATTAAAGTAAGGATAATCGTAATCATTAGTTGAAGTTTCGTCAAAGTATATGTTACTCAACTATAAGTCTATAACTAACATATTGTATGGTATACTGTTTAAAATGTTTGTTACTAATTAAACTATTCATATATACTCAACCATTTTTCAAATGAGTGGCGGCTACCTCTAGATAAGTTCTATGAAAAGACTATTAATACATACTCTTTATTTTTCTAAATGGTTTTTAATCACATAATGTATCGTATTATATATGATTCATGTTTTAAACTTAGCACTGATTAGGAAAAAGATAATGGTAAGGATTAAGGACACTCTTTAGAATTGATTACCAATTGAAACCTATATTATAAAATGTTAAGAAAAAACACAACAAAATGAAAAACAATAGATGCTACATTCTTCAAACTAACAAGAACCACTACTATACATCTATTATTTGTTTTTTTTTTTTCATTTTCTTCTTCTCATTGGGTGGTGGGGATTTAAACTTAGAGAAACAAAATAGAATTCTAAGAAGGATAAAAAGAGAAACGAGGACGGTGAGGTTTGGTGTGTTTGTGGGAAGAAGATGAGTGAAGTTGTTGCCGTCGTTTCTCAGCAAAGCCTTCACTGTTTCTCATTATCCAATATCTCTCTATCTCCTCTGGCTGTCTTCCTGGAACTCTTCCTGCTATTAAATCCCACCTATAATTCAAAATAATCATACAAACTATTAATTTATATCCAGAAAACATTTATATTTTCAATAGTATTAGTGTATAGTTTTGTCAGTTCAGATTTCCATATTTGAGCCAGCCAAGCATTTATACATAAGTACTTACAGAAAAGTAAGTTAGGTTCTTACTTCTATCTGTGTACGTATGTAATTTAATGAACGTGATAGCTTTAATTAAATGTGCTATTTTTTTTTTACAAACAAATTAGTGGAAGCCATGTGCTTCCCTCTACATCATGGTACACTGTACATTATAAGTAAAGTACATACTTAGACAAACGTATGTTAAACTGTAATTAATTAGTTGCATATTAAATTGTTTAAAGATATGTCTAATATATAAGTACTTTTCATTTAGCTTAGTCGAGATCATGGACATAAGTAAAGAAGAAGAAGAAGAAGAAATGGTTACCTATCACCGACAAGTCTGTACATTCGGAAGATGAGATCTTCTTCTTGTTCAGTCATGTTGATGAACTCCCATTCGATACTGCTTACTTCTGCACATAATTGTATATTCAAACCAATTTAAACTCAACACAAATATTAAATATGATTAATAAGAAATATGATTAATAAGAAGAGACAAATATAATCTTTTTTAAAAGTTCGTAAAACTAGTAACTAATCTTGATAAGTTATATTTTTAAAGTTAGCTAGCACAAGGTGTTACTAATTTAGAAGTGAACATATATACCTCGTTTTCTACAAGTATATATACTCTGAAATAAAATTAAGTAATATTTTCGTTTTGTTTTTATAAATGTGTTAAGACTATATTTATATAACCATCAAAGGTTCTTGCTTTCTTCTACACATGAAAAGGATATGGAAACACATGGATGAAGAGTATATAGAGAATAAGGAGGAACCTTCAGAATCATGGAGTAAGTTTTTGCGTTGCTTACGACGACGACGACGGTCAGAAGTGTTATCCATCAATATTGATGTTAAGAAGGAAAACAAAATTGGAGAGAAAAATATAATGTTATGAAATTTTTTGAGATTGGAAAATGTATGGAAATAAAAGATATGAGAGATGAGAGTTTATAGAGGAAGAAGAAGAAGAGAGAGAGAATGAAAATATCCAACGAACAGCCTTTGCAAACTAATAGTAAGAAGTGTTGTGTGGTCTTGTTGACCTCTTTAGCCTTTGTGTAGTAGACTTGTCGTTGACACTCTCTCGTATACATTACACATGGAGCGATAAAGGTCTTTACTTAAAATTTATTGGGATTTATAAGTATTTTGAAGACTAACTTTGTTCTCATTCATAGATATTAACAAATTATTTCCCTTTTTCTCATAATTCAATGTTTTTTTATTTCTTGCAGAACCTACTTTCTTTTTTTAGAATAATAAGAATTTATTGATTATAATTTTGGCAGAGGCAATTTCAACGATGTTTTAGTTAATAGAGTAGTATTTGTTTGTTGTTGTTCTTTCTATTTTTTTTTTTAGTCAAGTCCAATTTGTTTTTCTAAGAAACTTAGTTGTTATTAAATTACTAGTTTTTTGTTTTCAAGGTTTGGACATAAAACCAAACCGTACCAGATAAATATTCTTAAAGCAAAATTAATCTCATTAATTATGCTAGAATTTTTTTTTTGTCTCGCTAAATTCAAATAAAATTTTGGTGATTTTTTTAATCCCAAATTTTAATAAGAATGGTAAATACGGAATGGTTTAAATTTAATAGATATAAGGATTATAGTTTTTCTAATATAACTCCATTTATATATATATATAACTTTTTTTGACATATGGTATGGTTGTAGAATCTACGGTGACTAAGACATAACATATGACACTGTATGGCAACTCCTACGCTGGCGAGATACTGAAACCACTTACACAAGGAGATTTAATGAATGCCTTTTGGAGAAATTGAATCTCTCTCCATACCAAAATCCCTTGAATTTGCTCTTTTTCTTTGATATATTCAATATCTATCATCAATTTTGAATCGACCTATTAGAAATAACGTATTAATGTCGAGTGTGACTGTGTGAGACATCACATAATATAATATAAAGTACGCTTTTCAATAAATTATTGTAACAAAGTATACACAATTACTATATATCAAAGTGTCCCCAAAGCGGATTTTCAAGATATATCCATCACACATATAACATGTCACCAATACCGTTTTGACGGGTATGGGTACACACACGATTATTCAACCGTTGAAGATAAACGTAGCTTGTGATAGTCCATTATTTGATGCATGAAATCTAGTTCCTTAAATTCGTCTTTCTGCTAGAAGTGGTTGTACTTGAATTAGTAGCATGGTCAAGGATAAAAATGTGTTTACTTTGAATTATTCTAGGTCCATTTTTGGTTGTTTTGGAGAGATTATATATGAGACTTAATGAAGAAAAATATGTTTTACTTTGGATTTTTTGAATGCAATGGTTAAATTTTAGGTGAGTTATAAAAGTAGTTCCGCCTGTTAATGTTAAGAGCATGTGCAATGGAAATATTTAGAATGTCTTAAGATGAGTCTTAAAAATATAAGTTTATTGAAAGTTTTTGGTCTAATATTTAAGAAAAGTGTCTTAAGTTAGACATTTTTGTGGGTGTCTTAAATTAAATTTACAGAAAACATCATAATTAATTTTTCGACACTTTTAATGGGTTTACCCTTGAACATGCTCTAAAGAAAAGAATAACGGATGAGGTCTTAACGGTTAGGGAACTTACGTAAAAATTATTTGGAAGGCTGAATAACTCGTCAAATAGATTGCTATAAATATTTTTCATAGTTTTTACTAGATCAAAGAATGCATTCAATGAAAAATGGGTCTCTAGTTAGGAACAAAAAGAAGGAAATTGGTTTTGTATAGGTAATCCAACTGTATTAAAATTATGGTACAAAAGGACAAAGATGTTAGATGTGATTACCTTTTGTAGGAGTAATATAATTCGATTTTACTATACCATCTTAAAAAAACATGTGTACAAAGATGGTGACATGTTGTTGTCTCCTGGAAAGATTAATCATAAAAGCAATCAATCACTATCTATTTTTCTCTTTCCACTTTAATTAACAAACTTAAAAACTCTTGTACAAATTATTCTTTTCTGTTGGGGAATAAATTTTGATATTAACCCAAAAAAAAATGAAAAAGGAAGAAGATATAGATTAATCATAAAAGAACTGCTATTAAGGAATACTAGTTTTTTTAGTTAAGAAAGTTATAAGAGAGAAAAGAAAGAAACATTGAACCGATTTTGAAACATGGTTGCATGCAGCTGTTGGTAGATCACTTCAACTAACATTCTTAGTCCTAAATAAAACATATAGTATTTTAATAAACATGGTCATTAAACTATAAATTTAAACCCCCATCACAAAGTAAAAGCTTCGAATTAAATTTTAGAAAAACTTGTTGAACTATGTATACAAATGTTTTGATTGGTCAACAACATTGTTGACAACATTTAAGGGTGGTCCAATGAATGAATGTTTCTGCTGCTTTCTGTTGAAATTAACATCATATACGATAATACGAATGAGAATATTCACTTAAACCGCCTATACATTTAGCAACATATGACTATATATGAGTGAATAGATTCACTTAGCCTCCTCATCCATAAACAACGTACACATGAGTAAATTTATTTTTGACGTAAAGAGTTATGAGCTCAAAGGAGGGATTCGATCACAAATAACATAGAGTATTTCATATTTGTGAGCCATAGTTTTTTTTTTTAATATTTTTGTATGAAAAAAACCTTTTAATAAAGTTTGAAAATTTCTTTAAACTTCAGTTCTTAAATTATCGTTGTATGGGAAGTCTGCTAATTGAGCCAAGATCTAATAGGATTATTTGGTTGTTAAAAATACAGACGGTTTGATTATTCATAAAATTAGTCGAAAAATATTTCAAACTCGAGATAGAGAGTATGATGCCTCTTCGAAAAATAGTCCACTCTGTAGTAGTTCGGTGCTTTTCTACCAAAGCTGACCGGATCAGCCAATAGAGTTTATAAAAAAAGTTTTTCTTACTAAATAATATTATGAAAAGTAAATTATGAAAGAATAGAACATTACAAAAGTTGATAAAAAAAATAATTGTGTCCAAAATGTTCATTACACTAACTTAGGGGAGGACAAAGAAACCCTAAAAATACGGTTTTATATTAAAACATTATGATTATGATAATATGAAAAGTAGTATTGACGTTTTGGGTAAACATCTGACTTTCTAAACTAAGACTTCAACTAATTCATTCGCTAACTTTGACCAAACTTATTTCATGAGACATACACAATAATATTTATACAGAGTGATTCCAACGTTAAAGTGAAAATAAGAAACGTACCCGATCGAGATCATCATATAAAATATCAAATCGTAATAGTGTATACAGTAGCTCTAACCGAATAGACTCTGCGCTAGCTGCTGCACAGAACAAAATAAAAAAGTACTGAATCTCACCAAAACAATGTGTTGTGAAAAGTCAGCAGTGTGTAATTTGAGAAAACAACACAGAGGAACTTATTCAAACAACAAAACCTGCCCGACATTACTAGAGTGATAATGTTCGTCATGTACGTAACAACATTTTTGGTCTGTAGGCTTCACCAGCATGAGACGGTCGATTTGTTCTTTGCTATGACTTGACGTCAGGTAGCTAGTACCTATCATCATAATTTAAAGTTCATGTGAATAGTATTTTATTAATTTTCTTTTTCTTTGGTTGTATAAACACAGTTAATTTGAGAATCATGAAAGAAACGCTTTTTTGATCAAATGACAGTTAGAACCGCAAGATTATTGCTAGCGTTTGGATATAAACCAGTTTGTTATAGAACGCGTTCAAGATTTTATTATTTTTTTGGAAAATGAGATATTATTAAAAAAGTTAGAAAAAAAGTTTAGTAGATAAATAATAGTATTATTTTCTAATATTAATGTGTTTCTTTATATTGCGTGTAATTATTTGACCGGAATCTGTTTTCTTTTCCAAACACAAAAAAATACTGTGTAAACGCTTTTTTACATTTTTATTTATGAAAATACGTTATAGAAAGTCATGTTTGTGTTTTGAAACGCGAAAACATTTTCTAGATTATCCTATTAAAAAACTAAATGTTTTCTTATTTATATAATTAATTATATCAAATTAAATATGTACAGAAGATAACTCTATAAAAGAGAACTTTTAGACATCCACAGGTTGAAAATCTTTTGTGTGGTCTATTCCAATTGAGTCATCTAAACTAAAAAATCCTGTCCACTCGTACTAGGATTAGATTTTTGGTTGATATATTATGAAACAAGTCCATTCCTACTCTACATACGAGTACGACCCATATACAGTATGTTTTTGGTCTCCTCATCTTTGTTTCTTTTTTTATCTTTTTTGGTTTGTGTTTCACATGACTTTTAATTTTTATTTTTTTTATCTTTTACGGTTCTATGGAAATTTACAGGCAAGAAACTGAACACTACTCCAAGTTTCAGTTCGGTTTTCTACTGACAAATGTTTTGACCTTAAGCTTTTGGTGCGTAGTTTAAATTTGCATTTGAGAAAATAATTCAATTTAAGGGAAACACAGGATGATCAGTACACTAAATTTGATTTCAATAATATATTCTTGCAGATATTTACAAATTAAACTAAATAACTGAATTTGCAATTTGATACTTTTATTAAGTTCAAATTATGTTTTCTCGACGTCTTAGCTATGCTTTGTCTTAAAGAAAAGTTCTACTCGTCTACTAAACAAAAATCTAAAACGTTTTTCATAAAACTCTATATGTCAACATCAGATTTCTCGCACCACAAAAATGAAAAACTCTTTCAAGATAATGCTCATTATTAACTAGAATCCACTGAATTGATCAATCCGATGGTACATGCAACAAAAGACAAAAATTTAAAATAGACTCCAATTCTCAAGGGAACCATATATTTTTTTCTACATTTTTGTATCAATAATATATAATTTCATATGCTATCTAGTACTAACAAAATTAGATAATGCAGAACTAATATCATTTGAACGTTATTTTATAAGCTTTTGTGACAGAAATTAGATAATGCAGAACTAATTATCATTTGAACGTGATTTGGGTGATCTATTGTGTTTGGATGATGACAGAAATTTAATGTTAATGGTGGAAAAAAACTTGATCCATTATCTTAAGAGACCTAAGACTGTGTTTCTAAAACTCTAAGTAATTTTTTTTTATTGGACAAAAATCACTATATAAAAAACATACTCCCTCTGTTTCACAAAAAATGTCATTTTGATATATTTCACAAAAATTAAGAAAACATTAAAATATACGCATATGCTCCTATTTAATAAGTGATTTATTAGTTTAATTAGTATTAAATTAAAGGTAAAATTAGGAAATTAAATGTAAAAGATGTACTGAAAATGTAGAATGATACTCTTTGTGAAAAAAAAATAAAAATATAAAATGACACTTTTTTTGAAACAGATAGAATATTTAATTAAAAGATCGAACATGAATTTATTAAAAGAAATAGTTGAAAATTGTATCTAACTTTGTAATTTGGATAAAGACTTTCATTTCCATTGAACTTTTGGTCAATGGTATTTATTAGAGTTAGGTCTGACTATTTCTCTTTGCATTGAAAATCAGTTAGGTGGAGTAATACGAGGTCAAAGAGGAACCTCATTTATAAGTTGGATAATCAAATTCTTCATAGTTCTTGAAATCTATAGTGACATGATATCATTATACAAGCATAAATTGTTGGGGTGACTACAGAAAATTAATTTTTTTCATATATATTTTTTCTTTCAAAAATATTAGCTACTAGTAGTATATGCCTACTTTTAATATACTACTGAAAATGTTGAAGGGAGCTATTTCTAGAACAACTTTGTAATGCCTTTGGCTCTGGGATTCGCTAAATCCAGATGCAAGATGAGGAAAGATCTCAGAATCTTTTAAATCACCTGCGATTGTGAAATTTCCAGATTTAATACAGCTACCAAGCACATCATTATCAGTCATTTTGGTGTTTCTTCGTCTGCCAGTGACTGTGAAATATGAGATTCACAGATTCAAGCAGTTGAAACTATCAATTAATTAAATCTTTAATATATTAATACTGTTGTCTTAAATAATATCTTAAAAAACCTAAAATTTCAAATTATTATTCTAATTTGAACATGTCTTGAGATTATATAAACAAGCAAATCCAGGTATGTCACCTATATTAGTAGTTGATTTAGTTTGACTAATCTATTTTTGGATATGATCAATGATGCTTAAAATGGCAAAACATAATTCAATTTTCAGAAAATGATTACTATGTAAAACATGTGTTCATTTTTTTTAATAGATTACCGTATGATTTTAGAGATAACTATATAAAATTTTGTGTTTTTTTCGATGAACGTTACATATTTGATTTGGCTTTTGGTTTTTTGTAATAACGTTGTTGGAATAACTAATCTTATCAAAACTGAAGCAAGATAACGCAAGACTCGGCGAGCCGAATCAATACCATGACTTCTTCTTGATCGTTACTCAATTTTGGTTTAGTAAACTAGATTGCTCTTAAAACTTTATTAATTCACTTCCCATTTATAATTTATTTAAAATTTAACTAGAATATGAAAAGAAGAAGTTGTGCTTTGTAGAGGACAAATTATAATAAGCAAATACTGAGACCAAAGGAGGATGCAAATTCATTGGTGCCATTTCCACTACGATTCCAACAACTTAGCCAACTTGCGAAATTTTTTTTTTGTCACTCTTTCTTTCTTAATTACTTCTTTTATTTTGAATTAGTGTATTAATGCATGCATGAAAATTATGCTTGTAAAATATATATACAAACCTTACAACAACTAATTCGGAACTGAGATCATTTATGGACCTTACTTATTTAGATAATCTCTCCTAACTTCTAAGTGCATCATGCACAGTTTTAACTACTACAATATATGAGTTTATATGATTTACGATCTACGATTTTTGTTTTGACATTTCCATTCAATAAATAAATAGATAATATCTTTATCCATCAAGCAAAATAAACAACTGAGTCCAATTTTATCTCTGATTTCAAACATGAAATTATAAACCAAAATTATGATTTAAGTAGATATATATAACCCTTATTTATTTACAAGATCATAAACCTGATGGAGAACACACTAGTTTCACACCCCCAGGTGTTACTAACCCACCATAAAGCTAACTCGAAAATGTCTCAAAAACTTTTTTTTATATATAATTGAAGTTCCTTTTTATCTATATCCACTATTATCGTTTTCTATTATATTTTCTATAAGCACTCAAACAAATCTTCCCTTGTTTATTCGACATTTCGGATCTTTGTGTGACTCAAACAAAATAATTAACTTTTTTTTTTTTTGGAAACAGGCTTAAAATAAATAAACTTTTTATGTAAATTATTGGATCGACCCTTTTTGGAGCATCATAATCATCTTACTGTAGAAGTTAATGTGCTACATGAAACCTTCACAATTTATTAAACGAAATCACATCAAAAATATACATTCTTTAATGAATGTGTAAGGTCATCATAATCCGATAAAATTGCTTTTGTAAACTTTTATTTCCTCGTAAAGATATATGCGTTTTGTATTTTGTCATGGAAGAGTTGCTAATAGGTTGTTGAAGCACATAATTCGTGTGTCTAATGTTATGCATGCGTGTATATTATAACAAGTCTGTGGAAGAAATTTGTATATATGAACAACTATTTAATCTCTCCACACACGTCTAACAATTTCATATAATGACTCTTAAGTCTCTAATCGTTTGATATTAAATTTTGAAAAACTTAAGAAGTGTACTAGTACAAAATTATGATCGCATCAGAATATGTAATCCATCATCTTTCGAGGTTCGTTTTAAATTCATGAAAATTTGCAAAAGATTTTCGTAATTCAAGCTTGTTATTGATATTCATCGCACCAATTTAATTTTTGAAACTTAAATATTTAAAATGACCTAATGTCCCAAACTTGTGATCAAATTTAGGTTATTATTTTAAAATGAACACTAAGGAAAATTATTATATATATATATGCGCACACACGTTGTAGACGTAACTCTCCAACTTCCAAAACCATTCCCTAACCTTCGTAGTTCTTCCGGCCAATCAAATGGGTGATAAACTTCGATTATCCATCGGAGTTTTGGGTATTTTTTTTCTTCTTCTTTATTTTGTGTGTAATATTTTACTTCTTTAATTTACTCTACCACATATGCTCGTTTCTTTATTTTTTGAAATACCTTTAAACTTTAGTCTTCGGACTAACATAATCTACAAGAAAAGTATTTGTATTAGATTTTTCCTGTTTTTTTTCTTTTTTTTTGTCTTTCAAAACTTATTCTTTATTGTAATTCTGTAGGAAATGGAGCTTCATTGTTGCTCTATACAGCTCCAATGTAAGTAAATGAATTCAAAAACTATAAATAAAATAGCCAAGAAAAGTAGAATATATATAACTCTTTTGTTCTCTTAATATGGGCATGCATATATATATATGTAGATTAACATTTGCAAGGGTGTTTAAGAAGAAAAGCACAGAGGAGTTTTCATGTTTTCCTTACGTTATGACACTCTTCAACTGTTTGATATATACTTGGTACGGTTTACCGATCGTGAGCCATCTTTGGGAGAATCTTCCTCTCGTCACCATCAATGGAGTTGGCATCCTTCTTGAATCGTTTTTCATTTTCATATATTTCTGGTACGCCTCTCCCAAAGAAAAGGTATAAGTATAATCATATGATATATACCTTTTTCATAGGGTAAAAATTAAAAAATACTATACCTTATATATAATTAACTTTGAAATAGATTAAGGTTGGTGTTACGTTAGTTCCGGTGATCGTTTTGTTCGGCTTAACGACAGCAATCTCGGCCGTGGTATTCGACGACCACCGCCACCGGAAATCATTCGTTGGAAGTGTTGGCCTTGTGGCTTCCATCTCCATGTACGGTTCTCCTCTCATTGTTATGGTAAGCCATATATATATATATATATATATGTAGCAGTAGACATATATATTTTGTCAAACAAAACATAAGGATGCGTATGTTTGTGCGCTAATTAGTAAATGTGAATATTGATATGATTGTGAGTGCAGAAGAAAGTGATCGAGACAAAGAGTGTGGAATACATGCCGTTTTACTTGTCCTTCTTCTCATTTCTGGCTAGTTCCCTTTGGTTAGCATATGGTTTGCTCAGCCATGATCTCTTTCTTGCGGTTCGTTTTTTTTTCTTTTCTTTAAGTTAACCTTATTAAATAACGTTCCAAAAATATGAGTTATGACTAGCAAATTTTAAAACTTTAGTTAGTGGTCTATGAAACGATATGTAATGATACAAAGAAAGTCCAATACCATTATCGAAAAAGTATCATTTAATTATATGCATGCATGGTTTTAAAGATGGCATATATATTGAATAAATTTTCTAATTAAACATGTCGTATGTATATATAATAGTCACCTAATATGGTGGCAACTCCACTGGGGATTCTCCAACTTATCATATACTTCAAATACAAGAATAAGAAGGTGTTAACACCAACAACAATGGTGATGAGCAAAAGGAATGATCATGACGATGGAGAGAAGAATAAGACCACCCTTGAGCTTGTATTTGACGTTGATCGTGATCGTGATGATGCCAATGAGAAGAATCAAAACAATGCATGTTAGCTTTCAACCTCATCGCGATTTTAATATCTTGGATACGTTTTCCCAAAAATTCCTTGTGAATCCAGAGATTTTATGTAAAGCATCTCTTATGTTGTGTTTTTCATTACATGATGTAACACATGATCAAATGTCACATTTATATAAGTTATACATATGGTGGTTGGTCATGTGATGAATAAAGGAAGAAGGCTACGTTTCTGCTTTTTTCATTCTTTATTTTCTATTTTAAGATCATATATATATTTATACACACACCAAGGATAAATGTGTCCACAAAAATGAAAAATATGTTTTTTTCCTAAAACTTTTTCAAATTCATCTGTCCATTTTATTTCATTATGCATATCTATATTTTTGTTTTGCTGTAATCAACAACGTATGTATCTTGAATTTTGTACGTTGACAAAAATAAAAAACTGTACTAGTAATTAATCAATTTACCCGGATGACAAAAAAAATAAAATAATAATAATTAATTAATTTACCCTAGTCGTTATAATGGGCCAATGAAAACATAAAGCCCATATATGTATTGGGTTCAATTCCTAGTCCAACAACAAAAGGCGCTCTTAAAACAAACCGCGTTTAAAGAAACCGCGAGATAAGAACGCACTTTTTTGGATTCTCCCCAAATATAATTCCTCTATCTTCTTCTTTATCTTCTTCCTCAACCCGAAACCCTAATTTCTCTGGAGATTTTGCCACAATCTCTTCTGGTAACATGATCTCTTCTGTCTTCTCCTCGTTTCGGATGTTTTCTGCGTAATTTTTTTGTATTATGTGAACTCCGCTGCTAAAATATCAAATTATTTGAATTTTTTGAGTCGAAATTGATTCTTTATATGCGTCAGTTTTGTTGATTTTTTGACGAATTTGTAGAGATCTGGAGTGTTTTTGATTCTTATTTGATGTTTTGCATTCAAAGTCTTGTGCAATTTATAAATTTTCTTCTTCTGATTCTTCTTTATTTACAGCTTCAAGATTCGTTTGAGCAATGTCTTCTGTTTCAAGCCAGCCACAGTTTCGTTACACGCAACCTCCTTCGAAGGTTCTTCATTTGAGAAATTTGCCTTGGGAATGCACTGAAGAGGAGTTGATTGAGCTGGGCAAGCCTTTTGGCACAGTTGTTAATACTAAGTGTAATGTTGGAGCTAATCGGAATCAAGCTTTCATTGAATTTGTAAGTGGAAGAGATTATGCCAAAGTTACAACGAGTGTTCTCATTGTTACAAGTTTTGATTTTTATTTGGTGTTGTGTTTTTTGTTTGTTTTGTCTTTCAGGAAGATTTGAATCAAGCTATACAGATGATTTCTTTCTATGCTTCTTCTTCCGAGCCTGCTCAAGTTCGAGGTAAAACTGTCTACCTCCAGTACTCCAACAGGCAAGAGATAGTGAACAACAAAACGACAGCAGATGTTGTGGGGAATGTTCTTCTGGTGACAATTGAAGGCGAGGATGCTCGAATGGTCAGCATTGATGTCTTGCATCTGGTAAGTTGATCACGCACCTTTTTGGTTTTTCTTAGAAGAGGTAAACGTATTTGCTGAAAGATGTTTCGAAGACATTCTGATAATTAGGTTGTAGGTTGTCTTGCTTTTGGAAACTTACTCTTTGACATGAATGTAAATGGATCAGCAGGGCCATGTCAAGGCACTATCTTCAGTGGCAGCCTAATGCATTAGGAGAAAGAGCACATGTGTGTTTGTTTCCTTTCTCCTTTCCCTGACACTGCCTCTCTCTTCCCTACTCTCTCCCTCACACTTCCCTTTTATCAGATATATTCTAGGATTGTAAGATATGGTCTTACATAGGTGTAGTTAGTATTCTTGTTTGATATGAGAGGGTGCAGCTTTATCTTACATATGTATAGTTAGTGTTTTTGTTTGATAAGATAGGGTGCAGCTCTATCTGCACACTTCTGCTATATAAAACCGTTTCAAAGTGACAAAGTCTATGTGGTTGTGATAAGGTCTAATTAGAGGTTCATCAGTCTGCTAACCTTTTGAGGCATACCTTGTGTCTTGTATGATTGATATGTTGGAAAACATATCTTTTGCCTCCCAGAGTGTGTAACCTTGCATTGAACTTTTCACGTTCTCACATTATATTACGTTGGTCTAATTTGCTGTCCTAATTTTTATGATGCTGTATGACTTTATTATGTAGAGAGTTAACCCAAATTAATTTTTTCTTATGTTGCCGAAGTGCATAATAATTACTGATGCACAGGAGTCTTCATAGTTGAGTCTTCTGGGGTTTTTCCGTTGTTGTTCTAATTGCTGCTTTCTGATGCAGGTGTTCTCAGCATTTGGGTTTGTCCACAAGATTACTACTTTCGAGAAGACAGCCGGATACCAGGTATATTACCAAGCCATAAATTTGCTTTGTATTTTGACGTTAATATTTATTTTACTTATAATGTTTATTGTCAAAATTGCTCTTAGGCACTTGTACAATTTCCTGATGCGGAAACTGCAACTTCTGCGAAAAATGCCCTCGATGGAAGAAGCATCCCTAGGTGACATTTGTATTAAATTTTTGACACGGTATTTAGTCTAACTGTGAAGGACTGCCTAGTTCTAGATATTGTGCGGAGGGTCTGACAATTTATCAGCCTTTCAAGCACCTGTAGGAGTTTTCGCATATTAAGGCTAGTTCTGAGTTAATGTATGGCTAATGGCGTTGATAATGATTTGCAACTAGTCTTTTCACGAGGAACCTGGGAAAATACCGTAGGCATTGATATCTAACTACTTGGAATAAGGATAGTATTTTCATGTGGGATTCTTGGCAATATTGTGTTTTCCTTTATATTACAAATAATACAGGCTTTGCGTTATAAGATTCATGTTTGTTATGTGTGAGGCATACTTTTTCACTGACTTCTTTTCTGGGTATTAGGTATCTACTCTCTGAGCAAATGGGACAGTGCTCTCTCAAAATCACATATTCAGCTCATACAGATCTGACTGTCAAATTTCAGAGTCATCGGAGTAGGTATGTGTATTCAGATTGTGTGCTGAAACATGTTTTGGTTTACTTGGTGGTTGTGATGCTTGGACGACCAAATTTACTGAATTGTTTCCTCTTTACTTTGTAGGGACTATACTAATGTTTACCTTCCTGTTGCTCCATCGGCCATTGATAGTGCTGGTCAGGTAAACAATTTGAAAATAGTCTCTTTATGCATTTACTATTGCAAATCTGCTTTCTACTTGGTTGAATCTAGCTACTAAAGTACAAGCTTAATGTGTAATCCCTACTAGGTGGTCGTGGGTGTAGATGGGAAGAAGATAGAGCCAGAAAGTAATGTTCTTCTCGCATCCATTGAAAATATGCAGTATGCAGTAACCTTGGACGTTTTACACATGGTAAAACTTGCTCTATGCTGAATCCTCATTGAATCTTTGGTTCTGAAAATATTAATTCACGGTTCCCCCTTTTTTAACTAACGCCTAGGTTTTTGAGGCATTTGGGCCTGTTCAAAAGATTGCAATGTTTGACAAGAATGGTGGGCTACAGGCATTGATTCAATACCGAGGTAATATTCTCTATTTCAGCTGTCATTTGTCTCTGAATAAGATTAAATTCTCAAACAACACTGACTGGTTGGTTTCTATCAGATGTTCAAACGGCTGTGGTGGCGAAGGAAGCATTGGAAGGACATTGTATATATGACGGTGGGTTTTGTAAGCTCCACATTACTTATTCACGCCACACCGACCTCAGCATAAAGGTGAACAACGATAGAAGCAGAGACTACACAATGCCCAACCCGCCAGTTCCAATGCAACAACAACCACCCAGTCAGAATCCATATGTGGGCAATCCACATCAATACCATGCAGCAGGTGGAAGTCACCAGCAGCAGCCACCACAAGGCGGATGGGTCCAACCAGGAGGTCAAGGTCCAATGGGAATGGGTGGTGGTCACAGTCACAATCCTTACATGGCACCACCGTCTTCTGGCTCAATGCATCAAGGTATGCATCAAGGTCCAGGTGGTCATATGCCTCCACAGCATTACGGTGGTCCTGGTCCAATGCATTAGAGAGAGAAAGAGAGTCCCTCAAAAAGTCGAAGACAAAGATGTTTTAATCACTCTCTTAATTTCTCGTAGCTCTCTTTTTATTTTTGGTTTGGTTCGTTTGGAACACTTGTACTTGTGTCCAAAAGAGAATTTATAAAACGGAAACCATTTGAGAAATGTATTAGAAGAGCTTAATCTCTCTTTCGCAGTCTTATGTCTCTCTCTCTCTCGCACTCACCATATCACTTTCGTTATCAAAACTCTGTCTAATCTCTTGTCTATAAATTTGGGTTGAATTATTGGATAAGATTATCAAAAAAAAAAACAATTTCGAATAGAGAGAGTTATACAAAGGAGAGAAGAGAAAGATAAAGAGAGGATCTTGTGGCTCCCAAGTCTCCAAGTAAAGTCTTCTCTTTTGCTCTCTAAAGAATAGAAAAAAGGAGTAAAGAGAAGGAAGAAGAAGATAAAGGATTTGATTTTTGGATTCATCATAAACCCTAAACCAATGTCTTCTTCTACTCTTCAAGCTTCTCTTCTCCTTCGTCCTCCTCTCCATTCATATTCCTTTAAACCTCGCCCTTCTCCCATATCTCCTTGTTTTAGTTTTCATCCTCAATCTCTTCCAAGTTTTTACCGTCTTTCTTCATTTCTTCACAACTCTCGAATTTGTCCCCTTCCTTGTTCATTGCGCCACGACAATGTCGCTTCCGATGCAGATTATCTCCCCAAGGACCCTGCTTTTGTTAGCCAAGGGGAGAGTACGGATTCATTGGTCACGGATACGGAGGTTTCGGAATTAGAGTCGAATGATAGATTTGTGGGTGGTGAGGGGACGAGTGAAGCTAGCTTTGAGGCGGAGATGAAAGTGGGAGGAGAAGAAGCTGAGTTTAGTGATGGAGTTAAGGAGGGTAAAGAGGAAGAAGAGAAGAAGAGCAAGTTTCGGATTGTGGTGTTGATGATGGGATTATGGGCGGCTTTAAAGAGAGCTGTGGAGAAAGTTATGGAATGGGAGTGGTTAAGCTGGTGGCCTTTCTCACGCCAGGAGAAGCGGCTCGAGAAACTTATTGCTGAGGCTGATGCCAATCCAAAGGATGCGGCTTTGCAGGGAGCTTTATTGGCTGAGCTCAATAAGCACATGTATGTTACTATATCACGCTCTGATTGATTGGTTTCGTAATATAGGAGCTGGTTTAGTTGAATTCAATTGATTTTTATGTGGTATGCTCTATTTTTTCTTCGATTCAGTCCTGAGGCTGTAGTTCAACGGTTCGAACAAAGGGAACACGCAGTGGACAGTAGAGGAGTTGCTGAATATATTCGAGCTCTGGTCATTACAAATGCTATTGGGGAGTATCTTCCTGACGAACAAACCGGGAAGCCCTCTAGTCTTCCAGCACTGGTATTATTTCTGTCTGCTTGTACCATTATTACTTCTAGAATCTGTGGTTTGGCTATCTGTTTTCCCGTGGTCTACGCTGTAATCTCTGAAGTTGTTGCTTTCTGTCTCTTATTGCTTCTATATCCTTGAACTGATATTGGTACAATGAACTGATAGGAAACTTCTCTATGTAACTGCTGCTTTTCTATTCACAAGATTCGAATGTAGAATATTCACAGGATTCGAATGTAGAATATTTGTAGTTTTTTTTTTTTTTAAAGTAGTGTTGTTGTATTTGTAATAATTATTGGTTTATGTGCAGCTGCAAGACCTTAAGCATCGTGCATCAGGCAATATGGACGAATCATTTGTGAACCCTGGTATATCTGAGAAGCAACCATTGCATGTTACCATGGTAAGTCACTTATATTACCCAATGCATACTTTTCTTTTGGTCACCTTTACCCAATGTATACTAAGTGTGGATATAATTAGGTTCATGATGGTCCTGTATATGTTAAGTTCTTAACTTGTGTCTTTGATGTGTTAGGTTAATCCTAAAGTTTCAAACAAATCAAGATTTGCGCAAGAGCTTGTCTCTACGATCTTGTTTACAGTTGCGGTGGGATTAGTGTGGTATGCATCATCTATATCTAACTTGAGATTAGATTTGTGATAGATTAATTTTGATAGCACAGACAGAAGTTTTCCTTCTCATGCATAGTTGAACTTGTGATTGCTACTCCATCATAGTACTTCTGCTCCTGTTAAAATGGAAGTTTCTTGTTTAGGTTAATGGGTGCAGCTGCTCTGCAAAAGTATATTGGAAGCCTGGGAGGAATTGGAACTTCGGGTGTTGGTTCAAGTTCTTCATATTCTCCAAAAGAGATGAACAAAGAAATAACGCCAGAAAAGGTAGAATTTTGACTAACTTGTTACTGTTTACGAGAAGTCTTAAGTGAGTTGAAGTATAAGTGATGAAATTCATAGGCATTAGTTATAGTGGCCAAACATATTGTAAGAGATGGGTATTGTTAATTAGTTGCATGATAGCATCCTTCTTACCTGACTTGGATCCTCTTTGAATTGATGCTAATTTACCCAGTCAACGTTTAATAGTTCTGTTCATGTAGTCCTTGAGGCCGATAAATTTGTTTGAGCGGCTTCACTGTGTCTTTTCCTAACAAGTTTACTTGCTGCAGAATGTCAAAACATTTAAGGATGTAAAGGGTTGTGATGATGCCAAACAAGAGCTTGAGGAGGTGGTAGAATATCTGAAAAATCCATCAAAATTTACCCGCCTTGGAGGAAAGTTGCCAAAGGTATAGTCTCTCTTTTTATTAGGTTATTATTTCTTCTCGTTTGCATCCTACTTTGAATTTGATTTTCTCCAGTCTACTTAAAGCTATAATCTGTTTAAAGTTAGCATTGTGACCTGAGACATTTCTTATATGTTTGCTTCCAGGGAATTCTTCTAACTGGAGCACCTGGTACTGGAAAGACATTACTAGCTAAAGTAAGCTCTAACATATTTTTGTTGTCTCTTGTTGAACTGGGTGTTATGAAGAATTAATTATTTCAATTGTGTTGGTGTCTTTCATGGTCATATCCCACTTAAACATAAATTCTTTCAGTCTAAAAATTCTATAATTAATTGCAGTAAGCTGACTTTGTCTATATTTTTAAGGCAATCGCTGGAGAAGCTGGGGTACCCTTCTTTTATAGAGCTGGATCTGAATTTGAAGAGATGTAAGCCTTCTACTTTTTTTTCTCTGGCGTATGCCTTGAGCTACATTTACCTTTCACTATATATTTCTGTCTGGTGGAGTCTACAATAATGAGTAATGTCTTATATATCGTTTTTTTTTTGTTATTATTTTCTTGTTTGCCAGGTTTGTTGGGGTAGGAGCTCGGCGTGTGAGATCATTGTTTCAGGCAGCTAAGAAAAAGGTCTAACTCAACCGTCACTGCTAATAATCTATTTTCAAAGGTTTTGCTGCCATGAATGAAGTTCCTTTTGCTGACCATCATATATGACAGGCACCTTGTATCATTTTCATTGATGAAATTGATGCTGTTGGGTCCACGAGAAAACAATGGGAAGGGCATACAAAGAAGACATTGCATCAACTACTTGTTGAAATGGATGGTTTTGAGCAAAATGAGGTACTTGTTCATGAGGGATAGTGTACCTTATAGTTACTTCCCTTAGTTTGCCGAAATATAATAGTATTGCTTCTTTTTATTTTGCTTATGCAGGGAATTATAGTTATGGCTGCAACAAACTTGCCTGATATACTTGATCCAGCCCTGACAAGACCGGGTAGATTCGATAGGCATGTAAGTTTCCAGCTTCTTATTCTCTATTTGTACTAGCAATGATAGAAGTCATGCTAGTTACTGGTCAATGAAGAAGTTATAACTTGTTTTTTTTTGTCTTGAAACCCCCTGTTTTGAATTTTACTGTTTGAGGATTTGTTTTTGGAATTTGCGTATCTGGTGTTCAATTAGTTTTCATCTGTATCTATTTTTCAACAGATTTAGATAGATAGCTAGTGTGCTGTTATGTTATGAAAACCTGTTTTAGATATTTCCAAAGTACTGACAGATTTAATTTTAGATTGTCGTCCCCAGTCCGGATGTCCGTGGACGCCAAGAGATTTTGGAACTCTACCTCCAAGGCAAACCTATGTCAGAAGATGTGGATGTTAAAGCAATTGCTCGTGGAACTCCTGGATTCAATGGTGCTGGTGAGTGTCTAAAATCTATAACTACGGTTTATGTATCCTTGAATTTAGTCAAAGTGTCTTTGTCATTGACCTACAAAGATACAATGATACACCACATTTTTCTCCAATCTGACCAAATGATTTCCAGATCTTGCAAACCTGGTAAATATTGCTGCCATAAAAGCAGCTGTTGAAGGGGCTGAGAAGCTATCTTCTGAACAGTTGGAATTCGCAAAGGACCGAATAGTCATGGGCACAGAGAGGAAAACAATGTTCGTATCAGAGGACTCAAAAAAGGTATATTTCAATATCTGACAACATAGAAGTATTTTTGGATGTAGAGTCAAAACATGGTACGACCTCTGACTTGCTTCTTTGCCTCTGTAGCTCACTGCATACCATGAGAGTGGTCATGCTATTGTCGCCTTAAACACGGGAGGTGCGCACCCGATCCACAAAGCGACAATAATGCCTCGTGGATCTGCATTGGGAATGGTTACCCAGTTACCTTCAAATGATGAAACATCAGTGAGCAAGAGGCAGTTACTAGCTCGTCTTGATGTATGTATGGGAGGAAGAGTTGCAGAGGAACTCATCTTTGGCCAGGACTATATCACTACTGGAGCAAGTAGTGATCTGTCCCAGGCCACAGAACTTGCACAATATATGGTAAGCTTGTGTGATAACCTCCATATTACTCAGATTAGAAGATAATTGTTGTTAAGTATTTCCTTGTTTATCAAAAGAGTTAGCAGCTGGTTCTATTAGTTTGTGGAATGAGTTTTCAGGAAAATAGTCTATGTGTTCCTAAAAACTATAACTTACAAGCTAACGGTGAAAAACAACTTCCACTGTAGTAATGTGTTTCTGATTCCATATGGAAGGTATCGAGTTGTGGGATGAGTGAGGCAATAGGACCAGTTCATATAAAGGAAAGACCAAGCTCTGATATGCAATCACGCATTGATGCAGAGGTAGAGGCTCTCTCTCTATTCAATTTTTTGTAGTTCCTCGTTCGAATCCCATTTCTCCAAAGTCTTTTCAATCATCTGGTGGTGATGATACTTTTTTGGTCAGGTTGTGAAGCTTCTTCGAGAGGCATATGAGCGAGTGAAATCTCTCTTGAAACGGGTTTGTTTATCCAAATTCTCATTTACTTCAATGAAAAACCGTTGCATAAAGTCTTTTCTCACTTAACTGTTTATACATGTGTTTCCGCAGCATGAGAAGCAGCTACACACATTGGCAAACGCACTTCTAGAGTATGAAACGCTAACCGCAGAGGACATAAAGCGTATCCTCCTTCCAAACCAAGAAGGGGAGAAGTTACCGGAGCAACAAGAAGAAGGAGACTTGGTATTGGCCTAAGTCAAATCATTCATTATCATAAACACACCTGGTTGGGTGAAAAAGGGAGGTTCAAAGCTTTGTACAGAGTAAACCTTCCATAGCTTCCAAAAAAAAAAAAGAAGGAACATGTGAAATTATTGATCTCATGTTACAAATTATTGTAGTTTTTATTTCATTAGCTCATTAGTTTCACTTGGAATTGCAACTTTTTTTTTTCTCTTTTAAACGTTCTGTTCAATTATATGAAGAAAATTGTAAAACAACATTGAAAAGAATGTAATTTGTAGTCTTAATATTAATTCTCTGATGTGACTTTGAAGGCCAATAAATCTTATAACAACATCCAAGTCCTCTGAGGACATTACAATGTAAAGAAACTGTAAATGGAGCATTGTTAATGGAACAACCTGTCCATGTGACCGATTCGAATCTTATTATATCAAAAACGTATGAGCTCATCCACTACTGAAGAAAGAAAAGAAAGAAAAAAAAAGACAGCAAAAGAGAGTAGTACCTTTTTTACAGCTAATGGAGCTAAAGAGTGTTTCCTGAATCACAAGTCAAGACAAAATCTATAAACAACAACAAAGATCCCTTTCCTTAATGGTCCGTGTTGAGATTTTTCACATCCCACCAATCCTATTGGTTCAAACCTAAAAATAAATAATACAACAAAAAAATAAAGAGAGTGTGTGTTTGTGTGGCCTTTATGGGTGCAACTAAAAAGTGTTAGAAAAAAAAAAAGGAAGAAGAGAGTGGAACCCCATGATCACACTTTTAACATTGTCTCTGCAAATTGTAAAAGATTCCTGCAAGTGGACTAAAGCCAAAACTCCCAAAATCGTATTTTGGTTCTAATATAGAAACCAAAAAAAAAAACATTTCATTAAATTAGACACATTAAAAAAAAGAAAAAGAGGGTTGAAAGTGAAAAGAACCCCAAAAATAGCATCAAATGAGAGAAACTTATTATGTAAAAATGATGATGATATTTTTTTCTTTTTTGCCTTGTCCATCCTCAAAGAGACTCGCTCTCTTTTTTTTTTTCCCCTTTGAGAGCTTCATCCATGGCAAACCAAATCTCTCGAGACTCCTCTTCCTCCTCTCCATTCAATATATATAAGTTTCTTTCCTCGACCCTTGTCATCAAACTCTGTTGATAATGGATTCTGTAGTCGTGTCTTGAACCGCAAGACGTTCAGAGATATCAGCTAAAGATTTAAGATTGCATTTGATTAAAGCCTCAACAAAGTAACAAGTCTCATCCTTTGTGTTCCCTTCCGGTACATCAACCACAAATGACTCAATCACAAGTGTCCCTATTCTTCCTTCTATATTCTCAGGGTGAAGAGAGATGATAGATGAATAGTTCTAAATCCACATAAAAAAAAGAATGATTCAATCACATGAAAAGTCGTCTTTGAATCAAATCACATGAAATGATGTTTGGTATACCTTGAGTCTGTGATCACCACCAACGATTCTGATACTGAGAATATGCTCATTGTCATCAAGTAACTCTAACCTCTCAGTACTTCTAGTAGCTGGTAAACCAGATTTAACATCGACTTCTCTAACAGTACCAATCTCCATGTTCCCTTTCACAACACACCTACTAATAAATGGCTTATACTTCTGTGGCTGATCAAATCTTCTCACCAGCGACCACACCTACACACACACCAAATCAAGCAGATTGGTATATAAACACTAGTCAAAATGGGAAAAGCTTCTATAAATAGAAACCAATCCAGATTCATCTTCCTCAACTCAATAAGATCAAACAGAGAATTAACATTTCTGGATTGAATTAACAATTGATTAAATATAGAAGCATTACAGACCTAAACAGAGAAAAAAAATAAAAAACAGAGCGGCGCATGTAGAAGATTTAGAGGAGAAGAAGAAGAAGGCTTACAATATGAACAGGAGCTTTGATATGTTTAACTAGCGTAGAGCTACACTGATTCTGCAAAAGCTCATGCTTATGATGTCTTCTAATAAACTCTCTCTCCTGACTCAGATTCGTCTGATTCATCAAGCTTTCAATCCCGTTATTAGCTTCCATCGTCTTCTTCTTTCGTCTGCCTCCGTATAGCCACGGTTTCAAATCGCTAACACCTCCGGCGTCAGATAACGACGAAAACAAACCAAAAAAAAAAAAAACCAAATCCGTCGCGCAGAAACAGATGAAGAAAGTGAGTAGCGTAAAAGGTAAGATTGAGGTATGAAACTTAACAGAGATCTGATCTGAGAGAAGTTTGTTGTTATACTCTTTTTGTATTTCCGGCGAGATCTTACGACAAAAGATTACAGTCGCCGTCTTTGGAGGGAGATAAGAAGAAGAGAAGAGATAGAGAGAGAGAAGAATCCTTCTAACAAACTTTTTTTTTTTTTTTTTGTATTTCTCTCACTTAATAAGTATTATTTAAAAAATAAATAAACCTTTATTTTTATTTTTTAAAAAGAGAGGAAACAGTGTGTGATTGGATGGGTGGACTTAAAAAGGGAGTAAAGGTCCTTTCTCTCTGATTTCACCACTCTCATTGGATGCTTTCTTATATTAATCCCTTCTCTTTTTACCATTTTACCCCTCTCTTTTTTTCTCTGTTTTATTTGACCATTTTACCCCTCTCTTGGTAATAAAAGTTTTTTTTTCATTTGGATAAAACTTTTATTTTTCTTTTTCATTTAGATAACTGTTGAAGATATATAAAAGTGAATGTGTAGAATGTGTATCATCCTATCATAGTATCATGTATGTGTGTATATTAGCTAGTGTATGGCATTAGGATTAGGATTAGGATTAGATTAGCGTCAACATCGTTTTCAGTGTGTGTGTACTTGTTTGTAGTCATATATACTACGATTTATATTAGTGAAAATACAAAGAAATACGAAACTAGTTTATTGAAAGATACTACAAATTTTTCAGGTTTGTGTATATTTATGTTTTAGATAGATACAAAAATAAGACATTAAAACATATCGACCCCTTTTGAGAGATCATAAATAGAATTTGAGACAAGTAAGGCAGAGGATGTTGTCTTGATAGCAGTATAGGCTTAAAACATTCCATGTAAGAGATCGAGATCGTCTAATAAAAAAAGATATGCTCGATCGGGAAGATTAGATTATAATGGTGTGAACTGTGAAGCCGACCGACCATTTTAACTTTATTAAGTTTGGTTTCAAATATGTGTGGATTAAACAAACCCTCGATGGATAGTTTCAAACGTTTCCACTCATAATCAATAAAGGCTCTTGGTTAATGATGATAAGGTTTAAAAGCACTCCTACGTATTTTGTATTGACAGAGTAACTTAAAAGCAAATGTTGTTGTGGTTGCATTACCAAATTACGACTATTATTAAATTCTCAAAACCCCTCCTGGTGGGTTTCTTCTGAGTAATTTACCTACTATTATTAGTATATTTATTTGTGAATGATCGAACAAAAGATTAGATACAGTACTTTAGGGTTTGCTTCATGGCCTTTAACTTTTCCTGACTCGAAGAGCCAATCTCGAGAGAGCAAAAATGGTCACACGTGCTTTATCCAACACTCTTTATATAAAAAACCTAAATAAAAAAAAAGGATATCTCAAAGTGATCACAAAGATTTCTAATAAACAAAGTCTCATATCTAGAAAAAGAAAAATTCGTTTGCTAACTTTGTAACGTGCTAAAGTATTCTTGAGAATACTACGAGAGTACCTCGAGATTATTATATATATATACACAACAAAGATTGGCTCTTTATAAGATTGGCTCTTTATAATAGCAAAGACATCTCTTTCGAACTAGTTCTCTCTACTCAAAGCTATATAGCCAAATCATTATCACACTATAATATATTGGGTAATATATATAGAGAAGTAGCACTTTTAACGATGTCAGTTTTCTTAATTTTTTAAAAAAGGAAAAAAAAAAAAAAAGAAGAAGAACAAAACGACCAACTTCATATCTCAAACGAGTTGACATAAGAAAAAAGTACCAAGAACGTAGTAAGAAAAAGAATATATTGTTCTCTGTTCTACACTTAAATTGGAATAAGATAGATTCGTTCTTATTTATCCTTTCGATATTTATACATATATGGACCGAAACTTTATTCATTTGCACTACAACAACAACAACAAAATCACTTTGTTTGACTTATAATATCGATCGAGCGGCCGTAAATATCTATCTTTACATTTAAGGACAAGAATCATCAACCTAAGTATCACATAAATAGTAAGTCCATTGATTGGATTGTAAAAGGACAATCACCTTTGTAGAGTGGGAATGTTTAGATTCACTTCATGTGTCCTTATTAGTATAAATAGTATGACAACGACGATTATCCAAACAAAAGATTAATATAAGTGAAAGAGAGATCAGTGGACCCAAAAACAAAGGTGTGGAAGAGATGATGAGATTAGAAATCAAGATTTTTTTTGAAGCAATTTTGTAAAGAGAGAAGCAACAATGATCATGTGTTGCATTTCATCTATCTTCATAATTTTGACTAATTCGGCTTGGCTAAGATAACGTGAATTCACGTGTTCGAACACCATGCATTATAGAATCAAAATCCCACAAAGTGTTATTTATTTCTCTATACATGAGAAGAAGATGATTTGAGACTCATTCAAAGTGTTTATTTACACGAAAATTAAATTGAAAATCAAAACATTTAGCAAACATTTTTACTTTCTTATAAGATATTTCTTAAAATCATAAATTGCGGAATAATACTTTATGTAAAATACTAAAACGAATCTTACCAAAAAAAAAATACTAAAACGAAAAATAATAAATCTCAAAAACAAACGGAACAAAACAATTTTTCTTTAGGTTTAGTATTTACGTTTATAATTAACAAAAAACCAAAGCACTTCAAATTTTGAAAATTGTGATCTTTTTTTTGTTGTTGTTGTAAATACAAAAATAAACGCAATGCAAGCAAAAATATTGATGCCTAAAAATATGATAATACATATTGACAAGAAACAAACTTAACCATGCAGCCTAAGGGATCTCAGTTGCATCTAGGATGCACTAAAATGTTTTGATATATCAACGATATTGGCCCAAGTCAAATTCTAAAGCCAGGACCAAACCGGTGCATGCTTAAATAGGCTGGTGTCAACATGGACCGGCTTGGCCTATCACAATCACCACCATACATTTATCACTAACATGTCAATAATATCCAAACAAATGATACCAAAATACCAACAAAGTTTTACACTTAACCACCAGAAAAATATACGAAATATTCGGACTAATGTTTCCGATGCAGATAGTTTCTGAATAAGTTTTAAGCAAAAGAAAGAAAAATAGAAAAGAGAAAAGAACAAAATATCAAACCTTACTTGGATAATTAGTGATATGCCCTAATGATTCCACATGTGAGATAAGATGATCTGATATGTTTCTTGCCTCCATTGTTACTACCTTGAAACCACTAATCTATAATGATTGTCTCCACTTCATCATCCTTGTCTTCATCTAAAGCCACACGGGGAGTTTCCTCAACTGACCTTCCAACCTCATCTGCCTTGCCACTCATCTTGCTCGTTGCATTCATACTCTTCTTCTCTCCATCAGGAGGCGGCGCAATCACTTTTGCTACCACGTCAGAGATCATTTCCTGGAGTCTCTTACGAATTTCTGCCTTGCCTCTTCCAATGAGAGCTCTGTTAGGTAACACCATTCTTCCATCACCCTTGTCTTCATCTAAAGCACGGGGATGTTGACGCGTTTCGGTATTTCCATTGGAAACAATCCTTGCACCTGTTTGATTGCTAGCCACTTGATCACCACCATGGATATTGGAACCGTCTATCTTTGGCCTTTTGAAACTTCTCACATCAAAGCTTGCGAATCCTCTAGCAGCATCTCTTTCTTGTGATTCCCAAAACTCTTTTGCCACTTGTTCTTGTTGAACCACACCCGCAGCTTGATTTGTTGGACTCCAGCTGTTAAAACCAGACACTTTTGATGAAGGACCCCCCTGAAAAACGTACTTGACAGATGGTGAAGGGACACTCCTAGAAGCTTGGTAGTAATTGGAATCCATGTGCAGCTTGGTAGAAGAGAGGTTGTTGACTGGCAGCATGGAAGCATTTGGCGGTCGAGGTATCTCTTTCGCAAAGAAACCATGCCCACACTCTTGACAACGCAAGTTCTTGTTAAGATAAATCCTTTCAAACAAATATTTGTTTTTGCAGTTCAAGCACTGTGTCCAGAATTGAGTACTCTGCTCCGCCATCGAAGAAGGAACAACGAAAGCATGCGCAGGCGAAGGCACATGGGATCTTTCCATACGAGCAGTGGACTTAGCTCTAGCCTTGACATTCTGAACAACAGGCTTCCTTACATTTTTAGCCGCTTTAGAAGTTGGCTGGCGTGGTCGTTTCACGCTCTGTGCTTTTCGGGATCGTTGAGCTTCTTCTTTGCGCCTCTTTTCTATATATACTGCTTTCTCCGGCTCCTTAGTTAGTGTATCCTTAGCTTGTATAACCAAGTCATACGCACCTTTAGCATAGTTGCACTTGTTTTTATCCGGATGGAGGACAAGAAGTAACTTGTGGTATTGTTTTTTCACTGCGTCATCATTAGCATAAGGATCTACACCAAGGACTCCATACCAATCAACTTCTCCGCCGATTAGTTTCTCTCCCGCGATGTAAACATCGATAGCCGTCATTAGTTTTTTCAAACCATGCAGCTCAGGAAACAAGATTTGAGCCTTGTTTGCAAACTTCTTTGCACCATTGTAGTCCTTTTCTGTAATCTTCAACTCAGCTACATCCATTGCCCTTTTCGCTTCATCCCTGTTGCAATCCATGTTCTCTCGAGAAATGTTTTGTTCCAAATATCTGCTCCTACTCATTGGCAAAAAAGAGAATGAGAGAAAAAAAAATGATTAGATTCAGTGAAATATGGAAAAAATCTGAGGATTCTAAAGGATTACACACATGTTTATAGAGATTTGTTTCGGTTTAACTAGCTACAAGGTCTCATGATTTGATACATATACCATCTTAACTAACATGCAAATCACTAGTTCAAGAAAATCGATCTTATGCAATGGCCTAGTCTCAACTGGTATAATAAGCCCCCGAAGTTAACTAGACAAAACCGGTTCGACTCTCTTACCATAACACTTCATTTATAATAAAAAAAAGAAAAAAAAGAAAAAAAAAAGGGAGCATACAGAACCAATGTTTGATATTACGAGATCTTAGCCACACAATAAACACACAAAAATTTATAAGCCACACAATAAACACACAAAAATTTATAAGACAATCCGCTGAATATAAATTTATCGATAAATTAATATCTCTATAAGTTAATAGATTTTCACGGTTCTAAATTATTAATTTATAGAGGTTTTACTTTACATTCATAAAAAAAAAAAGATCTTGAGAATCTATCATCCTAATGCAATTGAACATCTTAAAGAATATGTAAGATCTAGATTTAAATGAAGACTTTCTAGATCGAACAAGATTTAAATACTAATGAAGAACCAAAAACCAATCAAAACCACAAAAACTCAACTATGACAAGAGATCCTCAAACTCTATCAAGAGTAAACCTAACCTAAACTACATTTCACCAACCCACAATCATAATCCACAAATCCAGTTCTTCTTGCATGTCCTAATCACTACGAATCCAAAAAAACTCATAGTCCACATTTCAATAAATGCTAAAAATCAAACAAACTTGAGATCCACAAAAATCCGAACCAATTCACAAACATTTCAAACAGATCTAGAGACAGACAGTGACACTACAAATCGATTGCCTCAACCCAAATTCATCATCATATAGAGCCACAAAGTCTCCTAATCACTACGAACCAAAAAAAGCTCTTATAAACTTGAGATCCGTGAAAATTCGAACTAGTTCATAAACATTTCAAAAAGATCTACAAGCAGATAGTACAAATTGATTGCTTTCGAATAAGCCTAAATTCACCATTAGAGAGAGCCATAGTGTCTAAAGGAGTGATACAAACCAAAACCCCCAAAATTCATCATTGTAAAATTTGAAACCCTAAATTTAATCTTAATGCAAGCGAGAAATCGAGAAAGCGAAAAGAGTCCAAAGTATACATAGAAGAAGAATTGAAACCATGAAAGTAGGAAAAACACATACCAACAGTTAGATCGCAACTCCGAGGATTGGAATATCAAACTAGGTTTTGTTACAAGAGTGAGATACACCTTTTACGAAGGTTACTCTTTTTTCTCTCTTATTTTTCTCTTAAGTATAAACTCAAATATATAAAATCTGAGAAAACAATGTAAAATCTGAGAAAACAATGTAAAATCTGAGAACCTTAAGAATCAACCCAAATTCATCATCATATAAAGCCACATATCCCCTAATCACTACGAACCAAAAAAAGCTCTTATAAACTTGAGATCCATGAAAATTCGAACTAGTTCATAAACATTTCAAAGAGATCTACAGGCAGATAGTACAAATTGATTGCTTTAGAATAAACCTAAATTCACCATTAGAGAGAGCCAGAGTGTCTAAAGGAGTGATACAAACCAAAACCCCCAAAATTCATCACTGTAAAATTTGAAACCCTAAATTTAATCTTAATGCAAGCGAGAAATGGAGAAAGCGAAAAGAGTCCAAAGTATACATAGAAGAAGAATTGAAACCATGAAAGTAGGAAAAACACATACCAACAGTTAGATCGCAACTCCGAGGATTGGAATATCAAACTAGGTTTTGTTACAAGAGTGAGATACACCTTTTACGAAGGTTACTCTTTTTTTCTCTCTTATTTTTCTCTTAAGGATAAACTCAAATATATAAAATCTGAGAAAACAATGTAAAATCTGAGAATCTTAAGAATCAACCCAAATTCATCATCATATAAAGCCACATATCCCCTAATCACTACGAACCAAAAAAAAAAAGCTCTTATAAACTTGAGATCCGTTAAAATTCGAACCAGTTCATAATCATTTCAAAGAGATCTACAGACAGTGAGTACAAATCGATTGCTTTAGAATAAACCTAAATTCACCATTAGAGAGAGCCAGAGTGTCTAAAGGAGTGATACAAACCAAAACCCCCAAAATTCATCACTGTAAAATTTGAAACCCTAAATTTAATCTTAATGCAAGCGAGAAATGGAGAATGCGAAAAGAGTCCAAAGTAAACATAGAAGAAGAATTGAAACCATGAAAGTAGGAAAAAACACATACCAACAGTTAGATCGCAACTCCGAGGATTAGAATATCAAACTAGGTTTTGCTACAAGAGTGAGATACACCTTTTACGAAGCTTACTCTCTTTTTTTCTCTCTTCTTTTTCTCTCTTCTTTTTCTCTCTTCTTTTTCTCTTAAGAACAACCTCAAATATATAAAATCTGAGAAAACAATGTAAGGGATATATATTAAGTTAACCATGATAAAAGTTTTGACCAAGGTTAAGAGCCATATGTGGTAAAAACATAAAATATATTTTTTTCTTATTTTGTAGTCTACAACTTGCAGATGCATGCTTTTGAGTTTACTTTTTGTTGACTAGATACATACTATGAGGTTAAAAATCAAATGCAAAGGGTGTATGTATATGACAACGTAACTAGTAACAATTGTACCATACATTTTCTTACCTATACTTGACCGTGGTTTATTGACCATGATTACTGAAACGTTGTTACTTATTTGACCATGATTATTTTAATTATAGTTAATTTAAAAGTGGTAAAATAGGAAAAATATTTTTTCCTTCTCGTTACGGTCACACGTGCGTGCATATAACTGGATAATGATGTTGACTAGCTTAGTACTAAGTACTAGACTACAATTTCGGAAGTATGAAATGATATTGACTAGCTTAGTACTAAGTACTAGACTACAATTTCGTGTACGAAAAAGATCTTGTAAGTATCATTTTCTCTGATACTTATCACTTGTCGACCATTTCGTATCATTTTATTAGAGAAGGGATGTGCAAACATGGAAGTATATCTTAGAAGAAGCTAAGATCACTTGGTTTATCAGTTGGTTTTCTGGTCAACCACAAACTTCTTCCGGTAACGATGTTTGTTCAACTAACAACGTAGAGACGAACGAAGAAAACGAAGGAGATGGGGAAGAATTACAAAAACATTGACACATTGTTTATTGGAAGGTTTTTATATAAAAGATAGAAAGAAGTGGGAGAAGCAGAACAAATGAGTTTGTTCTTGGTGTGAGTAGCACCAACAAACAAAATAGAGCAAAATGAATAGACAAAAATCGAGGACATGTCAAAAGGGTCGTACTCGTCCTCTCAAGGCAGGCATAGGCATAGGCATAGGCATGTGCATGATGCAACACAAAACCAAAACACAATCCTCACACGTTACAGGTAGCCACAAATCACACAACAACTAAGCAATTTTATATTCATCTGTTTACCACATGCCCCCCAACTATATGGACACCTTTCTCCGGCTGCTACCTTACTCACCTGCTTTCTCACCCTTGGCCTCTGGTTCAGTTTCCGGTTTTCGATCGAGTGTAGCATCATCAGGTTTGGGTTCCAGTTCATCTCTGGGACTTGATTCGGTTTCCGTGGTAGCATTGCGGTTTAATTCCGGTTCCAGTTCAGCTGTGGGGTTCAGTTCTGGTTCTGATTCAGCCAGGGTGTTTCGTTCAATTTTAGGAGATTCAGTCTTATCATGACGGAATTTAACAACAATGCACGTGATGTTGTCTGCACTGCCACGGCTGAAGGCAGTGTCAGTTAACTTGCGGGCAGCTGCCTCGGGCTCTTCCTCGCTCTGAGCAAGAGATACGGCATCCTATATCCAACGTTAAAACAATCTAAGATATACTTTCCTGAACAATCTGGAAACAAATACAAGGGGGGATTTTATCTGAGTCGCACCTCATTTGGCACCACATCCCATAAACCGTCACTTGCAAGCACTAGCAACTCGGCCTCATGATCTATCTCTAGATCCTGCAAAATAAGAAGAGAAGTGTGTTCACAAAATCTCAACACTAATGATTTTACATTGGTGATACTACAGAATAGGATAACTATATAACACCCTCGACAGATAGAAGTCAGCTGCAGTTAGAAGCGGTTACTTGTATCTCGGGTTCAGCAACAACGAATTGCTTCAGCATTCTGTTACCAAAGGCCCGGGACATTGCCAACACCCCACCTACTCTCCATGTTCCTGACAAGCAAAAAACATGATGATAATAAGGCTAGGAAATCTAGTTTTTCCCTGCACAGAATGTTTAAAGAATGATTAAGCAGACGAATAGAATGCCTCGATAAGATGTTTGTATGTCAGTTTTCCCCAGAAACTTTTAAAATAGAATGAGGCCTAAAGCCTAAAACAGAAACAAAAAAAACAAACATCATTTTTTAAATTAAAATCCGTGACGGAAACATCAAGCATTTTGAGTAAATCATTTAATGAAGCTAGTGATCAAACTCAGAAGGGGAATATCTGCGATTTCATTATGTCATGTTTAGAAGCAAGCAACCACTTAGGGGGATACAAACGAGGAATGGTTTTTTATAACATCAGATTACCTGCCCACATGATAACACCACCAGCACTTTCGATTCGCTTTCTTTCATCACTTCTATTTGGCTTATGGTCATCAGATAGCGCAATCGCTGCAAAGCATTAACACTAAGTTTGAAAAGGGTCCTTATGGAAAGAAAACAACAAAGGCTTGTGGCCAGTCACAAAAATTTATCTGACTCCATTCACTATGGATAGTATAATTCCATTTAGTAAACTGATTTTTGGCTGAGGGTCTCGATTTATCTTCTAATGATATACCACATTGTATTAGATCACAATGAAATACTGACCTTTCCCAGCTTTAGAAACTACTGTCCTCGAATCTCCAACATTTGCAACATATAAATGATTCCCCACTAACACAGCAGCAGATGCTGTGGAGCCATCATCTCTGTAAGTATCCTTTTCCGCCTCAAGGAATGCTACATCAGTTTGTTTATATGTTTCACCTGCAAAATTAATCAAGTTAGAAGGTGACTCAGTGACTTGTATCAAGCTGTATGAGCCCATATTATAACAAGATCTTATGCCAAGAGATATAGAGCGCACTTAATGCTAGCTTGGTGTCCGTCAAAAATTGTGGATGCTTCATAAGATTGTTGAAGAGGTGTTCCTTCAGGTACTCAGCAGCACGTGAACCACCATGACCTGTGATTAAAGCTTCAGATATTAGAAGAGGAAATCTAAATATCACGTCAGGAACATATAATTCTGCTTCTGAGTATTACATGGACGCATATTGATAGTTCAACTATGCACTGCAGCCTTTAATATCATAAATAAGCACGAACAAATGCAGACTCTAACTATTGTAGTTCTAGATACTTCTTAAATTAATAGACATAGCACATATAGTGTGACCAGTTTGCAACGAACTACTTAAATCTGCAAATGAAGCTAGACTGTGATAGATACTATGATAATATGGAAAATTGAAAACCAGACTTCAATGCAGATCAAATGTCTTCCCGAATTCAACACTAACATGTCCTTTTCGTCTATATCAAACAAATAAAACGAAGGAAGAGAAACATAAAAACTAACCATCAAATATTCCAAACATGGACACTGTTTGGCCTTCAATTGTGGAAGCTTTGACATCATAGAAATCTTCCATCGTAGATCTTTTCCCTCTGAAACTACAGTACCCACATCTCAAGCTTCCATCATCACTGTCATTTGCACATAAAATTTATCAAGAACCACTTTAAAACAAATGAAAAGAGAAGAAAACAATACTTTCACATTGATCCAAAGCCATAGAAAACTACAGATTGCCTTCATAACAGTATAAAGCTTCAACGTACAGTGGAACTTAGTTTCTTCCATGATATAATCATCTGTATAGTAAACTAATTTGGTGAAACAAATGAAAGAGCACAACTAAAACAAACACAACCATCGTAAAGTGGAGTATCCCCGACCATGAAGTGATATCTTAAGTACAAGTCATATATCAATATACCCTAGAAAAAATCTACATTCAGGAAAACCACAAAAAGAAAAACATCAACCAAAATGAGATGCAACTCACTTTTTCCACCCACCGCCAATGTATCCGCCATCATCAACTTTCCCAGGCGGCATATCAACTAAAGATACTCGTTTCTCTCCGGTGGAAGAATCAACCATCATCTTTGCACTGGTTCTAAACCCGATTCCACTGGTTCTAAATCCAATCACACTAGTTCTAAACCGTAAACCAAAACTCAAGGTCTTCTTGATATGATTAAACCGATGTCTCCCTTGAGCCAACACCCCAATACGACCACCAGCTTGAACAATAACACTCCTTACGAAACTGCTGCATACCATCTAATAAGAAACCAGGTCTAACCTTATATCAGCTTCCCCAAATGCAGGAGCTGTATACATAAAAACACAATCCATCATTAATAAACTATATCACCAATTATACGATTCCTAAATCAGAACAAGATTCGAATAAAATTGGATGATACGAGCAGCAACTTCAACAACACGAAACGAACTAAACACACAGATCCTGGATCCCTAAAAACATAATTAAGATAACAAACCCTATCTGAATATGGATAAGTTTAAAAAATGTGAAGCTGATTTCAAACTCGAATTCTTCAAATCAAAAACTAGATCCTGAGTGTTCAAAGAAGAAGATGATAGAATTCAAAACAAACGAATCATGAACAATTAACAATAAACACGATCCAGAATCTGTACTTCCTAAACAAAATTCGAATAAACGATACGAATCAAATCGAATCAAAAAGTATAGAGAAAGGAAAAAAAAAAGAACACTAACAGGTATCTTCACGAATCAAAAGAAAATAAAAATCCAAAATCAAATCAAAAGGATCTGCGGCGGAAATGAGAATCTCAGAGCTCTGAACAAAAAAAAAGGAATTCGAATCGGATATATAAGAAACGGATCGGAGAAACGCGGTTAGTGTTATGTACCAAGGATCCGAATCTGAGAAGTGAAGACGGAAAAAAAAAAAAATCTGCTCCAGCGAATCAGCTTTTTGGAGCTTCCATGGAATCTGAAAGAATCCAAGAGAGATGGAAAGGAGAGAGAGAGAGAGTGGTGGTGAGTAGTGTGTGTGTGAGAGAGAGAGAGAAGGAAGCCACCGAACAAAAGCGGCAACGTGGCATTACTCATGCATCTATGATTTATATACTTTGTAGGGTTTTTATTTTTAATTTTATTTTTCAATTAGATTACCACACTTTATCATACAACTAATCAGAACTTTTTTCTTAATTGCTGATATAAAAACCAACTTAAATCTCATTAAAAATAATTAGTAACTCTTGTAAATCACTAATCTTATGCACTTTGAAAATTGTTATACTATACAAATCATGTTTCTTCTAATTCATGTTTTGGTTGGTAATGTTAATTTTTTTTATAGTGAAATTCTGATCTAAAATCTGACTCTAAATCCGTTATAATCGACTTAAAACCAATTGTAAGACTGTTTGTTTTTATAAAATTGATTAGTATTCATAATTCAACTGTCTGTTGTTTCTCGTTATTTTGCACCACTACTAAATTAATTAACCCCTAATAATGAGCTTGTTCTTAGTTTAATTCACTCAGGAAACTATGTTATACACTTATTTGATGTAGATTCCAAATCAGATTAAGTTACATACATAGGTATTATAGGTTTAAATAGTTAAAGAGTATTACAGCTAATGATACGTAATTATTCAATAATTTTTTTCAGCCAGTTTCGTTCCAATGATTAGTATTATTTTAAACAAGTCTGTGTCAACACAAAGAGATGATATTGAAGATTGGACGACTTAACCAGTTGCTTTCTTTGTTATTTTAAACAAGTTTTATTTTCCACAACATTAGTTAACAAATTCTTGAAACAATAGAATCAAAAATATAAGAATACTTGAGCCAAGACTAGCTAGTTCTACCCATTCGAGAGAGATCATTGTATGTTGTGTGTAACTCATTTAGCTAGTAATAAATCTATGAAATATCGTTAATTCTCGGGTTTGAATCTTTGTTAGAAGAAAAAAACGATTTATATACGTGTTAACAAGTATAATCAAAGGTAAAACATACAAAACGATAATATTGAAAGTTTTAAGTTGGTATGGAGCCAAAGAAAATATGAACCTAAAGGCCTGAAATTTCTTTGTTCCACAGAACAAGAAAAAGAGAAGAAGTCCAAAGGATCAGATCATGGCACTGAGATAAACATATATTTATCATCATATGAGTATGTTTTGTTGGAAAATACCATTATCAAAGATAAGGTTTAATTCGGGGAGCTTGTCTAAGGGATGTGAATCACTATATAAAATATATCAACCACTTTTGTGTCACATGTGTACAGCTCTAAATGTACAAAACAACAAAAGATACTATCAATAGGATATGGTATCCTCCCATAAGATTTGGCATTCAAGTACATGATCTTTAATAAATCACAAGAGAGAAAAAAAAAACGCAAAACTCGCCAAGAGATTGTTTCAAAACTGTCCTTTGTCAATTGGTCCCAAAAAAAGAAGACCAAGAATGAAAATGGTAACAACAAATAGAACCCAGAAAAAAATGTTCATAACAACTGTGTGATCATAAGTCACTATTATTCCCGATGACAAAACTTGCTGCTATGATCAAGATTCTTGCTTGATTCAAGAATGTCCAAGCACCCCAACGAAACCCGTGACCATGAACATGATCGTACTCAATTACATGATTGCTTAATGTTAATTACGATATTATATATACCCTAACATCTTCTGGTATGTGTTGAAGAAGACCATTTATCTAATTTAGTCGCACGTAGACAAAACAAACTGTTCTTTTCCATTCAAAATTCAAAGAAAAGAGACCTTGATTACAAACATCTTTTTCTTGTGATAAAGTTATACAGATGAGAGAATATGGTTGACCTGACTTCTAGTATGACTCATCATTATCATCCATGTTCAACGGACTTTGATATAGATGTTTATCGTATTCTATTATATATAGTGTAATCAAATTAAGAAACAGTTGACTTCGTGTTTCATAAATATGGATTATGCATGAAGTTGTATACGTATATATATATATATATTGATCTGGTCTTTAGATCCAAGGGCTGAAAACCTCCCTTGGTCTCCGCTAAGACCAACGTACGAGAAGGGACACGATACAGTCAAGAAGTCAACGGTCTCTATTAGCATTTACCTAACAGTATCAGTTGAAGAAGTGTATAATAAACGTTCAAATTTAATTATTAGCCTTAAACTGTACTTCTAAATTTGTGGAGCACAAGATTTGGTAAAAGGAGAAGAAAAAGAGGAAGAGGTCATGTGGGTTGCTTCGTGATTTGATCGACAGATACTCACGGGCACTGTCTTTATAGTTTATCATCATCTTTCAAAGAACATTCTCATCATCCATTTATATGTAACTACATTATAAGTAGTTAATTAAAGATATATATAACTAAGTTTGAAATTTCTAATTCAATGTTTCAAGAGGATCGTTTTTTTCAAATTATATAATCCGCTCCTTCGATAATTTGTGCCATTCTTACGATGTAATATATGATTTGTTATTGTTAAAAAAAAAAATCAATTTGTACCATGAAATCAAAACTATGTATTGGAAAATAACGTACAAAAAGTTTGATTTTTACTGAATTTTGACAATGATCTCATCAACATTAAACTTTGACGTCAAAATACCAAAATCTAACCTACAAAAATGTAGAGACCAATGAGTCTGTCAAATTATAGAATTTTTGTTTTGCAACGTAAATGATACGTCATTTGAAATTTTGCATGCCTAATTAATATTCATACTAATTAATCACTCTCAGAAGAAAAGGAAATGCCTTGATCAACTCGTAGTTACGTTTCTTTGTCAGCAAATTCGAAGATTGCATTCTTAAGTTGATTTGATGATACCGTAAGGCGTAGGCAAACACATGTTCATATATATGGAACGTAGAAAAAAAAAATCCTTAAGTAATCTCAATGAATTAGCTAGAAGTTTTAAAAAATATATGCTGGAAATTTTTAAAAAAGGAAATTTTGCTAAATAGCAAAATCATTTTTAATTAAGAAAATGGGAATTTGAAAAAAAAAAATTGTTTTACAAAGAATGGACCTTTAAGAACAATTTTATTATGGTACAAAATTTTAAAATATTGAAAAATACATTTTTATATATAGAAAGTAATTTTATATGTTCATAAATAAATGTGCATCTGATATAATATATTAGGTGTACACAAAAACAAACAATATATTATGTAAATTATGCGATAAAATCGTATAAAACGCAATTTCACCAGTTTTGTTTGTTATAACGAAACTCACATTATATGTCTCATTAACAGTTCCTTGATTATAGATTATCTATACCATCTACTGTGAGAGTGTGAGATGCTCTTTTTCTTTTACAAACATAATTCATCCAACATTGTATATATTGATAATTGATGTGAGGATCAAGATATGTAATATAGTTTTCTAAAATACGAGAATTGCTGTTAGCTCTGTAATCTTCCAACATATTCGACTACTAATAATTTGAAGTTAAAACTGGACGACAATTACAGAAAAAAATAACTGACAACTCAATTCAAAAATGATTTCGTACTAATATAGTCTAATACAATACTCAGAAGTTAAAATTTGGTCCCAAATCTTTTTTAAAATATCAAATAGTTTGCAAAGGTATAAGTGTCTTTTTAGGATGACTTAAAATATTAAGAAAAACCACTGAGTCACTGACCAAAAAAATTAAGAAAATCTCAGAGAAACCATTTAAAAAAAAAAAGCAAAGTTTGTGACTTTCGTGGAAACTCCATCCGTCCTCTCTGTCTTGCTAAAGGGCTTCGCTTTCATCATTCAATATTTTCTTCTTCTTCTTCTTCAAATCTTTCAAATCTTTAATCTTCACCATCACTCTCTCTCTCTTTGCTATATCATCTTCCTCTCTTTCTATTTTGTTTCAGGGTCACTTTAGTTTTTTCTTCTTTTGTTGTGATTCAATCTTTGCTTTTGGTCGCTCTTTTCAAGGAAAAACAAAACAAAGATTTCATTTTTATCTTTTTTGGTGGGTTCAAACAGTGTTTGTTCTTTTACCCTTTTATTGTTCTTGTCTTCCCCAAAACCTCTACGATTCTACTGGTTTCTCGGAAGCAAATACACTTGTCCATGTTCCTTTTGATTTCTACTTACCAAGAAAAAAAAAAAAGTTTCTTCCTTTTTTTCTCACCTGTTTACTGGAACTGGGTTTCGTTAGATTGAACTTCAAAGTTTTGAAATTTGAGTTTAGTTTTTGCTGAATTGAAGTTTTATATTCCTCAAATCTTCATGGGAGGTAAAATCTCTGCGATTTGAATTCTAGTTTCTATCTATGAATTTCCGACAAGAGAAGTTTGTAAGGTCAGTGTGTTCCTCCAGATTTGTCTCCTTGAATTCTAGGTTATTTTGGAACTTAATTCGATTGTTCTTCACTTTGTCGGATTCAGGTTTCAGGATTGGAAGTCCGACAAGACTTCCTCTGACGTGGAATATTCCGGCAAAAACGAGGTTCGAAGTGGAATATTCCGGAGAACAATAAGCTCAATCTCCGACAAGTTCCACAGAAGCTTTGAATCAAGCTCCTCAAGGATCAGACTTTTCAAAAGATCTTACAAGTCTTACTCTTTTAAAGAAGCTGTTTCGAAAGGGATTGGTTCAACTCACAAAATCCTTGACCCACAAGGACCTTTTCTTCAGAGATGGAACAAGATCTTCGTTTTAGCTTGTATCATCGCTGTCTCGCTAGACCCTTTGTTCTTCTACGTCCCTATCATCGATGACGCCAAGAAATGTCTTGGTATTGATAGGAAAATGGAGATTACTGCAAGCGTTTTGCGTTCGTTCACTGATGTCTTTTACATCATTCACATCATTTTCCAGTTCCGTACTGGCTTTATTGCTCCTTCTTCACGAGTTTTTGGGAGAGGTGTTCTTGTTGAGGACAAGGGACAGATAGCAAAACGTTACTTGTCATCACATTTCATTATCGACATTTTAGCTGTACTCCCGCTTCCACAGGTGATTCATTGATTGGTTTTGTTTGTGTTTTCCACGCCTTTAGGTTGATTGATGGAGTAATGTGAGTTATTGTGTGTTTCTCAGATGGTGATTTTGATTGTTATTCCACATATGAGAGGCTCACCGTCTCTGAACACGAAGAATATGTTGAAATTCATCGTTTTCTTCCAATATATACCGCGGTTTATAAGAATCTATCCGCTCTACAAGGAAGTGACAAGAACTTCAGGCATACTGACTGAGACAGCTTGGGCTGGAGCTGCTTTTAATCTCTTCCTTTACATGCTAGCTAGTCATGTGAGTTGAAATTCTTTATTACCTTCTTTAACTGTTTTATTATCAGAGCTTGATGTATAATATTTTTTGGTCAAAACCGGTAAATGTGCAGGTGTTTGGTGCTTTCTGGTATTTGTTTTCTATTGAACGTGAAACAGTGTGTTGGAAACAAGCTTGCAAGAAGAGAAAATCTATCTGCATTACGGAGTTGTTGTACTGTGACCCCAAGACTACAGTAGGCAATGCATTCCTCAATGAGTCTTGTCCGATTCAGACGCCAAACACAACACTGTTCGACTTTGGGATATTCCTAAACGCACTTCAGTCTGGTGTAGTGGAATCTCAAGATTTCCCTCAGAAGTTTTTTTACTGTTTCTGGTGGGGTCTTCAAAACCTCAGGTATTGAGATTATGTATCTCAGCAAATTGTTTGCCGTTTGTTATGCAGTGAAGAAACGGCGCTTAGTTCTTGCATCTTTGTTCTGTTTTCTTGATCCAGTTCACTTGGTCAAAACCTTAAAACAAGTACATATGTTTGGGAGATCTGTTTTGCGGTCTTCATTTCTATTGCTGGGCTGGTTTTGTTCTCCTTCTTGATTGGGAACATGCAGGTTAGTCTCATTTTCATCATATTTGCCTTACTGTTTGCAAAATTGTTGTTCTTAATGTCTAGTTTTAAATTTGCAGACGTATCTGCAATCAACGACCACGAGGTTGGAGGAGATGAGAGTCAAGAGAAGAGACGCAGAGCAATGGATGTCTCACCGTTTACTACCGGAGAACTTGCGAAAAAGAATCCGTCGATATGAGCAGTACAAATGGCAAGAGACAAGAGGCGTTGATGAAGAGAATCTTCTTAGTAATCTTCCCAAAGATCTTAGACGCGACATCAAACGCCATCTCTGTCTTGCCCTTCTCATGCGGGTAAAACAAACACCATCTATTCTTTTTACTTGGTTTCTCACTTAAATGGTCAGCGTGACTCTTAATCCTAAATGTTTCTATTGGTTATATAGGTCCCAATGTTTGAGAAAATGGACGAACAGCTTCTTGATGCACTTTGTGACCGATTACAACCTGTGTTGTACACAGAGGAAAGCTATATCGTAAGAGAAGGAGATCCAGTAGACGAAATGCTATTTATAATGCGTGGGAAGCTTCTAACAATGACAACAAACGGTGGAAGAACCGGCTTTTTCAATTCCGAGTATCTTGGAGCCGGTGACTTCTGTGGTGAGGAGCTTTTAACCTGGGCTTTAGACCCACACACCTCCTCAAACCTCCCAATCTCAACAAGAACCGTTCGAGCTCTCATGGAAGTTGAAGCTTTCGCACTTAAAGCCGATGACCTCAAATTCGTGGCATCCCAATTCAGACGTCTTCACAGCAAACAACTGCGGCATACGTTTAGGTTCTACTCGCAACAATGGAGGACTTGGGCTGCTTGCTTCATTCAAGCAGCTTGGAGAAGATACATTAAGAAGAAACTCGAAGAGTCTCTTAAAGAAGAAGAGAATCGGTTGCAGGACGCTTTGGCTAAGGAAGCTTGTGGAAGTTCCCCAAGCCTTGGTGCTACAATATATGCATCACGGTTTGCTGCAAATATCTTACGCACCATACGTAGGAGCGGTTCAGTTAGAAAACCAAGGATGCCGGAACGAATGCCGCCTATGCTACTTCAGAAACCAGCAGAACCAGATTTCAATAGTGATGATTAAATTAATTAGCATATATGTATATGAAGGATTTTATCAGAATACGATTCATGCAAAGTCAAGAATAGAGTCAATATATATAAATAGAAGTCTTTTATATAGGAGTAAGCTTAGAGATACAAAGCTTCCAATTATTTATTATTCCTCTTCAAGAGTTTACAAAGTTTGATATGAGGGATAACGTAGAGCCAAACAGAACTTAAGAAGCCAGAAGTGAAGCCACTTCTCTCCGCAGGAATGTGGGTAAAGCGAATGCTGCTCTGTGCATCTGTTTGGTACAAAGACAGATCAGGATTTTGTCTAAGTGAATATATAATATTCAATGGGGAAACCATAGTTGTGTTAAACTTACATCAGAGTTATAAAACTTCAGTTCTCTTTTATGGGTCATTGCACCATCTAGTTTCTCAATTGGGTTGATTGGGTTCTTGAAATCAACAGCTGGTCCATCGGTAGAGCACAAGACGAAACCAATCACGCCACTGTAAAGAAGGGTTTTGCTCACTTCATGTTTCTGATTCCAGTAGAGATCACACAATTTAATCAGGAGAAAAAGAGAGTTAACCTTGGATATGTGGGGACGCTGCTCCATGCATAATGAACACTTTTGAATGTTTGACGGCAAATGGAAATCATATCTTCTATCAGATGAGTATGGAGCCACATACTTTCCGCCATGTTACAAAGAATTCCTCCAGGCTTCAACGCTCTTGCCAGTGTTTCGAAGAAAGGCTTCTCAACAAGAGCTAGAGCAGGACCTACAATTATATCGAGCGAAACACGTGATAGTTTAAACCAAGTTTTTATATAGAAATTCAAAACAAGAATCACTCAGATATCCGAAGACTTTTGCATATGAATCATACCAACGGGATCTGAAGAATCAACAATGATAGCATCATACTTCCCTTCAGGGGATTTACGGAGGAACTCAGCAGCTGCCAGAAGAAAGTGATATCAACACTAGGAAAATTTCAGATAGGTTTTTTGAATAGAAAATAAGTAGAATCAATTACCATCACCAATGTGGAGTTGAACACGAGGATCCTCAAATCCAACCGCTAACTCGGGGAAGAACTTCTTAGACACCTACAAGAACAAGACCATAGGAATCCCATTCTCTGAGACAGAGGATACCTAAAAATTGTTCATACATATGGCAAGCACAAAACCATAAACTTACATCTATAACCATTTTGTCTATCTCACAGATGTCAATAACCTCAACAGAACTATGGCGAGAAATCTCTCGAAGAACACCACCATCACCTCCACCAACAACAAGAACCTGCAAAAATTTAGACAGTGAAGTCCAGCATTAAAACGCAAGAAAAATGTGAGTGTTTGAGAGTTCCGTATTTCGAATTCAATGTACTCGAATGATTCATCATTGTGAAAAGAGATATCTCATGAGATAAATAGCAAGAAGAGAGCTAAAACAACGCAAGCAAATTATGTTCCATCATATTCTCCATGAAGAGGCACATTCATCACAAATTGAACATACTTTTAGATTGGTTGATTAATTGCAACACGCCACAAGCTTTAAGAAACCAGAGAGACTAAACATTTCAAGGTGAGAAATTACATTTTTCGGGGAAGATATAGAACATAAAGGCAGATGGGCTATCATCTCCTGATATGCACATTCATCTTTTTCAGTCAGCTGTACAATACCATCTAGAACAAGCACCTTTCCGTATGTGGCTGACTGCAAAAACAAAAACAAAATTGAGGTTATCGTAAAGAAGAAACATTACAAACTGCACAAATCAGCCCCAATTAAAAGTAGAAAGATTCAGAAGATTATAAGAACAATCAAACGAAATACAGAGATGCTAGTTTAAACCTCAAACACTAGGACTTCCTGAAAATCTGACTTGTCTTTGAACAGAACTTTCTCAACTTTCAATGAGTGCGCTTCTCCTACAATTATCACATACAACAGTTCAGCTGCATAGGTCACATGAACAAGCACTCTAAAAACCACAAGTCACAAAATTTGAACATTCAGACTCAGCATCTAAAACCAAGCAGGACCTTGTACAAAGACCAATCCTAGGGTAGTAAGATGATGAAAAGCAAGAAAAACAAGCCTATCAAGAGGTAACCTACCTGGCCACATAGGGTTATTGAAATAGACTGCCTTGCCGCCTCTTTTCCCTGCATCCAGATGAGAACAAAATCCAAAACTATAAGAGATATGTTCCAAGAAATTAGGGTAGCGTCTTGACAAGAAAAGGAAGTGAAATTAATCTGACCAGAGCGAGGGTGAGGTTCAGAGAACCAGCCAGAAACAACAGTGGAGTGGCACTTAGCATCTTCCTCAGGTACACATGCCATGGCCTTAAGGCAACAAGTAGGTACAGCCTTCTCTAAACCATTTCCATTACTCGCCTTCCCATCCATAGTCTTCGGGCATACCAAACCTTTTCCGACGTCTCCCTCCATAGACAATCCTTTTCTTCTCCAGCTCCAGCCTCTGTATACTAGACAAACAAAAGCAACACACAGAAACCTTCAAACATTATAATAACCCACACAACATAGAAAAGCACAAAATAAAAAAGCAAAAAAAGTAGCAAGACTTGAGAAACGAACATCGTTGAATAGATTCAGGGAAAATGTCAGAAGCAAAACATTCATCTAGGAGAAGTAATCAAAGGTTTAGTATTTAACCCTAGAACCGAATCAAGAAGAGGAAACCAACGAAGCTAATATTTATAAACATTATTTAACAAATCTTGAAAATTGGAAAGTTGAACACTTTACATAGAACGGTTGGTCCGATTATAGAAGTGTATAACTTGGGAAATCCATCTACCCAAAAAAAGACGAGATTTCTCGTATTGCATCCACCAAATGGGACTATTCTGTAAACGAAAAAAGATGTCTTTTTAATAAAATAGGGTTTACAAAACCCAGAATCATCGAAAAATCGAACCTTTCTCAAGCATCAAGACGAAACAGAGAAAAATCAAGTTCGATTGGGAACAATTAAAAACCTCAAATGCGAACAAGAAAAGATCAGCGGAGAGTGAGAGGAAATGAGAGAGAGACCTGGTCGTGAAACGGCGGAGAAGAGAGAAACTAAACAATGATCTGGAAGAAGGAACAGTGAGCGGGAAAGAAGATTAAAGTAATGATTGAAAAAAAGGAAGAAGAAGAAGAAGAAGAAGGAATTAGATTCGTTCTCTTTCGAATTTGGACTCTCTGATTTGAGTGTGTGTGTCTCTCTCTCTATCTTTTTTAAAAATCTTTCGGTGGTGTGTTGTTGCGTTTCTCACTTCTCTCTCTCTCTCTCTCTCTCTCAGGCTCTTTCTCTGTGTAAAGAGGTCTATTTGTTTCCTCAGATGATCCTCCACGACTGAGACTTTAAAAACAACATTTTTCTTTAATTTTTTTATATTATTTATTTTATTCTCTTGGATTTTTTTTAATTGTTTATGCAAACTATTCTTTTCACATTTTTTGCATTAAAAAATATATACTTTTGTTTACTTTTAAATATAATAATAACATTTAAAATACAGTTTTTAGAGTCTTGGTGCACCAAAAAACAATTAGATTCGAAAAGACTTTTTACAACATAGCTTTGTTGCGGTGGCATTAAAGGGTTACGGTCGGATCCTGTTTGATCTAAAATTTTAGAGAAATTAGAGATAGTGTATGAGATTAATTAGATACGTATCAACTGATATGTTTATGGACCAGATTATCTTATCGTTTGATTGATGAAAGATCCCAATCACAATTTGGTTATGGAACCTTTGTTTGATTTGCGTAAGTTGATCAAACATTTGGTCGATTTGGAGTTGTTAGTCTTTTTACATGATTGATCAAATTTGCTTGTATGAAGATTTGGAAAACTAAGGTTCTGAATGGTAACATACCGCACTGCACTTCTCCCACAATAAAAATCGCAATTACCATTCGGAACCTAACTAGAATTGCCTAAATTTACATTGTTTGATCTAATTGTGACAAGACAAGTTAAATACATTGTCTTGCACAAAAAAAAATAAAAAATTCAACCTTCTCAGTTCTCACCAATAAGAAAATTGGTAGATGAAATGTCATTATCTAAGAAATCTATTACTAGTGACATGTGTCGTTTAAAGATTTAAACGAATATATTTTTGGAGTTTTTTTTCGTTCATCTAATACCATAAGAAGTCACGTAAGCTTCATCGAATATTAAGACGAGCCAAAAAAAACCATAACCTCAAAATGAAGAAAGGTCACATGAAGCAGAATGAATGGGGTAGATAGATGTCTGTCGGTGTCTTTGAACTCTTCTTTAAAGTCTTTTACTAAAAACCAAAGTCATCTTGTCCTTTTCAAGTTTTCATCGTTCGTGTTTTCGAGACTCTTCTCATTCTTCTTTTCTACTTCGGCCCTCATTAAAAACTATGGAACAAGACTACCAAGTTTTTTTTTTGTGTATGTTTGGACCATAATAAATCTTTTCAATGGACTCGTACAATAACGTTATTGTGTATGTTTCAATCCACATAAATTTAAAATTTTCAAATTTTTATATAATCTGTTGAATGGATTTACAATAATGTTATTTTGTATGTTTGGACCACCCAACGTTTTACATGAGCTAATATTTTTAAAATTGTGGGATATACAGATTCTTTCTCTTATCCTCTATAATGCTTAGAACACGTAATGTCATCATGTATATATAAAGACTTAGGATAATACCATAGTAGATTAGTAATGATCACAAGTCTTGAGATTATGTCTTATTACTAATTTAAATTTGAACTTACGTAGTTAGTCAATTTCTGCTAACATTTTTTCATTGGCAATTTTAAAAATAAAACTCTTATTTTCATATACATAAACAATCGTAAATAATAAACATCATTTAGATTTAAACGGATGGAGTATTAAACTAACTAACAAATACTGTAAAGAAAAAGAAAAAAAAACACAAAGGAGACTAATTATGCTTAAGTAAACTTCTCAAGCGGCAATAAAAATCTGCTCCGGAGAGTTCCGACAGACAGGACAAGTCCCGTTCAACTTCAGCCACTCGTCAATACAATCAGCATGGAAACAATGTTGACAGGGTGGTATTGTCCTAAGTGTCTCCTTCGGTTCGTACTCCGACAAACAAATGGCACACGTCGAATCGTCTATTTTCGGCAGCCTTTTGCTCTCCCCCAGTACTATTTTCGGATACGACTCTATAGTAGGCTCATCAAGACCCGTTACAACGACACCAGAATGCAAATAATGGGCTGCTTGAGCGTTGTTGATATGATCTGGTGGGCTTGGGACGAGACGTCTTCGTTTGATGATACACTCGTTGATTTTGCTATACACAAAACAGAAGAGACCAAAGGCGATTAAAGCTCCTGGTATCCCGGCACCGATGGCTATTGCGTAACGAGCTCTTCTTGGTATAGCTGAAATAATTAGTGAAAAAGCTATGATTAGTTATCTTTTAATCATTTGTAATGGAAAAAACAAAAGTAATAAAGAAGAAAAATGTGCCTAGATGTAATTGGTGCAAGAGAAGACTCTTTTAGTAAATGGGGTAACAATTAAAATCGTTGACTAAAGGGAGAGACGTAGGGCAAAGTTGGAGATATATATATATATATATATAAGAGATAAAGTCAATGCACCGGAGCTTTCATTATTACGGCACCGACCTGTTTTGTCCACTTACTTAATTATACCAACTAACTTCACCCATTCGTCTCAATGAATGCGTCTGCGTGTGTGTGTTTTTCTCTTTAGTGAAAGTGAAAGAAGTGTAAGAAAAAATAAAGGTATAACAAAAACGTGTGTGTCTTCACATTCATAAGCTACTCAGTTTAGTTAAGGAACTACTTTGTTTGGTTTGGTTCGTTTCTACAAAATGAAAATGCATGTGTACACGCACGGACGCACCTATTGGTTCATTAGTCAATCTATCAAAGTTGAATAGTCTCATGTTCGTTTTCGGATTTATACAAATCAGAACGGACCAAAATAATTGGTTATTAAGTAAACTTGTCGTTCAACTATAATATTTGTATTATATATTCATACAAACACACATGACTCGTTCAACACAAAATTTCGTCATGGTCTACGTCAGTTTTTCATGTTATATAATTATATAATCAAATCAAATTTTACTAAAAAGATAACAATCAAGAACTTGTTGATAATTAAAAAGAAGTAAAAAATCAAGAACTTGTTAATTAATTACCTGGTTTATGAACATGAGAGCAAATGGTGTCACGAGAAGAGTTACTCTTAATCCCACACTTACCACCTCTAATCTCACACTTCCTACACCTCGGAACCCTCCAAGTAAGCCAGAGGTTATCACTCAAATCCGAAGACGACACGGTCTGCTCATAAAACGGCCACCGAACCGGAACATAAACCGTTTTCATCAACCGGCAAGACCGAGACGACAAGTAGTTCATCATCCTAGTCGAAGGAGTAGCAAACACCGTGCTGTTCTCATCGCTCAAGCACGTTATCGGATTCAACGGACTAAAACGGAGGTACTCTGTTTTCGAAGTAGGACACTTAAAGAACGTGAACTGACGTGAGTAAACGCCACTAAACGGCGTCGCTGAGAGGTTTAGCTCTAAGATCCTTCGTGGGAGACAGTTGTTTGGGTCGTTGATCCAAATCTCTTGAGCTGCGTAGTCGATCTCTTCTACCGTGAAGTTGCCGGAGAAAGGTAACGTTATGGTGGTTCTGTTAATATCGCACGTTAAGTCAAAGCTTTTGTCGTAACCGCAAGATTGTGATTGCTGAGGTTTTAAACGGAAAGGGAAACGGATGGTCGGGCCGTCACGGCGACAAACGGCGTTAGTGCATGTAACGGTGGCAGTGGTGGTGGTGGTCGTCGTCGGGATTAGGAGAGATAGAAACAAGAGAGAGAATGATATTGTTTTTGTTAAATCCATTTTTTTTTTTTTGGTTAGGTGTTGTAAACTAAAGAAGTGTGACCAAAACCTTTTTGTACGTAAGCATTAGTAGTAGTAATGTAGTATATATATATATATATATATATATATAAAATTTCATATTGTAAATCATTATCATTATATAAGTATATTATTTAAACTTTGGAATAAATTACAGTAAAATCTAAAAAAAATAAAATTGATTGGTTGACTCATAATGTTAAACTAATAAGTATTGTGTTTTTGTTTATATATGTATTTTTTCAAGTTTGAATATTTCAAACCAATGTTTAATTGAAATTTCTTTGACAAGAAAAAAATAGGTGAGCGATATAAGTAGATAGATTATAAAAGTCAACTCTTTCCAAAGAAGCAAGACTGAATGATTGTTTTTTTATTTTTGTTTACACTTTGTGACAAGTTAATACTATGATGACTAAGACCACAATTTCCAAGACTTTCTAGTGGCCTGATAGCATAATAATACAAGATGCGACTACAATATTGTATGTTTACATCATTATTACGATTCATTCATAAGAAAAGTATAATTTCAATGTTAAACGAAAAGTAAAATGAGGTTCCATAACGACAGAGGAAGGACCTTTTCTCTCCTTCCATGAGCTAATCTCATTTCCCAAATTGCTTAATGGTGCACTTGCATGTGTTCTTCATATCCCTTATGAGATTTTATGTGTCCCATGCAGTAATAAACATGCATTTGTCAAATTTAGATAATATTTAAACTTTGGTATCCATTATTTTTTAATTAAAATATCGCACAAAAATGTATAATGTTAATCTTTGATTCTTCTTTCAAATATCTAAAAATTTGGTTTATTCAAAGAGATTATTCAAACACTTATAATAATCTTGGTCGTCTGACGTCCATGGCTTATCATATTGTGATTTTTTCTTCAACTTTGGAATAACGAACCATAAGTGAATACCCTACCTCAGTGGAAGTATGCAGAAAATAATACAAATTCAAAATGCCATTTGATTACAAAACAAATTCTTCAGATACATTGTTCCAAAAAACACTCAATCAATTACGAATAATTACTAACAGAGCTTGCTTTAATAAGTTGGAAGACCGTAAGGACAAATAATTTTGTGACCCATTATTATTTCTTGAATTTGTGTCTTTTGGTGTAGAAGAGGTTGTTTCAAGCTGATCTCTAAACGTATATGTATTAACCCACTAATGAAAACAATAGATTTGGATAACTCATTTTGCAGCCCTATTTGCTATATGTGCATGGCATTTTCATCATGTACCATTAAGTTGGACTATCAATAATATTATGATGCTCAGACATTTTCTTTAACCTCAAGTCTTCTTAAATAGATTTTCATGAACTTTTAATGAAAATGTTTTTGTCTACCTAATCAACTGAATCGCATAATATAAGGCAAAGACATCAGACTAGCATATAATGATTAATCGTCTTGTTAATCATATCTTCGCATTAATAAAATAATTAACATTCGCATTGCATGAAAAGTTCTAATCACAAATTAACTAGAAACATTTTTCCCTAGTGACATTTGGACCTCTTCTCCTTGTATAAGCCTTTCCACTGCATCAGGAGGAAGACCAATCAGTTCTAATGTCTTTCCCCAAACTTTGTTCGATGTTTCTACGTTTTGAGCTTCTTCTGAACAGTGTGCGGGTTCACAGTTTTGATTTATGAATACTGTGCAAACAGAGTTCTCATTGGTTTTTAGCTTTTGGTAATGCTGTGGAATAATCTGAGCATCTGTCGTGGAGAAGAGTGAGTTTCGACAGCCTTCTTGTGGCGAAAATATGAAATAAGGCAAGGCTGAGTAAAGTTCTTGAATCAATCTTGGGAGATCTCTCGTCTGCAGAATATTTGAGACATGTCTAAATGTTAATATATAAAAATGTAAAACACAAACAAACAATTTAGGTTCATACTTACAACTTTCGTTTGGACAACACCGGGAGATAAACAAACGACGATGATGCCTGTCTCCAAAGGCAGTTTTTTGAAAAGAACATTGTTAAACATAACCTGACACAGTTGAAAAGAACAAGAAAACGTATGTTTTAGATTATATATAGAAATATCTACAAATTATAAAATGCTGTTCTGTTATCTATAATAATGTTTACGTTGGCGAGTTTGCTGCTCGAGTAACCTATCAAGCTTGAAAACTTTCGTTTACCGGAAACAACATTCATATCATTCGGATCGACAAAACCAACATGATGCATCTACAAAACCAAAACCCAACAAAGCATATATAGTTACATGGAGATATATATAGGCAATATTATAATGAAGCATATATATATATATATGGTAAAACGTTTTGATGATGATACTTACAACAGAACTAACGTTAATGATTCGACTTCCTGAAGCTCGGATAAGCGAAGGCAAAAGAAGTAGTGAAAGCAAAGCTGGACCTAAATGGTTCACTTGCATGTGTTGTTCATTACCATCTTTTGAGAATCTTTGTGCCCCTGCAATATCAACATGCCAACCAATTTTTTCTGTTTTTTCTTTCATTGTCAAAAGGTTACGATGTTTCTAGCGTAACAATTTACTAAGCAAAAATTTTCATTATTGTTATAGTTTGCAAATGCGCTTCTAATGAACAATAAATTTGGATAGCTCATTTTGGGATCCCTACTTGCTCTATGTACATGGCATTTATATGTACTATCAACTCAATTTGGTCCATAAAGTTGGAGTAAGAGCAATGATTAATGGTGCAAAGCCATATGCCTTTGGGACCTCATCATCAATAGCAATAGCAATAGCAATAGCAATAGCATCACAACTCAAATAAGCTTTAAAATGTAAGTAAAATAGAAACAAACCTCCCATAGCAAACATGCCGGCATTGTTAATCAGGACATGCAATGGAGCTAATCGTGCGTTCCACGCATTGCAAAATCTGACGACGGAATCTAGAGATAGAAGATCAAGTTCCATCACCTTCAATAAGAAAAACCAAAAGATTTTTACTAGATTTTTCAAATAATTTAAAACAGCCATGATCCACATGTAGATGTACTGTAAAGCTGGTATAGATATTAATCAAAAACATTTTACTTGAATATTAAGTGGGAGTCCTTTACCACCAGCAGACCACTTGGTCTGCCATTGTTGAATCAGCTCATGAGCTGCTTTTATGTTCCTTACCGCCATAACAACATGAGCACCAGCCTCTGCAAGCTGCCTGCAAACTCTCACAACAAGTAGCACATTATAAGTGTACATAGGAAATCAAATCACAGCAGTGTACGAAAATCAAGAACAACATGAGAAGCTAAAGGAAAGTTTTTGTTTTTCTGAAACATGGACCTAGCGGTCTCGGATCCAATGCCACTAGTGGAGCCAGTGACAATACAAGTTAAGTGGTTTAAAGAAGGCAGAGGAAATGGATTATGTAAGTGAGAAGCCATTATTCTCTGCAAAAGAATCTCTTGCATAACATTGACCCATCCTCTCATCCACTCAATCCAACCTAATCCATCCTTTAACTTCATTGTCTTCAACGACACAGTTGCATTACTCATCTTCTCTCCTAAGTTCACAATGCAGCTAGAGAAAGACAAAAGGATTGCGTCAAAATCTAGGAAGTAAGAACATGATAAACATTTTTGATTAGTTAAAGCCTGCGACGCCAAAGACTTTATGGTATACATATTTCGTCCCTGCCGTTACAAACTTACAATAATGTTTAATTAGTTACTGTTAGTTTTATTTAAGGCTTAAGAGTTCATGAGAAACAATCTTTTATTTTGGCATAACTTCAGAAATTCTAAGTAGCAAATGTAGTATAACATAAAAAAAAACAGGGAACAATACGTTATCTTTGACAACAATCAAAGCCTCTTGTAAAAGAAAGCCGTTTCGTCCTTTCTAAAAAAAACATTGCTGAAAAAAAATATGAAAGCTATATACCCTGAGATCTCATCCTTTATCTTATAAGAATGTGTGTAATTAGTGTAACGCAGCTTTGAGGTCAAGTTCTAGACGCTTCTAACATGTGTGAGAGTATATGGCTTTGTAGTAGAGTTGTGAGAAAGACTTATTCTTGGTGAGTCCCGTAACGGCATTGCACCTCTTGTCCTTCTATAAGCTTCTCCAATGCATCAAGAGGAAGACCAATCAGCTCCATCGTCTTCTCCCAAACTCTGTTCGCTGTTTCTATGTTGTGTGCTTCTTCTGAAGGCTTTGTGTGCTTGCAGTTTTGAGATATGAATGTACAAATGGGTTTATCATTCGTTTTTAGCATTTCACAATGCTCTGGAATCTGAGAGTCTGTAGCTGAGAAAAGTGTGCTTCTACAACCTTCTTGAGGCGAAAAGATGAAATATGGTATCAAAGCGTATTGAACTTGAACATATCTCGGCAGATCCCTTGCCTGCATAATTGGATGTTTGAAATGGTTTAACGCAATATAAGTTCTGAGGAATGAGCTATGGAGTGAGACTTAAAGTAATACTCACAACATTTGTAAGGACAATCCCGGGAGATAAACAAACAACGCTAATGCGAGTTTCTAGAGGCAGCCTTTTCAAAAGAATATTGCTAAACATAACCTGACCAGATCAATGTTGAAAATAGATAGTAAGTCCATTAGTTACTGAGACCAAGAAGAAAAGGGAAAAAATATTGAATGTTCTTTTGTTTTAGACTTTAAGTTCTCACCTGTGCAAGCTTGCTGCCGGCATATCCTACGAGGCTTGTAAACTTTCGTTTACCAGAAACAACATTCATGTCATCCGGGTCAACAAAACCCACATAATGCATCTAACAAAAAGAGCAAACCCAACAAAATATGATCTTGCATAAGATGGGAATAACCTTGTATTTTAGATTTAATAAAAGCAGGAATGCAGCAGAATTCACAAATATGATCTTGCATAAGATGGGAAGATACCAAGAAGATTCAAATTTTGCAACATCACTCTAAGATAAATAAATAAAATATTCAGTGATGATGATGATACTTACAACAGAGTTCACATTAATGATCCGGCTGGAGGAGCTTCGGATAAGCGAGGGCAAAAGGAGTAGTGAAAGCAGAGCGGGAGCTAAATGGTTCACTTGTAAGTGTTGCTCATATCCATCCTTTGAGAACTTCTGTTCCTCTGCACAAATCAAGGTAGGAAGCAACTAAGCTGGTTATTTTCAAACATGTAGTACAGAAAATTTGGCAAGCTGAAACTTATTGATTAGAAAAACCAAAAAAAATTGCGAGAGTGAAGTAAACATGAACAAGGACATCAGCGGAAGAGTTAAACAGAGGTCCAAATTAGGGCAATTGGGCCCATCGAGTCGATATATGAACGATGGAGAAAACTGATTAGTGAAACATTATGGTAATGATAATTCAATACTAATAACACCAGATTATCAAAATGCAGAACATAAGCTCGCCGGTAAAGAATAAATAGTTAAAATTTGACAGCTAAAATGCTATAAAACCAACCTCCCATGGCAAATATGCCAGCATTGTTAATCAGAACATGCAACGGGGATAATCGCACATTCCACACATTGCAAAACCGGACGACGGAATCCAGAGAGAGAAGATCAAGTTCCATAGCCTTGAGTAAAATAAACACATCATACCTCATGATCATCAGCCATTTAGATATAAAACAAAATCCACTACAGTTAACATCCTCAAAAATCTATAGATTCTTATCTACTCAGATCACAAACATTTCACAGTTATATAAATCACACCTTGTTGACTAGGCTTTAGTCCAAGTAAACACATTGCTAAATATAGATGTCATACTAAATGATGATGATCAGATAAAGATTTTACCTCTAGATTAAGTGGGAGTCCTTTACCAGACCAATCCTTCTGCCATTGTTGAATCAGCTCATGAGCTGCTTTTGTATTCCTCACCGCCATAACAACATGAGCACCAGCTTCTGCAAGCTGCCTACAAATTCACACAACCAAGTGAAAATCATTTACACGATAACCATAGAAACAAGCCAACACGAATTCAAACCTCGCGGTTTCGCGACCAATGCCACTGGTGGAGCCAGTGACAATGCAGGTGAGGTGATTGAGTGAAGGAAGAGGAAGTGGGTTCTGTAGATGAGACGCCGTGAATCTCTGGAAGAGAAACTCGTGGAATACACAACTCCATCCTTTGATTGACTCAATCCACCCCAAACCTTGCTTCTTCTTCTTCGTCAACGACGAGGCTTCACTGCTCATCTTCATCTTCAAGGCTTGGATGATTTGATTAGAGAGAGATCTGTAGTAGTTTCAAATAAAAGACAAAAACAGTATTTGCGTGATTAAAGATTGTGATTATTTACTAATTTTAAAATAATCTTCTTCCCTCACACCTCGGACTGGTCGCTAATCACTCATTTGTATTTTTCATAATTAATTAACAAATTAATTAACTTGTTATTAGAGAGTAAGAGTATATATTTCTAGAAGCTAAGACTCTGTTTGTATCTCTCTTTAATCAAAGCTAATCTTCTCCTAAACTTAAATTTCTCATCTTTCATCTCCAATTTATCCAAGAAGTGGATGATCTTCTGGAGTGTAACAATGAGTTCTTGTGCTGAAGGACCAAACTCTTTCTCTTGGATCATCATAACCCTTTTCAGCAAACTCAGTAATTCTCCACTGTCTCTTTCTAATCTCGCTTGGATCGACACCAAACAGTCCAGCGCCTCGCCTACATAGGGGAACATATAGTGATATAGATATAACATCACTTCGAGATAATGAACTTTAAAACTTTTATCCATACAAGAAATTTCATTGATAATATTATGGAAGAGAGATATTATACCAACAGGGAGAGAGTCTTTGCCAAATGCGTTCTCACGGATTCGTAGAACCTTTATGGCTATTTGCTCAGCTTCCTCATCTCGGTTCAACTGAGAAAGAGTGACTGCAAGATTCAGCATTGGAAAAGTTATTGACTGATCCTCTGAACCAACAGATTTTTCCATGATGTCCAGACATGTTCTTAGCAATCGTTCTGCCTCGACATAATTTTTCGAACGGGAATAAGATGCTGCAAGGTTGATAAGATGTGTAGCCATGCTAGGATGGTTTTTCCCTTTGAATCTCTCGTTTATTAGTAAGCATTCTTCTAGTAACTCTCGTCCTTCGTCTCCCCTATGTGCAAAGCGAACATTAATGGTGGCTTAATTGAGTTCCTCAATCACAGAAAGAACATTAGTGGAAATATTTTTACCTTCCAACAAAATGAAGCAGCTCAGCAAGATCTATCCTAATGTTTTCCAAGACACTGTTTTCTAAAGCCATATAATTTGAATCTTTGATTATGCGTAGAGCGTTCTTGTAGATATCAACGGCTTCATTTGCATCGCCTGTTAAGAAAACGCGAGGTACAAGACCGTCTCTTCAACAAAAACTCGTAGTTATCACATCAAAACAGAGTGGGGAGTTTTAGAACCCACCTTTTGAGCACTTAGCATTAGCAAGGGAACACATGGCCATACCAACTCTTCCATCTTTCTCTCCATATATCTTCTTGTATATATTTATAATCCTACCATATGGAAAGAAAATGGAAATGGATCACATAATATGCAAATAACTAATGTAAAAAACTTTGACCAACGAGTCATTTTCACAGCGTACCTGGTAAAAGGAATTTCTGCTTCAGCAGCTTTACCCTCTTTGAGCAGAAGCTTACCGAGTGAAAATAACGGCACCACGAGATCATCACTTTCAGAACTTCTATTCCGTTCCAAGATAGTTACAGTACGCTCATAAACACCTACAGCTCTAGTGGCTTTTCCATCAGAAGCAAAACTCTTTGCCAAACCAAGTAATGGTGACACAAGTAGAGTACTGCAATTACCTAGCATGTAGAAGTCATGTTGATCACATACCAATGAAAAGGTAAAAGAAGACACAAGAAAAAAAGATATGGGTTTAGAAAATCATTACCATATCTATTCTCTAATATTCGAACAGCCCTTTGATTCGCAAGAATAGCATTTTCAAACCTTCCTATTGCCGAATACATACTGCCAGCATGCATAAGTACTGAATCCAAAAGAGGTTCGGAGTCCTCTAGGTTATCAACAATCTTGTTTATCTGCATTTGTCAACTTCTGTTTAAGACATATACAACATAATCCAGTTAAAGAAATGATTTTTTCCTGATATATAGCTTCGACTCACCATATCAAGCAATGCTGGGACGGGTTTCAAGTCTCCAACAGCCATATATCCCAACGCAATGATGTCAAGAACAGCAGCTTGTTCGATACCTTTCAAACCGGAATCAATCTCTTCTTTCACAGCAACATAATTCGCTCGAAGAAGGTCCATTGCGTCTCTTTCCTTCCCCATCTTCACCATAGCTTTGACTTCGTTAAACAACTCTTGCAATTCCATCTCAAACTCTTTCATCTCATTAACATTGTTGCTTGGAGTAGACCTAGACAGACAAAACTCATCTAAATTCTTCTTTTTCTGAGGGAAACAACAAAAGCAATCAATCAATCAAGTTCTCACCTTTGAACTTCAGAAAGGCCAGAAGTAGCATAAACTGAGGCGGTTTCTGAGGAGGATATTGAATCAACTGGAGTAGATAAAAAATGGCGGACGGGAATCAAGTAGAGCTTAGGTTTACGTTTTTGAGTACGGAAACAGAGACACTGCCATGTCGAATCTCTCGGGACACTACCCGACTGAGAGCTTAACTGATTCGCCCTGAAAACCCAAAATCACAAATATAAGCAAAGACAGAAGCCAAACACTTTCGGATACCCAATTTTTTTAGAGAGATATTGAGCTAAACCAAGTCACCTTGGATCAAACTTAAGCTACTTCACCGTAATTTGATACCAAACTCAGAAATTAAAAGACTTAAGTTTTTCACTAAAAGGCTAAACTTCAAAGCGACGGAAAATGAATTGTTTACCATTTGGTGAGAAGAGTCGTCGAAGAGAGGAGAGAAACAGAGGACACCATTGACGAGGAAGTGGAAAGCTCTTCGTTCTCGTGGCCACGGTACCGCCGAGTCGCCGACTAGAGAAATAGCGCCGGTAATACCAATATGCTGATAAGCAATTTTCAATTTAGGGTCCGAAACTATATAATTTTATAAAATTTAGACCCAAATGTTTTTAATGAAACTAAATAGACACAAAACCCTGAACTTTTTAAAATTGTTATTATCATCCTTCTTCTGGTCGAATCCGGTTTTCACACAGAACTTTGATTCATAGTTTATATTTAGGACCGGACTATACCCGGTTTATAGAACTACAGCAAAAAAAGAAACGAGTGAAGGGAAAATGCAACTCATTTTTGTTTGCTAACAATGTTTCTGCTATTCCAAGACTACAATAAAACAGATTGGAGAAGAGAACTATCACTGAAGGAAGACTTCCAAATGAGGAGATTTAATGGCCACGGACTTTGACTTTGAGAATCCATTGAACAGTTCCTTGTGGCAAAGGAATTGTCTTGGGGAATTTCAGAGGCACCTCGTACTCGCCAAAAGTTTCCAAAGGTGCAGGTAAAACCACGTTGTCTGGATCAATCTTCACACAGAGCTGCCTCGCCACCTTCATAAACGGACACAGTAACCAATGAGTACAAGATTTACTTACAAAACTTGTAGTCAGTTAGAAGGAAACAACATGTACCTCGGCGACAATCTCTTCCTTTGTCACAGGAGTTTGTACATCCGGTTTGTCGTCTTTTGATGACCGGTTTTTGAACTTTTCCTTGTCAATTAACTTCCTCAGTACCTGTTATTCAAACAAATAGATCTCATATTACAAATTTCTGAATATGCCACAAGAATAAGAATGCTGAATAGTAAGAGTTAAGAAGGCAAATAAAATTTACCAAATTAGCATTGGCTAGGCGCTTTGCGGCCTTTTCATACTCCTTTGTCTGGACTTCAGAAGTTTTATGAACCACCTTAACCTCCTCTTTATCTTCTTCATGATTATACAACTGAACATATTCCCATCAAGAGAAATCAAACACTTTCCCAAAATAACTGTAGCATCATAACATTATCAGGGCAAGTCAAACCTATTTGCATTCCCCTTTACATCTGAACATATGCCCATCACAAAATCAAATGAAAGGAAAAACGTCTAACACTAAACCAAAATAGCTTCAGTACCGAAACATTATCATATCAGGTCAAAAGAATCTGCGTTACCCTTAACATAAGAACTATCTATACATCATCAAGATCACAACCTAGATACCAACAACAAATGCAGAAAACAACTAGCATCCGACAAAGTAGACAAAGTCAAATGAGCAAAGGTGAGAGAAGAAGGAGGTGTGAATTACCTTGCGTTGCTCTCGGATAAGATAAGCATACTTGTCAATGTTAGGTACAGCAAGGAGTTTAGGCATAAGGTGATTCCTGAAGTATCCAGGAGCTACCTTCACAGTCTCACCAGCTTTGCCAAGCTTCTCTATCCCCTAAATCAGATCAAGAGGAAGACAAATCAAAACAAACCCACATCTGATTCAACTCAATTCCAACGAAATGTGAAGGAGATTCAAAATCAAACGAAAAAAAAGATTATGCCTTTCAGAATCATAAAACACACCGTTGTAAGAATAACTTCCAATTTCCTGTATCTAACTCCTTGACAAGCGAAAAGGAGAGGATGATGAATCGCATTGTCATACTTGTGATAAGCTGTTCCTCTCGAAACTACATGACGAATCACGTTTCTACTTTGCCCAACGTAAGCCATTTTCTCGATTCAACTATATTCTCTGCGACCAGATTACAATGAGAGATTCCACAATAAAATGGAGTGAGAAAAAACCCTAGAATACGACTGATATGAGAGCAAAGAGAAAAGAGATAACCAAAAAGAGCAGAATAAGGAAGAATCAATCACCAGTGAACCGGCAACGGTGGAAATGGCGACGGCGGTGCGATGCGACGTCTCACGAACTCGAAGAAAAGGGGAAGCCGCAGGCGAGGATTTAGCAATCGCAATTTTTGTAAAGTAAGACTTAAGAATTAATTATTATTTTAATCCTAAACTTTTCCAGTTTCGCAGAAACAACCCTAACTCATCGTTGTTTCCCCACGGACAAAAGTGACCTCTAATGAAACTTCATTATATTTTTATTTCTTTGAACAAAGAAACTTTGTTATATATGAATACAACATAAAGATGAATGCAGAAAAGAATTTGAATGTTTACTTTCGGATTAAATTTTAATGACTTTGTAAAAAGTTACAGAACTGAACAATGTAAAAGAAGACTAATAGACAACATAGAAACCAAAGAGTTATTGTCAAAATGTAGATTGTTCATCTAACTAGTCCTCAAACTGCCCACTGAAATCCTAATATTCAACAAATCATACATAACTCCACATTTCACAGTTTCTTTATCTTCATCCCTCTGTTAACCGATGATGATCCGGTCCAAGCTCACATTACATCCTCTTGCACTGCACCAAACATGAAAACGGAATCAGACTTACATATCAGCAATTTTTTATATTAGAGTTTCGAAAGATAAAAAAAACTTACTGCTCAGGATGAAGCCTTGAAGCAAGCTCTGTGCTCTCTCTGCCTGCTCGGGTGTACCCGAAATTCGAATGATATTCTGTGTTTCTTCTGGTCGGTCTTCAACTAAGGTTACACTAGCTCCAGACCACTGTGATCAAGTGGGAATGAGAGAAGACAAAGCGTCAAGATTTATGATTAGAAACATGATTTGCACCATTATAAGTCCAATCAAAAGAGTTACCTCACTGATATGTGCAAGCTTGTTTCTTGATTTCGTAACGAGCTTATGAAGCGCAGCCTCTGGTAAGACAACTTCAAGAGTGCTCCTAGTAACAAGTGGCACCGCCATTCTAGAGAAAAAAGAACAAAAACAAAAACAAATAGGAAGGGGAGGTGTGAAACAAGCCCTAATTTCTTTGGAATATGTCTTTGTCTACAGTTCCGGGAAAAAAAAAAATATTTAAAATTTGGGAGTTTCTCTACCTGCTTGTTGTGACAGGAACCTCATCTCGGTGTTCACTTTCGCCAGCCTTTGCAACTGATCCAACAGCTTCCTATCAAAACCCAGGAGAAAAATATGTAAATATAGGTACGTTGCAAGGATGGACAAGAACCCTACTTTCCAAGAATTCAGGTCATTGTGCATAGCTGATAGCTAGATAGCAATATTACATTGTTTCAATGACTTAATAAGTCTGAAGCTAACTGATTACAGATGCCTTTGTATTGAATAGATTATTGTTAAGAACATAGACCTTGAATTGTGGCATGATTGTGCTAGCTTGCTGCAAGATCAGATTGGAACCAGTAAGACCTTCACGGGATTGAGTTGTGTTATTTGAGGAAGCAACCTCCATTACTCCTGCAACACCTTCAAGAGGGCCAGATGTGGATGTAGAAGCTGGTGGTGTCTCCTTTTGAGAGAGCTCCTTGTACATATGACTCCTCAATCGTGACGTTAATTCCACAAGTGCTTCTCGAGCTGCTCTGATCTCACCAGCGATCTACATCGACAGTAGAATTTTCTTTTGAGACCAGTTGTTTAGTAAAATGCCCAAATCCTCAAAAATAGACAAACCTACCTGTATAACAACATCATTGATGGAAACAAATCGGGGAATTTCTTCCCTAGCTAGAATTTGAACGCTTGTTCCAGTTAATCGTGATATCTCAGATACTGATCCTGCTTTCCCTTCCAAACATATGGAGTCTCTAGATGGGACAACTAATCTCGTTGTTATTAAAGTATCTTGATCCGGAATAAGATCTATGATCTGAGTTTGAATGTGCAACAAGGCTTCTTGAGCAGGGAAAAGTGGATCATCAGGAGCCTAAGCAAAATAATAATACAAAACTTTAAGTTCACAATTGTAAATGTAACAGATAATACTGAAGAAGATCTCGGGATATTTGGAGTACCTCTTCCGAAGAAATGGTGATTATCTGTTCATCAGAACCAGCTACTGGGTCAGATACTCTTACGTCCACGCCAATATCGTTTTGAAGCAAATTTATTATTCCTTGTGTTTCCCCAACAACCCGAAAAATCTTGTCAGTAGGGCAGAGAATCCGGAACACAAGCTCTTCGGTGTAGAAAGGCTGTGCATTCTCACCAACCGGAACTGCTGAAGCTTCTTCTGCAAAGTTGGATTGGCGAGAACTGAAGTTGTTGTTTCTGTAATTACCTTGAGGAAACCTCTCTGATGGTTGTCTTCTTTGCTGTGGGATGTAATCATCCGCAGCAGCTGGAAACGGCCGTTCTGGTGAATGTAAACGCCCTTGGAAATTATTACGATCACGATGTTGACTCTCTCTTAAACGAGATGAAACAATGGCTAAAGCATTTTTCACAGCATGAAGTTCACCTACAATCTGAACAAACCAACATCATAAATACATTTCCCATAGGTAAGTAAAAACCAAAGAAGGCTTAAAACATAGCTCACACTAACCAAGACAACTACATAAGAGAATTTGACTATTGCAAACAACCTCAAGCTCACAATCAAACGTATAAACTATCTAGCATTGCTTCAATCTCACAGAACATCAATAAATTGCCTACATTTCATTAACTCTGAAGATCATTTTCATATCAAATTCCTAACCAGATTCACCATTTCATATATGATTTCAAGCAAATTGCAACTAGTTAAAGTTCTCAATAATAGCAATTTTCAGACCTGAACAATCTCTTCAGAGAGTGAAACACAACGAGGCAAGTTACTCTCCCTTGGAAGAATCCGAATATGAGTCTTAGTTTCAATCCTCATCTGCTCAATGATCTTCCCACCTTTACCCAACAAGCAACCAACATGCATCCTAGAAACCACCAGTCTCGTCACCACTCTCCCTCCACCAGGTCTAACTCCACCGTAATCCTCCTCCTCTTCCGGCTGTGCTCCACCATACCCAAACTGAGGTTCACTCTCCAAAATCCTATCATGAACACTAAACAGAGCCTCCTGAGCCGGAGAGAAAGACGGCATTCTCCCATCAGGATCACGACGGCGGTTGTCTGAAATCTCAATGATACGCTCAGCGTCTCCGGGAACCAGCTCATGCACGTTAATCCACGCGCCGGTATGCTGTCTTATGGACTTAATGATTGTCCCGGATTTACCAATGACGCCTCCAGCTTTAGCATCGTGACAGAGGATTCGATAAGCCGTCGTAGCCATCGTTTCAGGGTGAGACTTGGATGGACGGCCATTCCCACCTCCTCCTCCACCACCACCACCTCCGCCACGGTATCTGTTATTCCCACCGCCGCCGCCGCCACCAAAATGGTAATTATTGTTGTAGCGAGGTTTAGACCTGGGCATGGAATCTCCGTCATAGTCTTGGTCATAGTGGTAGTTTCTCTTCGATCTAGATCTCTCCATTAGACAAAATCGCAAACCCACAAATCAAAGTTCAATCTTTAGCTAGTTTTTTTTAAGCAATCTCGCCGGAGAAGTTCCCAAATTTTAGAATTTAGAGGGTTTCTCAGAGATTTGGAGTTCACAAGACCCTAGAAGTCTATCAATACCCAAATTACTTTCCTTTTTACCGGAAATTGGAAAAAGGAAAAAACTTTCTGGTCAATTCCTCATGAATACTTGAAGGGCCAATCCGCGAATTTCCAAATCAGGTGAACTGGTGTAAGGAAGGGTTCTTATGAGTTGTGAATCAAACGAATCCAAGTTTTGAAGTTGAGAGTAGAGAGAGAGAGACCGTGCCATGAGGTGTGTTTTAGTGGTGTGCGCTAACTACGGTATTGGGTAATATACGAAAACGTAGTCGTATTCTTGTGTGCTCCATATTTCATTACTCAAAACTACTCATATGAGCCAAATAGATTACTAGACGTTGAATTGATGAGCTTTTGAGCTCACATAAGATATAACGTATAACTTAGATACTAAAAATGTATACATTTGGTTTTGTGAGAAAATGTGATATTATTAATACGTAACCAATCAGATGACGTTCCGTGTTATGTACGTATTTTTAAATTTTTTTAAATTATGTGATTTAAATTTGGTAATGATATTCAATATAATTTTACTATATTAATAACTTATTTTATTTTAATTGATTAATACGTAACCAATCAGATGACCTTCTTTGTTATACACGTATTTTTAAAATATCTTAATTATGTGATTTAAATTTGGTAATGATATTTAATATAATTTTACTATATTGATAATTTATTTAATTTTAAAAGATTAATACATAACCAATCAGATGACGTTCTGTGTTATACACGTATTTTAAAATATTTTTAATTATGTGATTTAATTTGGTAATGACATTTAATATAATTTTACTATATTTATAATTTATTGAATTTTAATTGATTAATACGTAACAAATCAGATGACGTTCCATGTTATGCACGCATTTTAAAAAGAAATTTTAGTACGTGACTTAATTCAGTAATGATATTTAATATAATTTTACTATATTAATAGTTTATTTTATTTTAAATACTAAATATATAATTGTCCGTTTTAGATTAAGTAATGTTTAAGGTTTTTTATGCAAATTAATAAAACAATGGTTTAAAGTTGTACACAAAATCAAGAAAACAAATAAAGTTTTCTGTTTCGTATATGTATATTTTATCATTTTTTCATTGTTTCATGTATTAAAGTAAACAAGGGTAAAATTAGAATTTTTATCAACTATCTAGATTGAAAACTTATAAAGACAATTATTATGAAAAATTGACTTTAAAAAAAATAAAAATAAAGTATATTCTATGCTTTATGAACTGTATTCAATGTATTGAACTATATTCTAATTATTATGTTGTTTACACATTAAAAATTATATTAAAGTTCTTTTTGATGATATTCTTTTAAAAGGTTGTCTCGTAATAATAAAAATTGAATAAGATGTATTTTCATTTAATAATAAATAGAAATAGTTAATTATTTTAAATTAGGAAATTAATATTTTTGGTTTCAAAGCTTGAGGAAAAAATCTTTAATCAATCTAAATTTTAAGAAAATAAGATTAAAATAAGATCAATCTAAATCTTGTTCGTTCTTCCAGATCACTTGATTCGAAATTTATTTTTGTAAACGATTTCCCTTCTGATTGGGCTACCAATCATGGAGTATTATTTTAATTAATGTGTGGTTGAAAAAAAAAATATTAAAATGGAAAAATGAAAAATAAATAATAATTATTTGCTAATGGCATATCATATATAAATACAAATATAGCAAAAATAAAAAATTGAAAATAAATATTTGCTTTAAATATATAGTACATATAGTAGGTTGAATGTTCAAGACTTAAGTGTTTGACTATGAATTAACATATGGTAAAAAAAATCATCTGGGAGAGATATATGTGTTGAATCCTTGTAGACCATTTTGATCTAATCTAAATCTTAACTGAAAAACATTGGTCAAAAATTTAAAATGTTTAAATATGGTAAATAGATTTATTTTTGAGAATTTTTGAGAAATACCCCTTTTGGTGTACCCCTTTTTAAAAATACCCCTTTTATCTATCCATTTTCAAAAATACCCCTTTTTAAATAAAAAAATTATAAAGTTTTATATAGTTTATAAGGTACTTCTATATAATAACTACTACTGGGAGATTCGATACAAATATTTTAAAATGTTTTAAATAGTTTTAAATTGTTTTTATAAGTTTTATAAGGTTTTTAAAAGGTTTTTAAAAGGTTTTTATAAGGTTTTTATAATTTATTTTTACGCTATTTATGAAAGGTATATAAAAGTTTTATATACATATAAAGGTAATTTGTGTATATATTTATAAGCTTACACACGTATTTGGATAAATTTCAACATTTTTATTGGTTTTTTGATAAAGTTTGAAAATGGAGTATTTTAAAAAAGAGGTATATGAAAAAGGGTATTTTTGAAATTCCCCCAAAAATAAAGGGGGAATTTCAAAAATACTCTTTTTCCAATACCACCTTTTAAAAATACTACTTTTTAAAAATATCTATTTTCTAATTTTATCAAAAAGTCACTAAAATCTATCAAAAAAATATGTGTCAAACTTATATTTATAGACTCAAATTATCTTTATATGTGTGTAAATTTTATATTTCATAAATATCGTATAAATACTTTTTAAAAATCTTATTAAAACTTTGTAAACCTTTTAAAAACCTTATAAAAACCTTATAAATGTCGTTTAGAACTTTTTAAAACCTTATAAATATTTGGATATAGTCTCCTAGTAGTAATAATGATTTTGATGTACCTTATCAATCATATAAAAGTTTATAATTTTTCATATTTGAATAGGAGTATTTTTGAAAATGGATAGAAAGATAGGTATTTTAAAAAAATATACACCAAAAGGATTATTTCTCAAAAATTCTCTTTATTTTTCAGGTATTCAAAAATCAAATCGAATTAAACTGAAATGTAATCGCATTAAACTGAAATTGAAATTAATCTAAAAATATTATTAATTTAGTTTTCAAAAATGCTCATAAACTTCTTCGTTTTCATACTACCCATAAACATTTTTGTCTTAGGAAATAGCTTAGGGAAGGATCCTAATTATTTCTAGTAACTCATCTTAAACTTTAGGTCTTCGTTTTTATAGAACAAATTTTATGGTCTTTTCTTTTTTTTTGGGGCTAACTGATTTTTATGGTCTTTTCTATAACTACAAATATGGTATTGTTCGTTGTATTTTTATAATACTGCTGAAATTTTTTAAAAGAATGGTTAGTTACCCTATCTTTCGACTACTTCTTCTCATCATATTTCTATCACATCACAATGAACATATTTATAAACTAATATCCAGATTAATAGAAAAATGATGGATGAATTTGATATGTAATAATGCTTCTATGGTTAATGTATGGTGTTTTCTATATGTTAACTAATCGGATTGATGAATATATGAATCAATTCTATTGTCGTTATAATGCAGCTAATGTTGCTTTTTCACGTGCTATTTTTCAATATAAATATAATAATATATTTTATTTAGCTCGTGTAAAAATTTTGACCGTTGACCCTATAAGATATTTACCCGCCAATACGACCAAGCCGACCAATCCGACGTGGCAATCATAACCTCCACCCAAAAATACAAAACCGAACCACCACAAAGCAAACCCAATCCCATCGCCGTCCAAATCTCTTCCTATAGAAAAGTCCTTACCTTTCTTCTTCTCTTCTCCTCTTCTCTTTTTCCCGGTTATTCGATTCCGATTCCAGAATTTTGAGAAAGAAAGAAAAGAGATGCCTTTTTGCGAGGTGGTGAAAGAAGACGTCGGCCCAGAGACGACGCTTAACAATGCCGCCGTTAAGATCTTTTACAGAACGTATGGTCATGGTCCTGTCAAAGCTCTTCTCATCATAGGTCTGTTAAATCTCCAACCTTTTTCCCCTTTTGATTGGTTTACTTAATGACTCCGAGCTTGAATTTCAATTGGGTTGTCTCAGGTTTAGCTGGAACCCATGAATCATGGGGTCCTCAAATCAAGGGATTGACGGGGAAAGATAAACCCAATGAAGACGACGACGACGACGAAATCGTCTCCGATGATGATTCAGGCATCGAGGTTTGTGCTTTCGATAATCGTGGTATGGGTCGAAGCTCTGTACCCACCCATAAATCCGAGTACACGTGAGTCTCTCTCTCTCTATTGCCCCAAATTTCGATACTGAAGAACTTAATTCTCTACTTTGTGTTCTTAATCTTGGGTTTAATCACTGCCTGTGAAATTGGTTTTTATTAGCTTCACTCAGTTTGGTTTTTGTATATTGGTACAGAACAACGATAATGGCAAAGGATGCAATTAGTTTGTTAGACCATTTGGGTTGGAAGAGAGCTCACATAGTTGGCCATTCTATGGGTAAGAATTTTGGTTTATGTTTTCTAGCCAAGTTACTGGTTCTATTATATTGGTACTTTAAGTAGTCTTATAGCTTCTTATTGGCTCTTTTGGTTTTTTTTTTTATTAACAGGAGCAATGATCGCTTGCAAGTTAGCTGCTTTGGTGCCGGAACGGGTTCTTTCTTTGGCGCTGCTTAATGTTACAGGTGGAGGTTTCGAGTGTTTCCCGAAGGTACTTGAATGATATACGTGGCGCTATTTGTTGAATCTTCTTTCTTTTGATAGCAATGACTTGCTCATATGTGTGAATCTGTTGGTTTCTTATATGAAGACAAACTCTTTTATTATCTGTCATGATTTGTCACAAGATGATGTTTTCACTAATATCTGAATATGGCCTTTGCTTTTATATGCTTTCAGTTTGACCGGCAAACAATTTCCATTGCGATACGTTTTTATAAGGCAAAGACCCCTCAACAAAGGGCAGCTGTTGATTTGGACACACATTATTCAAAGGTGGGACTTTTAGTTTGTTCTTCGATGTGCTCAAATTGTAAGAACAAATTTGGCACTGAACAAGTGTGCTTCGTTGCCACTTTCATTCTATATTGCTGCTTTTCTCTCTATGCTTCGACCATTTTGCCTTTCCATGTTATGGAGCAAAAGATCAAATGAGTGAAATGGTTGACAGAGACTTTAGCCTCGTAGAATTATGAACAACTGGTAGAGAGATTAAACCATTGGTCTCGAAGAATTATGTTAATAGAATGTTAGACTGTCGTATTACTGTTCAGAGGAAATTTGTGAGTGTTCTCATGTAGTTTATATATGCAGGATTACCTAGAAGAATCCGTAGGAACTAGCACAAGAAGGGAAATTTTATATGAGGTGGGTATGCTGGTCTTTATGTAGGTTTTTTTACATATACCACTAGTGAATGATTTAAGGGAACTAATATTTGAGAGATGCAATGCAGCAATATGTAAAGGGAATATCAGAAACTGGAATGCAGTCCAAATACGGGTTTGATGGCCAACTTAATGCTTGTTGGTTACACAAAATCACAAAACCAGAGATCGAACTAATCCGCTCGGCTGGATTTCTTGTCTCAGTCATTCATGGAAGGTATGCAACACACGCAATTAGAATCAAAGTCACATTGTGCACTTGGTCTTGGGTCTGTTGATCTAGTAAAGCATGTTTACTTACATAGAATTTAATTTGAGTATGTGGTGGGTTATATGCAGACATGATGTGATTGCTCAGATATGTTACGCAAGAAGATTGGCTCAAAGGCTATATCCCGTCGCTAAAATGGTGGATCTTCATGGAGGCCATCTTGTAAGCCACGAGAGAACAGAAGAGGTACTCATTTCTTATTCATTCATGTCGTAACTTCTCTATCTCTCTTGCTTCTGATGTATATAAGACTTAATCTATAAAGTCTTTGTAGCTCCCTAAGATGCTCCAGTCTGCAGTAAATGTTAGAGGATGTCATACACAGATTATTGTAACTTAACAGAAAGATATAAGACTGAAATGAAAATCATACTATCCTGAATATAAGAACAAGTTGGCTATGGATTTGGTTAACTGAATTAAACATATATAAAGAAAAGTTTAAGGAGCCTGTTGGAAGAATTTAGACTGCTTTAGTAACTGATCGAAAAGTGTAAGCAGTCATACTGTTACTTAAACCTCGGTGTTAGTTACGATAGCAAACTATAATGACTTACAGGCTCTGAGGTCTTCTAGGAATATCATTGCTACAAAATGGAAGAGGGAACAAAGTTTCCATGCTCTTGTCAGTTGCCTCAGAACCTGGAAGAAAAGATTAACATGTACCTTCTGGTCAATTTCAGGTTAATAAATCTCTTCTCGAGTTAATCAAGGCAGCAGAAATGAAGAAAAAACCAACTGATTGGACTAACCTCACCATGGAAAACCCAGGTACAGAAGAAATACACATTCCCATTGCTTTAGACCATTCTTTTTCTTTTAAGGTGTTGTTCTGAGAATAAGATCAATATACCATTATATGCTTGCTCTGTTTCGTTTTCTCAGGTTACTTCAAGAGGCGACTAACATTGATTAGAAGCTCATCAGAAAGCAAGAATGCCGTCTCTCCTGGATATTTCATACTGGAAAAGTTCAATCGCTGTCTACTTTTCCTCTTCGGACTTCTGGTTTTGGCATTTGAGTATGCAAGAAAAGCTTTCAGGATCGTAAAACCTGTCAAAGTTGGACCTTCTCTCACATAACAAAAACCCTTCTCTTCAATTTGTCGACCAAGTAAGCTCCTCACTGCTTAATTATGTCAAAGATAGAACATAAGCAACTAGACTTATAATAATAATTTGACGTCTTTCAACACAGATTTTCATACAAGCAATGAGGCAGTTCTTCAATGAACAAGCTGATGAAAACATGAAAGCTTAAAGATATTCTTGCTGCAAACAGAGGCTAAGAGAAGAAGACACTGCTTTTACATGGAAGAGATAATACAAACCTGTTCATATATACGCACCTGTAGAGAATCATTACAACGTCACTCCATGACAAACATTATTCCACGAATGTAATATGTAAAAGATAAAACATCAAAATCTCAGTTGAGGCATACGTGTTTTTGTGTACCTATATGAGAACACACCTGTTTCTCAAAGTTTCTGCATATAAATAAGAATTACAAGAGTCCTATACAACTATGCCAAATCACTAGGCTATGATAATTATCTCTAATACTAGAAAAAAGTTCAATGCATTAGAAAGCTTGGGGGTTTTTATATAAACATTAACTCTAGGTTTCATGAATCTTTCAAGTATCAAAAACATTCATGAAGACAGCTTCTAGTTACGAAACATTATCTATCAAAAGATTGTGAAACAAGAGAGCTAATTCTGAAACAAACACAAAGATAAGAAAGAGATGAGAAAATCGGACATGCCTGGTGTACTGCTTCTGTCTGAAACCAACGTTTCAAGCTTTTCTTTGGTGACTTATGTCTAAGTAGCTGAATGTTATTTTGCAGAACCAGAGAAAGAGAAGTGAAGAGAGATAGCGAAGAGATAGCAAAATGAGTAGACGAGATGCTAGTTTATGTTCAAACTTCAAAGTAATATTCCTTCATGCAAGATATACTCCTCGAATATACTCTTTCACATATGACATACCCTTTGTTCACGGAAATGGTATTCTCTTCAATTTGTCTCGTTCTGAAAAAATTCATGGGCTTCAAAAATATAAGGCCCGTATTAAGCCCAATCAAATCCTGCTTGTGTTTTTTTTTCCCTTCCTGTGGTTCCCGACTTCTCGCAAACAGGGTTTTAATCAAATTTTCCAAAACCTTCTCCATTGACGGAGGAAGGAAGGAAGCAAACAGCTGAAAATGGCTGCGACTGTTCCTGCAATTACTCGTTCGGACCAAACGTGGGATTTTAGCTGGTATGTTCTGTAAATTCTCTTACTTTGCTTCTCTGATTTGGGAACTTTTCGATTCTTCTCTCTAGTGATTCGATTCTTCTCTCTAGTGATTCGATTCAGCTCTTAGTTTCCTGTAGTTCGTAACGTGTTTGCTATGTATGTGATGATAGAACATACGGATTTGATTATAGAGTTCATGGGTCTGACATATTTGAAGGAATAGACTCAAAAGTTTCGATCTTTAACCAGCACTACGAACCTAGTTTAGTTTCATTGCTCCCCTCAATTAGGTTGATTCGAACTCCTGAACTGGCTTTTTAGAGCTTGGCTTAAGATTGCACAACGATATTGAGGATTACTCTTGTTAGGGATTTGATGTAAATGTGGTATCTTTTCAATGGGACTTTGTTAGGGGTTTGATGTAACAGAGCTTTTTGTCAATTTGCAGTAATTTGGATGTGAATTTTGAAACGGAAGAACATGCTTTGATTGTTTATACATCATTGGCTGTTGATAAAGAGGTTTGAAATTTCTCAGTATATGAAAAAGACCTAATTTCCAACAAGCTTTTTCCAATTTCACTTATGTTAGAATTTGTACTGTTGTGTGATCCTTAATGCAGTTGCAGCCTGATAAAGTGAGAAGAATTATGTCAGTATCAAACAATAAGCTTTCTGTGTAAGTTGCTTTAAGTCCTTCATTGCCTTATTCGATCGTTGAATCGCTTTAGTTAGTCACCTCTAGTCCATAGAACCTATTTCGACTTAGCCTGCTTCTTATACTAGTTTTGATCTTTTCTCAACGGATTATTTTGCAGGCACTTTGAAGCAATAGAGGCAAGGCTTCTTCGCGCTTCCTTCTCTGCGTTTGTAGACGTTCTTACACTGGCCACAAGAACAATTCAAGAATTTGGGCAGAAGTGAAGAACCAACAATGTTGAAAAGGAAGAAGTTTGATTCTTTTTTATTCCTCACCGAGAACTCAAAACTACAATGAACAAGTCAGTTCAGTTCAGTTCATGCTTTGAGCACAAATATTACGATTTTCTCACAGATTTATTCAAACAATGTATTATTGTTATGTAGTGTGTGAACTAGATTTGAGAAGTTAAGAAAAGATAAATACAATTGAAGCTTTCGATTTGACTACGTTTCACATCAAATGAATCTATCATCGTAACATATAACACATGCCATCATCTAATGATCTAATAATAACACACAAAAACTCAATTCATTTAATATCGATTGTGATTTTTAGGAAAAATAGATAGATCTTATCACTTTCATGCATTGACTTTGACTAGATGATGGATAAGAAGAAGTATTAATCCCTCCCTAATCAACCATCATAAGAGTTACATTTAATTACGAAGCAACTCAACACACAATTCAGCCCCCATGATCATACAATTAATCAAAGTCACACGGTATTTAGTAATGATCTAAACATTTAATGATTATTTACGCTTTGGGACTCGTAACTCCCATTACATTGTACACAATCCCTATGAACGAACACTAATCTTTTCTTACAAGAGACTACTATATATACGTAATGCGTTAGTCAACACTTTACTCTGTCCTTTTGTTATCATCACTGATTCTTCAACAAATGGATCCTAACTCTCTTCGTCGACTTGATTCTCCAAAAATCAAAAAAGAGTATGAACCAGATTCGTTTTACGACATGTTAGACACGTAAGTTTGAAACGTTTTGATATTTTTCCTTGCTAAACAAGTTATCTCTCGTGTCTCTTTGTTTTCTTAATCGTTTTTTTTTTGTTTACAGGTTGCCTCCACTCAATTCTCTTCTAGATATTGAAGATCTGAAACCAAATCCGGGGTTGCATTTTGAGTTTCAATACACTAGCTTTGAAGATTTCTTCAAAAACATGGAAGTGGATAACATAATCTCATCTGATATTCAAATGTCATCAACTCAAGAGCCTTACGTCTCCAGTGAATCCTCTTCTCCGTTGGCTGTTGAAAATGATTGTCTAAGTTCAAACGAGAGATGTGAAAAGAGGATTGTGAAGAAGAGGAACTCTAAGAAAAAGAGACAAGACAAACTAGAGATGGATGAGATCAAGCAGTTCTTCGATAGACCAATCATGAAAGCGGCTAAAGAACTCAATGTGGGACTCACTGTGTTGAAGAAGCGATGCAGGGAATTAGGGATTTACCGGTGGCCTCATCGGAAGCTCAAGAGTCTAAACTCTCTCATAAAGAATCTCAAGGTGCAACATTATTAAATTCACTTAGTAACGTTTTAGGGTTCATTGCATTTTTTTATATATTTTGAATGTTTGATATATTAATACATGTTTTTGGTGATATATAGAGTGTTGGAATGGAAGATGAAGTGAAGAATTTGGAGGAACATAGAGTTCTTATAGAGCAAGAACCAGATGCTGAACTCTCTGATGGAACCAAAAAGCTGAGGCAAGCTTGTTTCAAAGCTAATTACAAGAAAAGAAAATCACTTGCTCATGATTATTACTGAACTTTTTTTTTTTAATGTTTTCTCTATTTCTTGTTTTGGCTTTAGACCGATGTCGTCTCTTAACCCAATTGGTCAACTTTATCTAGAAGATCTAGGGAATATGATTCTTTAGGTTTTTATATATACACAGCTATATACTTGATGGAACAATGTAACTTTTTATCAATTATTTTTTATGAATGAAATTAAGGTTAACGAGTTGGATAAATTATAATTTTGCATTAGTATTTATAATGACTATGTGGAAGTTTGAGCTCTATGATTGAACTGCCATTTTTTTAACAACTTTGACAAAACTTACATAAACTAGCAAAGTCAATTATAGACAATGATCTATTATTTAAAAAAAAAAACAAATTTCTTCATTTTGTGTGAAATGTTACTTTTTTAAGTTTTCACATCAGTGATAATGTTTGACTGGTTTTTTTTTTCTTTAAAATTGACTATCTAGTCATTTAAATACATAAGAATTTTGTTCATTTTCAAATTAACTATTCAACAACATTAAAATAAATACCCTAGTTATCATTTTTTTTGGGTTAAAAGGCCAATACACTAGTTAGCATAGTAAAATGTAATACAATTTGTCTCCTGGACAAATTTGTATAAATAATAAAGTATACACACAAAGAGAGAAGAAGATTAATTAGTAAACCAAACTATCAAAGAGAGATTCGAGTTTTAAATAATGGAAGAGTTGGTTCTTTGAAGATTCTCTTGTTTACGCTTCCATGGAATCACTTGCTTAAACCCTTCGTAAACCTTTGCCTGCATTTATAAAAATAGAATCATTAGGTTTACGCTTTTACTTCCCTCACATGCATACCCCAAAAAAGGTCTATTATTATTGCACCAACATATTTTAATCTCTACTACGTACGACAATGATTTTCCCTTTTTTTTTTGTTGTTTGCAATAAATTTGACATTCCAATGAAAAAAAATTTCATAATTCGTTATAAAAAAAACCTAATAGTAAAAAAAGTATGAAACTTTTTATAGAACGAACTTTAAAGAATCTGAAACTGAAGTTAGGGAAAAAAAAAAAAAAAGTAAAGTTTGAAACTTTTGATAAAAAGAACTTACCCAGAAATCAGACTTTGTTGTATGAGAAAGATTAAAAAAGCTTCCTTTTATTTTACTCGTAAAAAGTTTCACTTTTGTGCCGCCGGCGAAATCAACTTTTCCTCCTCCTCTTCCTCCACCGGCCCAATCCTTCCGGTAATGATAACCGTCGTCTCTAAAACGTGTAAAGTCAAATATACCCTCAGACACTTCTTTACATTTCCCAAAACTTCCCCATCTACTCGACCCACCAAACAACCTCTGTTCTTTCTCCGGCGCCGGCGCCGGAACTCCTCTAAGCTTCCTAATAACAGCCGAGGATCTCGGTAGCGACAGTGAACGACGACGTAAATCGTAAGGACCGTCAAGAACAGTGGTCGGAGAAGGCTCGTTCGCCGTATTCGATTCTCCCGGTAAGAGTAGCCTCGGAGGAAGGTCAAGACATCTCACGACACCTTTGTGATTCGACCTCGTTGGTTTCTTAATACGGCGAGGCTTCCCCGGAGCTTCTTCCCATTGAAAAGGAACAGATCCGGCGATATTAACCGGTGGTGTAGCTAACCCTGGAGTTTCGTATGCTCTGATGTTATCTGTCGGATATGAAAACAGAGGAAGCTTAGGTGTAGAAGAACAGAACCGATCTTGATCATTAACATAAACCATATTTGTTTTGTTTTTTTTGTATTCTTGATAATGTTTTTTTGACGTTTATACGAAATGGGTTTGGATTAAATAGGAGAAAGAAGAAAGCTTTATTGAGAGATTGGATTCATTTGAACAAGAAAAAGGAAAAGTTTAAGGACGATGAATAGTGGGAGAGAGAGGTTATATTAGAGAAGAAGACATGATGGAGAAGAAAAGAAATTAAATGAATTGAAAATTAAACAAAATAAATGAAACGGCTCATCTTTTGTGCTTTCTTGTTCACGAGCTAGGGATGTGGTCTTTTGTATGTTTTTATAATTATTGAAAACGACTTGTTAATTTAATGTTAAGTACCTTTACAATCAAATATTCGTGAATAGTGAAAAATTCTAAAATAAATATCTAATTTAATTTCATTCGTTTTGGTTAACGTACGTAAACTATAGATTGAAAACTAATGATTAGGTTCGAAAACGTTTACATGTGAAGGTGTTTTCATTTGCTATTAGAAGACACATGCTTTGTTAGTTTGTTTTAGGCAGTAGTGTAGTTTTTAGTGTTTTGTTTTTGTATAAAGAGAGATTAAAAAAAAACAGAAAATATTATTGGTAAGAAAATTAAATGAAAGGGTGATGGATCGTGGTGAAGGAAGTTGACGAGGACGTGTGTTGATGGACCAACGGTCAATTTTGGTTTAAGGGATTGGAATAAGTCAAAGGGCAGCTTAGCTCTCTTTGTGTTCCATCTCTCTCTCTCTCTCTATGTTTGTCGTTGCATCAGTTATGTTGCAGCGACTTTTGTGTTGAGACGAATGCGAAGATTAGGTTCGCATCATGCATATCTCCTGTCTCTTCGCCTTCTCTTAGCTTTTTTTTTTTTTTATTTTTATTATTCGTGCATGCATTATTTTTAGATGTATATTGTGTTTTTGTATGTGATATATGTATGGTTTACATGTAACATATTGTAAACTCCATAGTCTCCATATGTGTATGTTGGAATCTATCGAAAAATACCACTTACTTTGATATTATGATGATTCATTAGGATTTGGGTCAATCGATCATTAACAAATAATTCAAGAAAAGAAACGAATTGAAGTGTAAATTTTTTATCACAAATATTTCAAGAAACGCAAGTCTAATTTTGAGATACAAAATTATTACTCGGCGAAAAAAAAAAAAGATACAAAATTATTACTCTTTGTCATATCAACAAGCTAAGTTACATGTCATACGTAACAACAAATTTTTACACTCCCCTAAACTAAATCATGATTACAAGGAGTACTCTAGTTTCTATATATGTATATACATCCCGAACGAAAATGCTAGCTAGGAGTCTCATGTTTAGTGGAACTCATTTATTTAATTTGATTATATTTTTAAGATTTAATTTATATCAAAACATTTGAAAAGTATAAATCAAAGAAATATGTTATATCGTATTATAGTTAATTGAACCATTTTTTTAATTAGTTAGTATCACAAAAGTTTATAAATGAAAGTAACACGTACGTTGGTGAGATGAGAACTGAGGGTTGCCTTTGATTTTAACATGTAATTTAGGTTATATGAGAATTGAGAGGCCACTGACATTAGTCAAATGTTACTTTCTTCTCCTAGGTTTAATAGTATATATAACATAAAAATACTTAATAAAATGTGAAATTAATATATGCCATTCGTTATGAAATAAAGAGGAATTATGAAGATAACCCGTAACAAAAGGCTCTTTATTTATTTTGGCACTTGTGTGCTTTTTAGTTTTTTTTTATATATGTCATAAAGCAATTCGATTGCGTTTACGAAACGTGAAGTGCTAGTATGCATCTCATTTGTAAGTGGAGAAAATATTTCTCAATTTCTCAACCACAAGTTGTACATTTTCTTAACCTTCATCTTTATTTCTCCTGATTAATTAGAATATTATAGAGATTTCTTAATTAGTATACAAAGATATATGAAAAGCATAAAAATTTATCAAAACTAGAATTTTTTTTTCATAGATTAACAAAAGAAAACTGGATTTAATATATATATATATATATCTAAGTAATCTGATATAAATACCTTTCCTCTTTGGGTATAACATTATGTTTTAATTGTGGGAAGATAACACAAGACGCAACTACCAAACATTGTAAGATTGAAATGTTTGTAGCTTTCACAAAGTGGCAAAGCAAGAACACACATGCATATGCTTTTTACTATATCACTTCCAAAAGCTACTTTTTTTTTTTTACTATCAACTTCAAAAAGCGACAGATACATCCAACTTAAGCCCCCATCCTTTCCTTAGCCAAGTCTTTTTATAACACACTTATCTGATGCTTTTTGTATAGGGGCCTTTCTAATATGGCTGCTAACCAACACCGAACCGAAATCTCTGGTCTGTAAACCAAACCAATTATCTTATTGAGAGCATCTTACTTATAGTACTAGATCATACATTTAGCATGCATCTTAGTGTAATGCAGTATTTGTACTGCACATCTCTCTGAAATTGACAAGGTTTCAACTAAAGATGAAGAAGCAATGTTTCTATATTAATCTAAACACAAACCGAGGTTCCCTGTATAATATATTAGTGAATTCTATATACAAAAGCTAATTGTTCTCGTTTACCTTAATTAAGAGCTTATGAAGAATTGTAAGAATTTACACATTTTGTAGATTCTCATACTCGTAGCTCCATGTCGCCTCGTCGCTTCAAATGTATCATTCCCTCACGAGCTAATGTACCTTCAAGATCACCTATGCTTCGAGATATCCTAACTTCAAGCCCTCTTTGTACTTCCTGAAACAGACTTTTGATGCTTTCTGCAAAACGTTCTGGATCAAAGCTGCTTGTAGAAGAGGAGGATTCTGTAGTGATTATTCCTACTAGAACCTCAACAAGGCCAGAAGCGATCTTGGATTGGATTTCCATCAGTTTTTGTCCTGTTGCCACTATGTATCTTTGCAGCTGAAATGTCTCATCTAAGAAATGCTCTAGTGATGTTTTGGCTTCCCCATTTTCTCTGAATTTTCCACTAGTCTTCTCCGGTTCGTTCACATGCTATAGATAATGGTTAACCAAAAAGAATCAGTTTGTGTTAACAGATACAGTAATTTAATTGGTATGAGAAAATGATTGCTTACCATTCTTTTGCATAAATCATCAATCTTTTCTTGTAGTGATTGATACCTAGTAACTTGTTTGTTGAGCAATGTAATGAGCAATAACAAAGCCCTTTTCCCGGTTTCGCTGCTATTTTTTCCGATCTCTTGGCTCTCGGGCTTCCCAATATATCTTTCAAGCATCATCAGTTGTTGTTTCAACCTTTTGATCTTGTATGAAATTCCAAGAGCATGAAGATCCATTCTCCAAGGTGGATTGCTTGTGCTGTTTGACTTTGTTAGGCTCTTACTCTCCTTAACATTCGCTTTCTCTCTTTTGGTACGCTCATTCTCTGGTAGAAGTCTTTCGTTTTCAGATCCTTCTTCAGCATCAGATTGAGCAGCCTTCAAAGTCAAATGTCTCAACTCATCAGGAGAATATGATTCCCTTCCTTTTTCAGTTGCATTTTCCCGAGAAAATTCCCTTGATCTGAATTCTTTCTCTCGCTCTTCTCGTGCTTCTGGTTTGGTGTTCTTTCTTCTACAACTCGTGCTGTTCTTGTGGGGTATCAAGCTTCTTGGTTGAGTCTTGAATTCTTGTTTCCTCAAGGAAACCGATTCTTCCCCACTTCGATTTATCATGCCTTCCAACTGTGTGTTTTCGTGTCTCAACTGTGACATTTCTTGGCTCAGTCCTTCAATACAAGATCTCAACCGCTTTGATTCTAATTCGGAGTTCATCAGATGCAAACACAAAGCTTCAACCTTTTCATCTTTTAGTTTCATATGATTTGTAAACTCTCCTAGCTCTATCTCTCGATTCTTCCCTACCACCCTAATACAAAGTTCTTCCTCTCCAAAAATCAAATTCTCATGCTTCTTTGCAATTTCATCCACTCCTTTAAAATGTACAAATATAATCAGAATCAATTCAAATTTCGAAAAGAGACTATAAATGAAACTTGAAGCTCTTCGAGGACTTACCTAGTTCATTGAAATCACCAACGGAGTAGGAATCCATGATCTCTGGGATGACATCAGGATCTTTATTCAACTCCAGATGTTCAATATGAGTAATGGAAGGAACACTGTTGGTTTTAGGCTTACTTGTGGCTTCAAAGGCAAACATGCTTCTTAGTGACCGTCTCTCGTTTTTTCTGGACTTAGAATTCGTTCTCCATTTCTTTACTTCTTCTTCATCTTGTTTCTTTTTAGTCTCCTTAAGCAATGCCATTTGCTTCTCGGTCATGTCCAGTTTTGACTTTTTCATCATGACAGCCAATATTCGATCTTTCTGTTCCATATCATTTCGCATCTTAATGATTTCTAATGACAAGTCTTCAAGTTCAAGTCCTTTAGCTTCGATTTGCTTATTTGCACGACTCAGTTCAGCTTCAAGCTGTCTCTGGCTAGAAGCAAGCTCAAGGAATGTCTTCTTCTGCCTCCATAGCTCAGATGAATGTTCTTGTACATCTCTCTCTTGCGTTTCCCTTAAATCTTGAACTTCCTTTTCTGCTTTGACCAGCCTTTCTTCTAACTCTTCACATTTACGCTTCTCTTCTTCCACTGCCTTCTCTTTAGATTCCACTAAACATTCCTTTTCATTTAATCTTTCTTGCATCTCCGATAAGATTTTTCTCTTCCTCTTCTCAATGTTCCTTAGTTCCTTCATCAGAGCCTCAATCTGAAGCCTTAATCCATACCTCTCCCTTAACCAATTCTGCTTTTGAGATGCGAATATGCTAACTACCTTCTCGTTAGCTTTTGCATCTTCATTCCTCACTTTCTTCAACTCTGTAATTTCAGTATTGGCATCCTCAAGCCTCTGGAGAAGCTTACTCTTCTCCTCATCAAAGATTCTCCTAATCAGTAAACCAAACAGCATCATACTGCTCCTCATCTCGCCCTGTTTCTCATCTCCCATGGACATGATGGTCGCTCTTAAGAAGAAAAACAACACAGATAGCAACAAGACAATCAATCTCTGTAGAGATGACTAAATCTGAATCTCAAGAGACAATTTGACTATTGCAATCCATCTGGTAGGAAAAAAAAAGCAAAAAAAATCAGAGCAACTTCTGATTAAATCAAATTCAAT